GGTTGTAGAGGAAGGTGCCCGTCGATCTTGAATTTGTGGATTGCATCACGATCTCCACCTTGTCGCCTGTGTTTCATGGGGCTCCTTATTCTTCATCCTCCGGCTCGGCTTCTCATAGCTCCAGGTTAGATTAAAAGATAAGATGTGTGTTCTTTGAGTTCTTTTTTGCTTGTTCGACATGGGGTTGCGAGTCATCCCCAACGAGCACCACGGTACGTCTTTGGGGTTGTGATGCATGATGATGCATGTGCAGGCCGTACCGGCCGTCATTGGAGGCCATTTTGAGCACGAATGGGGTATGTTGGCAGCTTATATGACTCCAAAGCACGCATGGCCAGGACCACACGTTATACAACTTTGGAGTTCTCAAGCTTCCTCCCGGGACCTACACGTTCCTAGGATGTAAGCTCTGGAACGGACTTTGAGTTTTTTGGGCTGTTTGTTGAGACATTGTCTTGGCTACTCTTGGCTTCCGAGGATGTGCTGGGCCAGTCTGGGCTCCACACGCCGGTCTGTCAAGAAGGTGAGCGAGGCTGACTGTGCCGAATACTCCGTTGCAGCCTTACCCGCTGTCTTCCTGCTGTTGATTGGGAGCAGTTGTTGCCATCTTTGTCTGCGCCTTTCGTACTGGCTGAGAAGTTCCGCAGGTTGAAGTTGGTTCGATGAAGCTCCTCGCGATGCCAGAGCTGGACGATGCTATTGCAGGAGAAGCAGTGAGAAGCAGTGACAGTGACACGCAGTCACAATCACAATGCTGATATAAAAACTGACTGCCACGTGGCATTCTAGATGACTCGGTGATCCACTGCGAAGTATATCTGTTTCAGGAGAGGAACCTGCAAGGCGCCTGAGCCAAGTGACTTGGCTTTACCGAAGTGGCCTTTAGTGCGCTATAGTGCCCCTGCAGCAATCAGAGACCGTAAGACTGTAAGACTACTCTGGCGGACTCGAAAACATGGTAATGTTCTACTAGTGATTGATCAGGTTAGCTCAGAGGACAATGTCTCGGGGCAGCTGGCAGTGGGACCAGCCCCCCTGGAGCAAGACAGGACTTGTGTTGCAGGCCTTGCCTGCTCGATCGATTTAGATGGTACGTTCATGGATGGAGATAGAGTGATGGTGCTGGATACCTGCTCAGATGCAGGGATCGTGCAGAACTGGCCAAACTCTGGCAGGTCGCATGCGACTGTCAGTCAAAACTTCTCGTGGGGCACAGTTGCTGTCTCGGCGGCTGGCGGGGTGTACCGGCTTTGTTGGTGTGTGGCCGAGACCGGCCCAGCGGAGCAGCACATGCCGTGTGATGGTGGGAAGGACTTCAAGGTCGATATCGGATCAATGACTTTGATTGGTCCTGGGCCAAGCGCAGCTGGTCAACTCACAGCAGACCCTGACCCCATGCAACAGCGGACGTGTGTTAGCGGCGTGAGCTGTGTGATTCACGGTGTGACTGGGACCCACCTGACGGCACAGGACCGGTATGCAGTCTTGGACACGTGTGGACATCACGTCCCAGTACCGAGATTTGGAAACGGAGGCTTTTCTTCAAGTGTGGCTAGAAGTGGAGCAACTGTGTATTTCGGAGCAGTCGCCACAAGCTCATCCGGGGGCCAATATCGGCTCTGCTGGTGTTCTGCAGTTGCCGTTTGCTCTTCTGGGGAGCACTTTGAGGTGACCGCAGCCCGCTTGTTGATTGTGGGCCCAGAGCCCCTTGAGCAAGACCGGACTTGCGTGTCTGGGACCCGCTGCGCTGTCCATGTGGCTGGATTGTTGAGCTCCCGGGATCGAGTCTTTGTCATGGACACCTGCGGCCAAGATCATCTTGGCCCACAGCACCAGCTGGTAGAGAGATTTGCTGACTCAGGGCTCGTGCTGTCTGTTGACGCAAGTGGTGTCCTGCTGACCTGGAGTGACAGCACCTCGGCTGGGGGGCAATATCGGCTCTGCTGGTGCTCCGCAGATTCTACATGCAAAGTTGCAGAAGATTTCAAGACGGATGTGGGTGCATTGCATCTTGTCGGTCCTTATGCGCGAAACGACTACACTTGCATCTCTGGGCAGACCTGCGAAATTCACGGGCTGGTTGGACACTACTTGAGTGTGGGCGACGTTTACGCTCTGCAGGACACCTGTGGCATAGGCTGGGTCTCACGAGTACCACGCGGCCAATCCCTGGCAGCTCAAGCATATGGCGCAACAGTTGGCTGGGGTTCAGAAGCACTGTCGGCTGCAGGTGGTGCCTTGGCTGCAGTGGCGTGCAACTTAGTATTGAGCAACAGTGTCATTGCCATTATGCTGCAGCGGCATGATAAGCATCGCAAGTCATGTTGAGTTGTGTGTTTCTGTTAGAAAAGTGCACCTTCTGTTGCCAGGCCTGTACCGATTATGCTGGTGTGCTGCCACATTCTCTTGTGGTATCCAAGAGGATTTTCGGGTGGATGCAGGTGGATTGATGATCATCGGGCCTGCGCCATTGACACAGAGCCGAACCTGTGTCAGTGGGTACACCTGTGTACTCGGCACCTTCACAGGTTCCTTTTTGACCCATGACGACAAGGTTGCGATTCGAGACACATGTGGCCTGTCCACGGCTGTTGTCGGCTTCCCGAATGAAGGGCTTCTGACGTCTGGTGCTCTGCCTAGGATCTCGTTGTCTGGTGGACTCTATCGTTTATGTTGGTGCAGCTTGCCAGGAGGGTGTGAGCGGCCGGAGGATTTCCGAACGGATTTTGGTTCGCTGCACCTGCTTGGGCCCTCACCACTGGATCAGCACCGAACATGTGTCTCGGGCCAGACGTGCCGAATCTCCGACATGTCTTTCTACAACCAGTTTGAATTTGACTGGTCGATTGGGCGGTTGCTTATTCTTGAGACATGTGCATCTCGCAGCGTTCTGCCTCGCATCTGGGCAGAGCCCATAAGACCTCCAGCGACTTCTTACTTCAGCTCCCTTCTTGGCGCGTTCCAGACAGAGGTGATTTCTGTAGCTGGTGGGCTGTACAACTTGTGCTGGTGTTCCACGATTCCTGGGCCTTGTGTGGATGCAGAAGACTTTCATGTCTCTGTTGGTATGATTGACATAATTGGCCCGACCCCTCTGCGACAAGATCGCACATGCACAAGTGGTCAAAGCTGCTACTTCGGCGGCCTGCTCGGAGAGTATACCCACAGTAGCATTTTGATTGCTGACACTTGTGGCACTGACCCAGCTGTGTTTGTGCCAAAATATGTCAATACTGGCTTGGCAGATGTGGTGGACAATGGCATGGCGATGTGGAGAAATGCAATTACAGCCGCTGGTGGTCAGTACAGACTCTGCTGGTGTCCCTCTACCGCAGCATGCGCCAGAGCAGCTGATTTTACCACTGACATGGGTGGATTGCTGTTACTGGGTCCGACTCCACTTCAACAAGACAGGACCTGTGTCAGTGGCCTTTCCTGTGAGTTTGAAGGGTTTCTTGGCAGGCACATATCGAGCCAAGACCGCGTGCTGCTGTCAGAGACCTGCGGTGAAACTTATTTGCCACCTTCCCAAATGCCACCTGCTCAAGTTCTTGCGTCGCAAACTGGCACGGCTGCGGTAAGCTGGGGCAGCTCCCCGATGCTTGCTGCTGGCGGCTTCTATCGACTTTGCTGGTGTTCAGGTCTTCTTTCACGATGTGAGGCGCACGCAGACTTCTCAACTGATGTGGGCATGCTGACAGTGATCGGAGTGAATCCCTTGCAGAGAACGTGTATCAGTGGATTGCCTTGCGCTCTGGAGGGAGTCACCGGAACGCACCTCTCTGCCGGAGATCATTTTGCCGTATTGCAAACTTGCGGTCTCAACGTCGCAAGCATCGATGGATTTCCTGGGTCTGGGGCGACTGCGCAGGTGACGTCTAGTGGAGCACGGGTTTCATGGGGTCCACTGCCTGTCACTGCGGCAGGTGGCATTTATTCGTTGTGCTGGTGTGCTGGCGTACCTGGCTCAACTGCGGCTGAATGTGGAGCCTTGGGCCACGAATGCCGCGTTGGTACAGGGATATTCAGGGCCAAGTCGCGAAAGGTAAGTCCTTAGAGTTTGTGTGTGTCGTTGCAGATTACAAATTCTCTTGGTGGGTCACGGGTTGATTCATAAATAGTTATAGTTAAACAGGCCCCCCCACCGATAAGATTGACTTAACCATAGTTTCCGTCCCACCCCCCTGCCCCAGATTTCACGGGAAATGATGGCGCGGGGGGGGGGGGGGGGAGTGGAGGCCTCATGGCCCCCACATTACTTCTTGTCTTGCGGAATTGGGACAGCGAGCTTTGCCCTGGCACGCGAAGAAGAAGCACCATCTAGCTTGCGTAGCCCTGTTCTCACAAATGCGGAGTGAAAGTGTTGAGTTCGGTCGTAACACTAGACTTCCAAATGGGGTATGGAAGGCCTCTGAGGTGCGTCTTGAAGGGCTTTGACTGGAGGGACTAAGAGCTTTTTGAGTTTGTGCTGTCAAAACGAGATACGTGCAGAGACAGTCCGCTTCGGGGTATGTTGCTTCGTTGCGTTTCACTGTGTTTTTTGCTTCATCCCCATCTGTATCACTTTCCTCATTGGCGCCAGGTGCGTAGTACGATCCTGGATGTCGGCTATGGTCACTTACGCTATCGTTGGCCACAGGTGGAGGCTTGTACTCGTCGCCACTCGTGGTAAGGGTTGGCGTCTTACTTCCCGGCTTCCTCCTTCGGGGTTGCGTTCCGAGAAGCTTCGAGCTTGTCCTGGCGTGGTGTTTCACTAGTACCTGGTGCCAGGCATCATTTACTGTAGTACGTAATTGGACGACCACCTGCAGTCTCTGTTTTTGCGAGCGCGTGCGCTGTTTGCATTTGTATCTGTCACACTCTTGTACTGTATTGTAGTGGATCTGCTGCGTGGATACCGCGTAACAGATTGTCCACTGACTCTTCTAGCTTCGGTTCACTTCTAGGCATGCTGGATCCAAGGAACGGCACTGCATTTCCAGTCCACAGTCGGAACGCTGATGGTTGTCGGCCCTGCACCCCTCGAACAGCATCGCACATGCGTCAGTGGTCAGACGTGTGCATTCGATGGGATTCTCGGGCAGCACCTGTCTGTCAACGATGTGATCCACGTGCTCGAGACCTGCGGAGTGGACCCTACAATCGAGCGGTTTCCTTTCTCTGGTATCGTGGCACATGTCAGTTCCAGTGGCGCGGCTGTCACGTGGGGTTCCGAACCAGTATCTGGAGCTGGAGGTCGATATCGGTTGTGTTGGTGCAGGCAAGGTGCATCTCAATGCAGTTTGCCTCGAGACTTCGCGACTGACTTTGGTCAGCTGACCCTGGTGGGGACCTCTCCTTTGCGCCAGGACCAGACCTGCATGAGCGGGCGGGTATGCTCCCTTCAAGGGCTCACCGGCAGCTTTCTCTCTGCTGGTGATGTGTGGATGGTCATGGATACATGCGGGCAAGCAGACTTCGTTCCTCGCTTCTCTCATGCTGGAGTTCCCAATGTGGTGGAGGCCAGTGGCACTGCAATTTCATGGGACTCAACAGCACCAACTGCAGCTGGAGGTCAGTACAGACTTTGCTGGTGCAGCGCTGGCTTTGCTTGCGTTGCTCCTGACAGCTTTGTTGTGGATGTGGGAGGGCTGGTGCTGCTGGGGATGAGCCCCCTCACACAGGATCGTACGTGCAGCAGCGGGCAGGCGTGTTTTCTACGAGGCCTACAAGGGCTTTTTGACAGCAGTTTGGAGACAGGGGCTCTTATGGCCTTGGATACTTGCGGACTTGCGAGTGTCATTCCTCGCTTCAGCCAGGCTGGTACCTTTTCAAGAGCTGTGGAACATGCAGGCGTGACGTTTCTGGCGCAAGTGGCCCAGACTACTGCTGGGGGAGTCTATCGGCTGTGTTGGTGTTCAACAGGAGGTCACTGTGACCTAGCCAGCGCGTATCAGGTGGACATTGGCAGCCTGGCTGTGCTGGGACCTACGCCACTAGGCCAAGAACGCACGTGCATCACAGGACAGACTTGCAAGCTTTATGGCATTGCCGGACTTGGCATGCCGGCCACAGACAGGTTTGCTGTCCTGGATACTTGTGGAGAAGCAAGTTTGGTGGATCGCCTGCCTGGCAGTGGCATCTTAACTGCGCAGTCCACGCCTGCTGGGGACATCACTTTGTCCTTCGGTCAAAATGTGATCACGAGTGCGGCTGGAAACTACCGATTGTGCTGGTGCTCTCCCTCAGGCACGAACCTTTGCAGCAGTGTGGAGTCTTTCCGGACTGACTTTGGCAGTCTGACCCTCCTGGGCCCACGCCCTCTCTACCAAGATCGCACCTGTGTGGCCGGGCAGACATGCTTCATGAGCGGAATTCTTGGATCAGCGCTGGACTCCGCAGATGCCTTCGCAGTGCAAGATACATGTGGGCTTGCAGGAACAGCAGTAGGATTTCCGGCCTATGGAAGCCTTGTCCTTGCTGGGAGTGGGGCGGGCATCGACTGGGGCTTGGCTCCATTTACAGCTGCTGGGGGCATTTACAGGCTCTGTTGGTGTTCGGGTCTCGCCTCTGCTTGCTCAGCTGCACGAGATTTTGAAGTGGATGTTGGAGCCCTGACTTTGGTCGGCGTTGCCCCGCTGACACAGTCCAAAACGTGCCTTTCTGGTCTTACTTGCGAAATCACAGGCCTGACAGGGCAGGACCTAAGTCAGTCAGACCAGTACTTGATATTGGAAACCTGTGGCGTTGAGTCGGGCCCGGCTCTTTCATACGCACAAACTCTCGAGGGCTTTGCAACCACTGCTGGCAGAGCTGTGTCGGCCAGATGGGTCAGCACGCCACTCAAGCTGGCCGGAGGCGATTACAGGTTGTGCTGGTGCCCTGGTGAGCACTTCACCTGTGACACCCCAGATCGATTCCAAGTGGATGCCGGTATGCTCACCATCATCGGGATCGCACCGGTTGCACAGCACCGCACCTGTGTGAGCGGGCGCACGTGCTTCCTGCAAGAGATTGCTGGGTATGGCCTGTCTGCGGATGACGTCTTGTTTGCTGTGGAAACTTGTGGGCAGGCGAGCGCCCTGGCTCGTTTCCCTTATGCTGGCAGGTCAGAATTGCAGCTCACAAGTGCAGGAACCACCTTCAGTTCTGTGGAGCGCATCACCTCCGCTGGCGGGGTCTTTCGCCTTTGCTGGTGCCACGGGTCGCCAGATCGTCCTTTGCAGAACTCTCTGCCGTCTTGCCTAGCTAGCGATGCGAAGATTGATGTTGGGAGCCTCTTCATTGTTGGTGTCGCATCCTTGTTTCAGGATCGCACGTGCGTCAGTGGGCTCACATGTGAGATTTCTAGCATCTACGGATATGGCTTACAGGATGCTGATCGCTTGTATGTCATGGACACGTGCGGTGGTGTGTCCACTCTAGTTTCTGGTTTTGCTCAGGGGCTTGGCCCAACGAATGCTGAGGGTGTCTCCTTCAGCTGGGCTTTCACGCGTGTCACAGCATCTGGTGGCAGGTATCAGCTGTGCTGGTGTGCTGCCACAGATGACGAAGAGTGCGGCAGCGCACAGCATGCCCTGGTTACTCTTGGAAGTTTGGATCTGGTGGGAATGAGCCCACTGTCGCAGGACCGTACGTGCGTCAGTGGCCAAACCTGCAGCATCTCAGGGCTGGAAGGTCAGTATCTTCCGCAGACAGGATCCGCACTGCTGGTGTTGGAAACATGCGGCTTGGCATCCTTGCCGCCCGGCTTTGATGTCGATGTATGGCCCATTTCCAGCGCGCTGGGTGGCGTGCAGAGCTTCCAGAGCACAGCTCCTCTAACGGCAGCCGGGGGCGTCTATCGCCTGTGCTGGTGCTCTGGGATCAATTCCTGCCTGGAGGCTTCAGATTTCAGCGTCGATGCCGGTGGCCTGATGCTGATTGGCCCTGACTTCCTGCGCCAGGAGGCCACATGCGTGCCTACCTTAGTTGCACCTCGTGAGCGCAGCAGAATTGCTTTCTTGTTGTTGCTTGTACTCGTCGCCATTGTTCAAGCCACTGCCCTGCCAAGGTCAGTGGCCAGAGTTGCATGGTCCACGCGTTTAGTGAAACCGCGGCATGTTCCCTGGCGGAAGGCGAGCTCTGTGCATCCACCTTAAGTGACTTGGACGGTGAAATATGAGAAGTAGGAAGTGTATGAAGTATCATGCTGACTCCAAGCGGTGGGCTGAGGCATCGTGCCACCAGAGTCCTTGGTTGCGGTCCTTGACACCTGCGGAATCTCCACTCTCGTCCCAGGCTTCCCTGCAGATGGCTTACAGCGTTCTGCGGAGCGCAATTTGATCATCTTTGCGAGTCTGACACGCGTTTCGGCTGCCGGGGGCGCCTACCGCCTGTGTTGGTGCAAGGACTGTCGAGTGGCGGAAGACTTTCGCACAGACTTTGGCGCGGTGCATGTGTTAGGACCAAGCCCTCTGAAGCAGCATCGAACATGTATTTCTGGACAGACTTGCCAAATCTCAGACATCGCAGTTCACGGCTATTTGGATGGCTTTGTGGGTGAAGTTATGATTTTGGAAACCTGCTCGCTGCCAAGCGTCATACCACGATTTCCATTCGACGGTGTATTTGTATCGTTGGCCGCAGCTCATGGTAGCCACTTGCGCAGTTTTAGGGCTGATGTTGTGACGGCAGCCGGTGGGAAATACCAAATGTGCTGGTGCGGCAATGCGCCGTCACTTTGTGATGAGCCGAGTGACTTTGTTGTCACCTTCGGAATGCTCACGATCGTCGGGCCTGCACCTTTGAACCATCAACATACATGTGTGAGTGGGCGCGTTTGTGAATTGAATGGCCTACCTGGCGAGCTGACAAGCCCAGATGACAGCATATTGATTTCTGATACTTGCGGTTCTGACGATGCCATCGTCATCGTTCGGCCATTCCTGCTTGCTTCGGAGCAACAGTTTGCCAATGATGGAAGCGTTGGCGTTTGGAACAGTGCAGCACTCACGGCCGCCGGAGGTCTGTACCGTCTATGCTGGTGTTCACAGGAGGCCTCGAGATGCTCGCAAGCTGCGGACTTCGCGACTGACATGGGGGAGCTGCTGTTGATAGGCCCCTCGCCTTTGCAACAAGACAAAACGTGTGTGAGCGGACAGTCGTGCGAGTTTGATGGCTTCCTCGGCACCCACATCTCAAGCCGGAACAGGATTCTGGTGGCAGACACCTGCGGACAATCTTCAGCACCTTCTGCAATGTCTATTGCTAGCGTGAGTGCAGCCTCGGGACACAGTGCTGTGGTCAGCTGGGCAGGTCCTCTTAAAGTTTCTGGCGGCACCTACAGATTGTGCTGGTGTTCCGGTGAAGTTGGTGCTCGCCCGTGCTATGGATCACAGGATTTTCGGACTGATGTGGGGGCTTTGACCGTGGTTGGTGTGAGCCCTGTGCGGCAAGATAGGACGTGCGTCAGCGGCGTCCCCTGCACTATTGATGGCCTTGTGGGCACGTACATCACGGGCAGTGATTCCTATTTGGTCCTGGACACCTGCGGTTTTGGATCTTCAGTGGTGCCAGGTTTTCCTGGAACAGGTGTTGCACTGCAAGCTAGCGGAGCTTTGATATCTTGGGGTGCGGTTCGAATTACGGCTGCTGGAGGGAATTACGCTCTCTGCTGGTGTCCTGGATCTTCTCTGTTGGAGGAGATGTGTAGCAGCCCAGGCAGAATACGTACAGTTTTGTTGATTTTGTTCACCATGGTAGGAGTTTTTATCGTTCACAAGAGGGTTTGATTGTTGGCAGCTTGACAGTCTGTGGACCATCCAGGCACTCCATCCAATTTTCTTGTTGAGGCTGGACGAATGCACATCATTGGCCCCAAACTTCTTCAAGCGTACACATGTATCAGCAATGAGGAGTGCCGTGTCGACGGGCTTATTGGAAGCTTTATCAGTGACGCCGACCACATTCTTGTTGCCGACACTTGTGGTGCCACAGATGGAATCAGTCCCAACGGCATCGCCAATACAGGCATTGCCAATCAAGTCACGGCTGAGGGAAGCGTTGGCGTTTGGAACAGTGCAGCACTCACGGCCGCCGGAGGTCTGTACCGTCTATGCTGGTGTTCACAGGCCTCGAGATGCTCGCAAGCTGCGGACTTCGCGACTGACATGGGGGAGCTGCTGTTGATAGGCCCCTCGCCTTTGCAACAAGACAAAACGTGTGTGAGCGGGCAGTCGTGCGAGTTTGATGGCTTCCTCGGCACCCACATCTCAAGCCGGAACAGGATTCTGGTGGCAGACACCTGCGGACAATCTTCAGCACCTTCTGCAATGTCTATTGCTAGCGTGAGTGCAGCCTCGGGACACAGTGCTGTGGTCAGCTGGGCAGGTCCTCTTGAAGTTTCTGGCGGCACCTACAGATTGTGCTGGTGTTCCGGTGAAGTTGGTGCTCGCCCGTGCTATGGATCACAGGATTTTCGGACTGATGTGGGGGCTTTGACCGTGGTTGGTGTGAGCCCCGTGCGGCAAGATAGGACGTGTGTCAGCGGCGTCCCCTGCACTATTGATGGCCTTGTGGGCACGTACATCACGGGCAGTGATTCCTATTTGGTCCTGGACACCTGCCGTGTTGACTCAGCTTTGGTATCCGGTTTTCCCTCGTTGGGCCGCCTGGAGCTCGCAGGAGCTGTGGTGTCTTGGGGCACGGAGCCGCTCACAGCTCCGGGAGGCAACTACGCACTGTGCTGGTGTCCTGGACCTGCAACCTTGGGTCAACTAGTACAACTAGAGCCAGCTGAAGACCACGCGGTTGCCTCATGCCGAGCCTTGGCTAGCAGCATGTGAAAAAAGGACGATTCAGAAACTGAATGCGGATCAGGAAAGCAAGGAAACTGCCCAATTCAGGTAAGTGGCTTGGAACTGGTTCCACTCGATTCAGGAAACTGGTGTCACTCGATTCAGAGGACAGTAGTTGCAGTCAGTTCAGGAAACCGTGTGATTCAGAAAACCACGCGATGGGGTTGCGGGGTGGGGTGTGTGGGGGTGGGTGGGGGGGGTGGAGGGTGGTGGGGTGGTGGTGGGGTGGGGGGGTGGGTGGGGGTGGGGTGTGGGGGGTGGGGGGGATGGTGGGGGTGGGGGTGGTGGGTGGGGGGGGGGCGGGGTGGGGGTGGGGGTAGGGGAGGGGGGCTGATGATGTTGCCCCCTCTCGCGAATGTGTGCTTTCCAGTTTCCTGTTTTCGCGATATCCTTTTTTTTCGGTTTCCTGAACACGCGACAGCAGTGTTTTCCCGTTTCCTGAATCCTCGATGTCCGCGTTTTCCAGTTTCCTCAATCCGGGCAATCCGTGGTTTTCCAGTTTCCCGATCCGCGGTTTCCCGAATCCTCCTGAATCCGCGTTTTCCAGTTTCCCGAATACGTTCATCCACAATCCGAATCCGTGCATGTTGAGTTTCCGAACCGTGGCTGACCCTACGGGACGATTTTGCAGGTTTTGTCCCTTGCGCTCCGTGTGGTTTGCTGATAAGCTCAGGTGTATACTCCCAAGCAGCAGGCAGATTTACCATCATCGGTCCTGCACCCCTCGAACAGCATCGCACATGCGTCAGTGGTCAGACGTGTGCATTCGATGGGATTCTCGGGCAGCACCTGTCTGTCAACGATGTGATCCACGTGCTCGAGACCTGCGGAGTGGACCCTACAATCGAGCGGTTTCCTTTCTCTGGTATCGTGGCACATGTCAGTTCCAGTGGCGCGGCTGTCACGTGGGGTTCCGAACCAGTATCTGGAGCTGGAGGTCGATATCGGTTGTGTTGGTGCAGGCAAGGTGCATCTCAATGCAGTTTGCCTCGAGACTTCGCGACTGACTTTGGTCAGCTGACCCTGGTGGGGACCTCTCCTTTGCGCCAGGACCAGACCTGCATGAGCGGGCGGGTATGCTCCCTTCAAGGGCTCACCGGCAGCTTTCTCTCTGCTGGTGATGTGTGGATGGTCATGGATACATGCGGGCAAGCAGACTTCGTTCCTCGCTTCTCTCATGCTGGAGTTCCCAATGTGGTGGAGGCCAGTGGCACTGCAATTTCATGGGACTCAACAGCACCAACTGCAGCTGGAGGTCAGTACAGACTTTGCTGGTGCAGCGCTGGCTTTGCTTGCGTTGCTCCTGACAGCTTTGTTGTGGATGTGGGAGGGCTGGTGCTGCTGGGGATGAGCCCCCTCACACAGGATCGTACGTGCAGCAGCGGGCAGGCGTGTTTTCTACGAGGCCTACAAGGGCTTTTTGACAGCAGTTTGGAGACAGGGGCTCTTATGGCCTTGGATACTTGCGGACTTGCGAGTGTCATTCCTCGCTTCAGCCAGGCTGGTACCTTTTCGAGAGCTGTGGAACATGCAGGCGTGACGTTTCTGGCGCAAGTGGCCCAGACTACTGCTGGGGGAGTCTATCGGCTGTGTTGGTGTTCACCAGGAGGTCACTGTGACCTAGCCAGCGCGTATCAGGTGGACATTGGCAGCCTGGCTGTGCTGGGACCTACGCCACTAGGCCAAGAACGCACGTGCATCACAGGACAGACTTGCAAGCTTTATGGCATTGCCGGACTTGGCATGCCGGCCACAGACAGGTTTGCTGTCCTGGATACTTGTGGAGAAGCAAGTTTGGTGGATCGCCTGCCTGGCAGTGGCATCTTAACTGCGCAGTCCACGCCTGCTGGGGACATCACTTTGTCCTTCGGTCAAAATGTGATCACGAGTGCGGCTGGAAACTACCGATTGTGCTGGTGCTCTCCCTCAGGCACGAACCTTTGCAGCAGTGTGGAGTCTTTCCGGACTGACTTTGGCAGTCTGACCCTCCTGGGCCCACGCCCTCTCTACCAAGATCGCACCTGTGTGGCCGGGCAGACATGCTTCATGAGCGGAATTCTTGGATCAGCGCTGGACTCCGCAGATGCCTTCGCAGTGCAAGATACATGTGGGCTTGCAGGAACAGCAGTAGGATTTCCGGCCTATGGAAGCCTTGTCCTTGCTGGGAGTGGGGCGGGCATCGACTGGGGCTTGGCTCCATTTACAGCTGCTGGGGGCATTTACAGGCTCTGTTGGTGTTCGGGTCTCGCCTCTGCTTGCTCAGCTGCACGAGATTTTGAAGTGGATGTTGGAGCCCTGACTTTGGTCGGCGTTGCCCCGCTGACACAGTCCAAAACGTGCCTTTCTGGTCTTACTTGCGAAATCACAGGCCTGACAGGGCAGGACCTAAGTCAGTCAGACCAGTACTTGATATTGGAAACCTGTGGCGTTGAGTCGGGCCCGGCTCTTTCATACGCACAAACTCTCGAGGGCTTTGCAACCACTGCTGGCAGAGCTGTGTCGGCCAGATGGGTCAGCACGCCACTCAAGCTGGCCGGAGGCGATTACAGGTTGTGCTGGTGCCCTGGTGAGCACTTCACCTGTGACACCCCAGATCGATTCCAAGTGGATGCCGGTATGCTCACCATCATCGGGATCGCACCGGTTGCACAGCACCGCACCTGTGTGAGCGGGCGCACGTGCTTCCTGCAAGAGATTGCTGGGTATGGCCTGTCTGCGGATGACGTCTTGTTTGCTGTGGAAACTTGTGGGCAGGCGAGCGCCCTGGCTCGTTTCCCTTATGCTGGCAGGTCAGAATTGCAGCTCACAAGTGCAGGAACCACCTTCAGTTCTGTGGAGCGCATCACCTCCGCTGGCGGGGTCTTTCGCCTTTGCTGGTGCCACGGGTCTTCAGATCAAACCTCGTTTGCGGAATGTGTTGCATCAGCTGATGCCAAGGTTGATGCTGGAAGCTTGTACCTTGTCGGCGCTGCACCGCTGTCACAGCACAGCACATGCGTCAGCGGCCTAACATGCAGAATAACCATTGAGGGCCTTGGCTTTCCGGAGGCACACCGGGTCTTTGTAATGGAGACGTGTGGTGTCTCATCAGCCGAAGTGGATGGCTTCACACCCGCGTGGGCATCGAGCTCCCTTCCGGCTGAGGGCGCGTCCTTCAGCTGGGGCTCCACGCGTGTCACAGCATCTGGTGGCAGGTATCAGCTGTGCTGGTGTGCTGCCACAGATGACGAAGATTGCGACAGCGCACAGCATGCCCTGGTTACTCTTGGAAGCTTGGATCTGGTGGGAATGAGCCCACTGTCGCAGGACCGTACGTGCGTTAGTGGCCAAACCTGCAGCATCTCAGGGCTGGAAGGTCAGTATCTTCCGCAGACAGGATCCGCACTGCTGGTGTTGGAAACATGCGGCTTGCCATCCTTGCCGCCCGGCTTTGGTGCCGATGCATGGCCCATTTCCAGCGCGCTGGGTGGCGTGCAGAGCTTCCAGAGCACAGCTCCGCTAACCGCGGCCGGGGGCGTCTATCACCTTTGCTGGTGCTCTGGGATCAATTCCTGCCTAGAGGCTTCAGATTTCAGCGTCGATGCCGGTGGCCTGATGCTGATTGGCCCCGAAACCCTGCGCCAGGAGGCCACATGCGTGCTTACCTCAGTTGTAATACTGGGTTTGAGCGAGAGTTAGACATTGTGAAACATGGTTTAACACTGTAAGAAACACTGTTAAACATTGTGTTAAACCAAGCATGAGAGAAGCTGTCTGAGGTCAGCGGCCGGCCCTGCAGAGTGAAGGGAACAGCGATGGGTCAGCTGATGGTCATGGAGACCTGTGGCCACGCGGTTATGGAGATTCGAGAAGCGATGCAGGCAAGCGGGGAGGTGTAGCAAGTTGCGTACAGTGAGCCTCGCGTCTGTTTACACCTTGACATGATTTTAGCCTGATGTCCTGGCATTGCCTGGTCAGGCTGACGCCTCCTCTTTGCACACTCTCGAGCTGACCAGATCTGCAGGAGGCAGATATCGGCTTTGCTGGTGTGCCGCTGGCTTCAGCTGTGGAGCTGAGGACTTTCGAGTTGACGTCGGTTCGTTGGATGTGTTGGGTCCATCACCCCTCTACCAGCACCGGACCTGCACCACAGGGCAGCTGTGCTCCTTTGAGATGCTCACAGGCTACCACGTTGACTCATCAGACCTGACAGCCGTCCTGTCGACTTGTGGCGATGCATCTGTGCCAGTCCGCCTGCCAGATATTGGAATGTTGACCACGGAGGCTGGGCAGGAGTCTTGGGACGGCCCGGTGATCTCGGCTGCAGGAGGGCGCTACCGTTTGTGTTGGTGTGCGGCAAGTGTTGATTCTTGTAGCAGGCTCGAAGACTTTGTGGTAGATGCCGGAGAACTGTTCGTGATCGGGCCACGTCCACTGCAACAGCATCGCACATGCGTGAGTGGGCAGGGGTGTGCTTTGCACAACATCGCAAGCCAAGAGTTCGTTCCTTTTGAAGGGTCTTCCATCCTGATCCTGGATACTTGCGGGGTGCCTCACTGGCCGCAGGAGCCCGTCCTTTCGGATCGCTTGGCTGTTGTGAGTGCCAGCGGAACACAGATGGATTGGATAGCTGCAAATCTGGCAATGCCGGCCGGACAGTACCGTATGTGTTGGTGCAGCGGTGAAGGCTGCAGTGTGATGGAAAGCTTCAACATTGACATGGGTGCTTTGATGATGTTGGGGCCAGGGCCACTGAAGCAGTCGCGTACCTGCATCTCAGGGCAGGTCTGCAGCCTGACTATGTCGGGGCTAGGACTCACTGTTGGGGATCGCATCACTGTTCTTGCAACTTGCGCTGATTCCGACCCAGTACCTGGCTTTCTGGATGGTGGACGTGCCCAGCTTGTCGTTACCGGAGGTTTCGATCCCTCGCAGAGTGGCGCTACTTGGGCGCGCGTGAGCTGGGGCCAGCCAACGTCAGAATCTCGCATCAGCCCGGCCCTCAAGACGGTGATGAGAGACAGGGGGTGGGGAAGATGTCGGATGGACTAGTTTGTGATGAAAAGTGTTTCGCGTGTGTTTGCTCGTGTTGAGCCTTGCTCTGTCTTTCAGATCTCAGGTTCCCGTGGTGGACAGTACAGGCTTTGTTGGTGCCCTGACCTAGACTCTGCACGCTGTGATGAGACTTCTGTGCACCGATTGGACTTTGGAGAGCTAACGGTGATTGCGCCGCTATCACAAGTTGCGGACATGGCAAGCCACGCAGGTCGCACATGTGTCAGTGGCCAGACATGTGAGATCGACAGGATCTATGGCATGCATCTGCAATCTACAGACCGAGTTATGATGATGCAAACATGTGGACTTCCCCGAAGTTACCACCAAGACTGGGGTGGGATTGGGGAGTTGACCGTAGCTCCTGCACTCGACGGTGGAGGCGCCACGGTATCTTTTGCAGATGCATTCCGTGGACCTGGCGGTCAGTACCGTCTCTGTTGGTGTGGCTCTCCGGGATCTTGCTTCACACATGCGGACTTCAGCGTTGACTTTGCAGGGCTGCTGGTCCTGGGTCCCACGCCATTAACACAAGACAGGACTTGCATTGCCGGGCTGACATGTCTAATGGAGAGCTTCGTCGGAGTTGGCCTCTCTAGCAGTGATGATGTGTGGGTGCTGGAGACATGCGGGCAACTCGGGGAGAGGGAGGTGCTGGTCGACATTGCTGGTCTGCAGCGGAGCAGTTCCAAAGTATTACGGGCTGGAGGTCAGTACCGGCTATGCTGGTGTCACACTTCGATGTTTAGCTGCTCCTTGCCTTCAGATTTCATGGTGGATTTGGGAAGACTGGATATGGTTGGTGTTGCTCCGCTTAACCAAGACAGGACCTGCATCAGCGGCCGTTTTTGCACCATCGATGGTCTGGCAGGACATCTCAGCATTGATGGGTATCTACTGGTGCTTGACTCCTGTGGTGGCTTAAACTCCGGCGAGGTTCCAGGAGAGTCCTTGCAGATATCTTCTGCAGGTGCAGCATTCACTTGGGCTGCCCCGCTCACTTTTGCTGGTAGTCAATACAGGTTGTGCTGGTGCCCGGACGGTCAGCAAGTGCGGGGCCAAAACCAAAGTTCCATCTGTGCGCTTCCACAGGACTTCAGCATCGACTTTGGCAAGTTCACACTGCTGGGCCCTGGCCCATTGCAACAGGACCGGACCTGCATTAGTGGCGAGATCTGTCGCATCTCCGGACTGCAGGGTCAACTGTCTGATCAGGACAGGGTTGTAGTGATGGAGACATGTGCAGTCAACATTGGTCGAACCTCTCCCGCCCTTCTGTACAGTGCGCTGACTCTGTCCAGCGGGGCCATGGCCATGTCTGATGTGACGCTCACTTTTCCCGGTGGCGAGTATCGCCTGTGTTGGTGCAAAGAACACGGACCTGGTTCCTGTGACAACATTGTTGACTTCACTACGGATTTCGGTGGACTGCAGGTTCTGGGTCCTCGTCCTCTCTTGCAACATCGCACCTGTGTGAGCGGATTTCGATGCAATCTTCGTAGCTTTGAAGGTGTCGGCCTGTCAGTTGGAGACCAGCTTCTCGTCCTGGACACATGCGCAGTTGGCAAGGTCCTGCCACATTTCACTGCTGCAGGCATAGTGCAGGAGGTTACAGCCTCCGGGGCTCAGATGTCGTGGGGGCAGGCTGCGGTGACTGCAAGGGGTGGTGTATATCGCTTGTGCTGGAAAGCTGGGTCTCCTAGAGTCGCAGACCTTCCTGCTGTCAATGCTCCTTGGCCACCAGGTATCGTGGCCTCCGATTTTAAAGTGGACATCGGAAGCCTGACGCTGGTTGGAGTGAGCCTTTTTGACCAAGATCGCACGTGTATCAGTGGCCGGACTTGTCAAATCGACGGCGTGCGTGGACAAGACCTTTCCGAAGCAGATAAGTTCCTTGTGCTGGACACATGTTCCGCTGGAACACTGGCACCGGGCTGGCCAGAAGCTGGCTACGCCGTAGATGTTTCAGCGGTTGGCACGAGTGTCTCCTGGGGTGCCGAGATCACTGGCCCAGGCGGATCCTACCGCATCTGCTGGTGCACAGGCTCTGCACAGGATGGCAACCGGAGCGGCCTGGCCTGTGGCCATGTGGACTCCCAGGGTACAAATGGCCTGGTGGACATGGGAAGAATGCTTCTTCTTGGACCAAGTCCTCTTCAACAGCATCGGACCTGTGTCGCCGGGCGAGCATGCGCTGTGGATGGACTGGTGGGCTTCGGGCTTTCGACATTGAGCACATACTTGGTGACCGACACCTGCGGCCAAGTTGGTGCCATCAACCGATTTGTAGGCTTTGGTGCAGCAACTCTTGTGCAAGGCAGTGGGGCCTTGGTTTCTTGGGGTGCACTGGTCACAGCATCTGCTGGCAACTACCGGCTATGTTGGTGCGAAAAGGTGCCCGGAGCTGGAGACTGTTCCTTGGCCGACGGGTTTCGTGTGGATGTTGGAGAATTTCTACTTGTGGGGCCGGCTCCACTGAACCAGCAGGGAACTTGTGTGAGTGGACACACGTGTGTTTTGACTGGTATAGACGGTGTTCACCTGGAGACAGGGGACACCGTTCTTGTCTTGGAGACATGCTCACATAATGTGCGGCCTCCGCGCATGTCAGATCCTGGTTACTTGAGTTACGAAGCTGCGGCTCAGAACTTCTCAACTTGGAGGAGGGTTCTGAGCTGGAGCAAGATTACATCGGCCGGCTCACAGTATAGACTCTGTTGGTGCTCCAAGCGAGGGCCTGAAACCTGCACAGAGTCAATGGATTTTGGCAGCATTCAGCTCATCGGTCCGGCTCCGCTGTCTCAGCATCGCACATGCGTGATGGGACAGACTTGCTCACTGGGTCGCATTACCGGGGCCCATCTGTCCTTCACTGACGATCACTTGTTGGTCATGGAAACCTGTGGCACCTACAGTAGCTTGCATGGCTTTCCTGATGGTGGAGTGACCATGCTGTCTGGAGCAGATGCTGTCGAAGTCAATGACTCGGTGAAGGCGCTAGAGGTGATGTGGACGTCTGCACCAGTATCGGCTGCAGGAGGTCAGTTTCGCCTGTGCTGGTGTTCCAGCCTGTCCGATGAGAGTTGCGTGAACTTGCCAGACAGCCACGTGGATATCGGTGAGCTGATGCTCATTGGCATCTCTCCACTGACGCAGGACCGGACGTGCGTAAGTGGCCAGACGTGCAAGTTTCTGGATGTGACAGGCTTGCATCTTTCCAACACTAGCTTCCTTCTGATCCTCGAGACTTGTGGCATGCCGGCCCTTGTGGAGTCCTTTCCAACTGCAGCCCTCCTCTTGAACTCCACCACGCTGGACTTGGAAGTAGACTTTGGCAGGATTCTGACGGCGGCAGGGGGTAACTATCGGATGTGTTGGTGTGCGGGTGCCCCTTTTCAGTGCGAGTCTGCCGGCGACTTTGTGGTTGATATTGGATTGTTGCATGTTCTTGGTGTAAGCTCCATGCTTCAGAGTCGAACATGCATCAGCGGCCAGACGTGCGAGTTTGGTGACATCATGGGTACATCTTTAGACACGGACGATCTGCTTGCAGTTCTTGACACTTGTGGGGTGCAGGGTGCGCTTCCCAGAATTCCGATGTTTGCAGAAGTCAGCCTACTACATGGTGAGTCGGCTACCTTCTCCTTCGGCTCCAGCCGGGTAACTGCCGCTGGTGGTGTCTATCAGCTTTGCTGGTGTGCGGCAAAGCACCAGCGCTGTGAAACGGCTGACAGCTTCCGGGTTCATGTGGGCGAGCTGCTGCTTTTGGGCCCACATCCACTGACGCAGTCCAGGACCTGCGTGAGTGGGCAGAGCTGTCTCGTGGATCCGCTCGCCGGCGTCTTCGTTTCCAGCTCGCGGCTCAGATTCGGCAAATCCCGGCATGCAACAATGTAGGCCCCTCGCATCGCTTTACATCCTTAGCCTTAATCCGAGCTGTGCATACTAAATGTCATTGCAGTCGGTGGATGTCGGTGATACTCCTGAGGCACCGACCTTGTGCTGGTGTTGGACACGTGTGGTTACAGTCAAAGATCACAGGATGCCCGTCTACTTCTGCAGAGCTGGACAGGCAACAGATCGACAACCCTTTGGGGCGATGGTGCGCCAGTGATCATGGCCGGTGGCCAGTACCGGTTGTGCTGGTGCGGTGCTGTAGGGACGGGAGAGGACACTAATTTTACCAACTCGAGCACACCCCTGCAGTGTGCTGCTGCGTCACAAATGGTAGTGGATGCTGGTGAGATGGTGGTCGTTGGAGTTACGCCGATGCATCTGCAGCACCGCACTTGTGCGGTTGGACTTGCATGCTCAATAGGTATAGAAGGCTTGCACTTGTCCAATGAAGACCAAGTGATGGTGTTGGCGACCTGTGGGACGGAAGCGCTCGTGGATGGCTTCCCGCACTTTGAAGCCAGAACAACCGAGGGCTGGCTGTCAATTGGTTGGGGACCGGTCAGTGCGCAAGCAGGGCAGTATCGGCTCTGCTGGTGTTCTGGGCTTGAGATGTGGCCCCTGCCCAATGCTTCGTCTGTGTCATGCAGCCTGCTGACGTCATTTCAGATCGATGTTGGCGAGCTCACCTTGACAGGACCTGCCCCACTCGAACAGGATCGTACATGCGTCAGTGGACACACGTGTGCTTTCCACAGCATCTCTGGCATTGGCTTCCGTGGAGACGAGCAGTTCCTTGTCCTGGACACATGTGGGATCAATAACTATGTGCATGGTTTCCCAGGAGCTGGTTTTGCGGAGAATTGGACTGTGGATGGCCGGCTAGAGTGGGGGGCCGAGATAGTTACCTCAAGTGGTGGCAACTACAGACTCTGTGCATGTATGAAAGGCACTGCAGACTGCAACTTCGCACAGGAATATGACTTGGACATCGGCGCACTATCCTTGATTGGGCCTGAGCACTTTCAAGATCGGACCTGCATCTCTGGCCAGGCATGCGAATTGTCGGCGATCTATGGACATTATTTGTCAGAAGAGGATTCTGTCGTTGTGCTTGACACGTGTGGGACCCACGCTCTGCCGGAACGGTTTCCGATGGAGGCCTCCGTCACTGTGTCAGGCGAGAGCTTATTGTCCATTCATTGGCAAGGCGTGCCTGTAACGAGCCTGGGGGGCCAGTACCGGCTGTGTTGGTGCCATAGGCAACAGAACTCAACCGTTGCAGTTGAGGCTGCTGACGCCCAGCCCCCATGTACAACATTGCAGGACTTCCGAGTGGATTTCGGACAGTTGTCCCTCATCGGACCATCGTCTTCCCAACAGGACAGAACTTGTGTGTCGGGCCAGTCTTGCATATTTGATGCACCTGCTGGCCATTATCTGTCGACTTCAGATGCCTTCCGCGTGCTGGCAACATGTGGGATCGAAGATTTTGTGCCGGGCTTTCCAGATTCGCACTTGCAGATGGTTTTGGACAGGGGAGGCACATCACTCTCGTGGGGCTCTGAGTTTGTCACGGCCTATGGCGGACAGTATCGGATCTGCTGGTGTTCGGAAAGGTATGCCTGCAGCAGTTCTGAGCAATTTGGCCTCGATACTGGTGAACTCCTCCTCATTGGTCCGAGGCCCCTCGTGCAGCAGCGGACTTGTGAAACTTTTCCATGCACGGTGAGTGGATTCAGTGGCCTCCACCTCTCATCGGCAGATTCCATAATGGTTCTGGACACCTGTAGCCAAGCAACTGCAAGCCAGGATGCATCTGTTGGGTTCTTGGCAATGGCCCTGAGTGTAGCGTCTTCTGGAAGAGGCACGGCTCCACTTGAGGGAAGCGTTACAATCCATCATCAAGTGGTGGGTGGAACCTACCGCCTGTGCTGGTGCGCAGGTACTTACACTTGCTCCTTCTTTGAAGATTTCCGAGTGGACGTTGGAAGCGTGTCGTTTGTTGGTCTTACGGAAAGCTTGCAACACAGAACATGCGTCAGTGGCCAAACATGTTCCTGGTCGGGCCTGGACTTGTGGCTGGAGTCGCCTGATGGATCTGATGGTCGGCTGATAGTACTCGACACGTGTGGCACGGGTGCAGGCCGCGCTCCGTTGCCCAACGGCGCTGTGGTGCCAGAGTGGGGCTTGGAATCAACCATAGATGCATGGGCAGGTACAGAGCGCATGACGATGTGGGCTTCGTGGGGCAATCAGAGGTTGTCTGGGGCTGCTGGGCAATACCGCGCGTGCTGGTGCGATTGGGATTGCCCAGATGGTGATGGCGGGCTGATGTTGGACCTTGCTTCCATCACAATTCTGGGACCAGACCCGCTTTGGCAGCACAGGACACACCATAGCTGGATTCTCACGGTGTCCTTATCCTCACGGCTTTTTCTTGGCTCCTAATAAATATACTGTTAACACGTGCATGTTATTACAAGCCGTGCATGAAATCATGTAGCGAGGCTTCTCGCCAGAACATAATTGTTATGGTTGTGTTAGGACTTTCATTAATAGGGTTTGTCATTCACTCCTTAAACTACATTTTAGGGGCTTCTCTTTTTGCCGACTTTTATAAGGACTAATTTTCATGAATTTCCAAGATTAAATTAACCCCATAGCTGGGTTCATAGCTGGGTTCTCGCGGTGTTTCCAAGTTTCGTCCTTTCTTGGGTACTTTGCACATGAAAGCTAGGGGTCGCCAGTCGTGCAAGTGTCGGGTATCTCTCAGTATCCCTGCGCCCTGAAGGACCTGTGTTCAAGGACAGGCTTGCATCTTTCAAAGTATTTCTGGACAAGGCCTTTCGGCTGACGATCGCTGCTCGATTGCAGAGTCATTGCGGAATCCGTCTGTTGATTCCGAAAGGACCTGGAAGTGAAGGAGTGGACTTACGTACCAGGTAACTCCTCACTAACTCCTCACCGTGCTAAGGGTTGAAGTCTGAGTTTGTTTTGTTTCTGGATGCTTAGGATATATGATTCTGGACACCTGCTCAGCGCAGTCTGTCTTGTCCAGCTCAAGCACGGCTGGGAAGCTGCTGCTGCCAGAGTCGGATCCGCTGGCTGGCGAAGACATCCTCGCCATGGGCGGCGGTGAGTACCGGTTGTGCTGGTGTGCCGCTGGTTTTCAGTGCCTTGGCGCCTCGGACTTTGGTGTGGACGTTGGTACCATGACGTTGATCGGGATCAGTTGTGAAGAGTCACGATGCCATCCCGACCGCACATGCGTGAGTGGCCAGCCCTGCACGATCGATGGAATTCCTGGGCTGCACCTGACAGCCCATGACAGAGTGGCTGTTCTTGATACTTGCGGGGACCAGATGCCGCCACACTTGTTAGGCCACCTGACTGATGCACCCTACACCATTCGCTCGGTGACATGGGATTCTGAGTTCTTGGTTGTGTCTGGAGGTGTCTACCAGCTCTGCTGGTGCGCTGGCGTGTTTGGATGCTCGCTTACCGAGGAGTTCCGGGTTGAAGCAGGCGCCTTAACGATCATTGGCCCTTCTCCTATGGAGCAGCATCGGACATGTGTGAGCGGCCAACGCTGCATCATTGAAGGCTTTGACGTTCTCTTCCCCACAACTTCCGACTCCCTTATCGTGCTACAGACATGTGGCGAAGCATTGTCTGAGGAGGAACCTTCGATGAGCCATGTTGTGGCTACGCTTGGTGCCAGCGGGTCCAGAGTTGACTTCGCTGACGCCTTCTTCACAGCCTCCGGTGGCGAGTACCGGCTCTGCTGGTGCTCGGGCAACTTCGGCTGCAACCTGCCTAGTGATTTTCGAGTGCAGCTGGGATTGCTGAAGATCGTGGGCATGGCGCCACTCAATCAAGACAGGACGTGCATCAGTGGACAGACGTGTGTAGTGCATGGACTCCAGGGTGAAGCCCTGTCTGTGTCTGCTCGCGTCATGGTACTGAACACCTGTGGAACAGCGAGTCTGGCTTCGAATCTGGTCCTGAACGGGGTTGCTGAAGCAGTGGAGGACCAGGGTACGACAATGAATTGGGGCAGTGCTGCATTCACGGCCCCCGGAGGGAAGTACCGGCTGTGCTGGTGCCAAGATCAGGGAAACAGTAGCGACTGGCCAGACCGATGCCGGACACCGACGAATTTTGCACAAGACGCTGGTGTGATGACGATCGTGGGCGTGGCCCCACTGAACCAGCACTACACTTGTATCGTGGGCAGTGTGTGTTCTTTACGAGGTATCTCAGGCGAAGGCCTCCTAGCAGAGGACAACCTGTTGGTCTTGGACACCTGTGGAACTGGTACTCCCCCCGCAGGATTTCCTATAGCTGTGGACAATACAAGCCTTCCCACACGACGAATGACCGGAACGAAGTTCAACATCCAATGGGATTCCGCAGCGGTAACTGCAGAAGGTGGCGTCTATCGACTCTGCTGGTGCTCCTATTTTGGCCAGTGTAGTACTGCTGAAGCATTCAAAGTCGACATGGGATCGCTGACCTTGTCCGGGCCAAGCCCTATCCCACAGACCCAAACCTGTATCTCTGGTCAGAGATGCACATTGCCAAAGGTCTCCGTGGTTCCCACAGATCTGGATGCTGGCGAGGTGGCCGTCCTCACCTCCTGCAGTTTCTTCACCTCCTGGGCTCCACCAGGGTTTCCAGATCGGGGACAGCTGTTGAGTATCCCGAGCCTCCCGATCACTGCACCCGCCGGTCAATACACCCTGTGCTGGAACCCGACACGGGACAACACAAATCGCACCGTGGATGCTGACATTGGAGAGTTCCAGACCCAGTCGGAGCCTCATTGGGCTAGTATAGTAAAGATAACTTCGTTCCGAGCTTCGTTCCGATATGTAGATGCACAAGAGAGCATTGGGGTGCTTTAAAAGCATGTTAAAGCTTCTGCGTAGTTTCTGCAACAATTCTATGAGTCATTCTGCACTTCGGAGGCTTGGCATCCTCGTCGTGCTCGGGCCCGCTCCGCTGGTGCAGGATCGCACCTGCGTCAGCGGACATGTCTGTTCCTTGTCAGGTTTCCAAGGTGAAGGACTAACGCTGTCGGATGAGATCCGCATCATGGACACGTGTGGATTGGACGAAGTCATTCCGAGGGCGCCCAGATCCGGTCACTTCACCCTGGTCTCGAGAAGTGGTGCTGCCGTGACGTGGGGTGCGCAACAGCTCACAGCTGCAGGGGGTATTTACCGGCTATGTTGGTGGTCAGGCTTCCCCAGCACTGTGGTCAATTCCAGTGTTATCTCGAACCCGGACACGCCGGGTGAAGAGTTCGTGGTGGATATGGGCAAGCTAGAGATAATTGGTCCGACACCGCTGCAGCAGCACCGCACCTGCGTGAGTGGACAGACGTGTCATCTCGTCGATGTGGAGGGGCTGAGTCTTGCAAGCAGCAACAAGTGGATGGTCCTTGACACTTGTGGAAGGGCACCCCAAACACGAGGAATCGGTCCGGATTTGATTGCTGCCAGTGGGCTGCAGTGGATATGGAGTGAACCATTAAGTGCAGCTGGAGGCGAATATCGGCTTTGCTGGTGCGCCAGCCTTCCCCTGGCAAACCATTTCTTGACGGAGAACAATGTGACAAACGACACAAATCTGACAGGGTATGTTGAGGCCAGCAACCAGACTGTTGCTTTGGATTGCATCCTCCCTCAAGAATTCTCTGTGGATGTAGGCAAGTTTTCGGTGATTGGTGTGGCTCCTTTGGAACAGCATCGAACGTGTGTCAGTGGACAGAGCTGCCGCTTCTCTGGCATCTCACTCGAGAACACTCCTGGGGACCCAGGCAATTTCATGGCGCAGCCCCCGGCCAAAGCAACCGGGTTTCGCAACAGCAACAGTATCTGCCGGTCCGAAGTCACATGGATCTAAGGTGCTGGATTCTTGTGGTGCTGCCCGCCCAGCCTTCTCCGTGGGGATCTTGATGAGACCTGCCCAGGAGGTTCCTTGCAGTGAATTGTTGACAGAGCTGCTAGTGTAACATTCGGAAGTTTGCAAGTGTGTTGGTCGTTGTAAGACTTGTGCAGGTGCGTGCAGAACCTGCTCCAAATTCCACGCAGCCGTGGTACCCAGCAATTCTTTTTGACTTCTGAAGAATGTGTGTCGGTCGGGTGTTGTTGACACAGCTGCCGTCACAAGATCACATCCCCTTCCGCAAGGCCCGATGGATTCAACTTCGGATCGTCTGCGTCCGTCTCGTGGGGAGACGCTGCCTGTGTGAGAGAGAGACACAGAGAGCGAGAGAGAGAGAGAGAGCAAGAGAGAGACAGAGAGAGAGAGCATGAGGTCATACGCATAGCAAGCAAGCATGAAGGGGCGAGTAGCGATTAGAAAGACACAAGCCGCCCAAAGTGGCAACAGGGGCATGTCGCTTGTGAGTGTGGGTTCACAGCAGAGGGAAGGGAACCGTGACCGTAGGAATGCATAAGACCGAGGCAAAGGGGGGGGGATTAGGGGGAAGCACGGCGCACCTTTCCTCACCCACGGAGCTTTGGACGTTGCGCGCCCCTCGGGGCGGCTCCCCCTCGGGGGGGCCAAGCGTGCAGAGAGAGAGAGAGAGAGAGCGAGCGAGCGAGATTTGGATTGATTCGAGGTGGGGGGGGGGGTTGGAGTATTCGGGGTTCCGACTCGAAGAAATCCAAGAGAGCGGGTATGTTTCACACCAACACAGGCCGTCCCCCTCCCCGGGGGCCATGGGCGCTGGAAGGGAGGACGGAAGGAAGGATCGATCCTGTGAGAGGAGGCAAGATTTCCCTGCGTACGCACTTTTTCGACTCTGACCAGACCACGAACAGAGGGCGCCCGGCGCTCGAGCTTCCTCGTCAAAACCTTGAAAGAGAAAGAAAGACAAAGAGCCCTGGGTCGGCTTGAAAGCAAAAACTCTCGCCTCGTGCCTCATCTGCAGTTCCGGCCCTACTACGCCACAAAACCCTTGCGCGTCTCTTACTGGGGGGGGGGGGAACCGCTGCGTCACGTCCATGACTTGGACATGGACAACGAAATTGCGCTCATCAGGATCAGCGGCCGGGGAGAAGACCACTCCAAGATGACCCCCATAAAGCACTCCAAGCCCACTGTAAGACCACTCCAAGACGAGTCCAAGAGCACTCCAAGTCCACTCCAAGACCATTCCAGGAATGTCCCTTCCACGCATTCTGATGCTGCTCAACTGGTCGTTTTCGTCGACCTCCACCCTCGACTAGCTCGCCGGACCCACCGGGGTTCAGGCACCGCCTCTGTTTTTCTTCGACTGTTTCTGTGTTGCTGATTTTGTTCTTATTTCTTTGGCAATGAGACCGACGTGCACCATGATTGCGCTGCTTGGATCTTGTTCCCATGTCAAAGGCTTCAGTATAGAGACTTAAAGGGGTTAGATCGGCGCGCACCGGCATACGGCCCGAACAATGGGCTTTTTTTGAGGCTGCATTTTGGTCGCAAATCATGCTCTCGCCTGGGTGCGGACATGACTGCGGAGTTCAACAGATGGATTTTTCGTGCGTTGCCGCAACTACGGGGCCCTCTAAGGACGCAACCTAATTGAGATTCACACTTCGCAAGTCGACGCTTTTGGACTTTTGGGCGCACCAATTGCGAAACTGAGGACGTCCGTCCTTCGGGAGCTCCCATGGCAAAGTCGACCTTTGTAGTACAAACATAGTACGTGGAGGATGTCTGGAACCACGAGAAGTCCACTTTTGAGCACAAGCGTAGTGTGCATTGGACGTCCAGAACCCCAGTGGCTCCAAAGGCAACATTGCGGCGAGGAGGAGACCTTGGTGCTCTTGTCTGCGGCGTTGGGCGCCTGCCCGCCCAGTGTCCGTAAAAGAAAAGGGAGAAAAAAGAATACAAAGAAGAAAAAGACAAAGAATAAGAAGGAAGAACAAGAATAATGGAGAGCGAGGGGGCTTGACCCCTGTCCATGAACGAACGAATGAATGAAAAATACAAAAAAAGGTGAGGGCCAAGTGTAGGGTCACACGCGGGGTGGGCAAGTGTAGCTGGTTCGAAAACGGAAGACAGGGTACCACGTTTCAGCCTTTTTTGTCGACTGCGAGATGCTAGCCAGGAGCCTTGCCAGTCACTGCTGGTGGCGGACAGTACAGGCGTGATTCATCCTGCGGCGGTGCAACCCCAACAACAAATCTGCCGTGTCCTCGCACTTTGATAAACCCCAATGCTGCTTGCCGAAGGGTAGAATTGCCGCTACATTTTGATTCCCAACAGCATGCGGCACATCCGAGCGAGTCTTTCAAGTCATTTGTGACAGGCTCTGCTGGTGTGCTTCGCCAGCCTTCTCCTGCAGCTTGACGGAGGACAAAGCTGTCCAAAGTGAGCTGGCTGCTTTTCATGCTCCTTGGTTTTGCAGGACTTCCGTGTGGATGCCGGGGAGTTTACTTTGATCGGGATGAGTCCTTTCAACCAGGACAGCTGCGTTTTGCAGTTTGCACTACAATCAGTACAAATGTATCCGCATGCAGCTTCTGAGAGGACCGCACGTGTGTGGCTGGGGAGGCCGTGACCATACTCTCATCATTAGTATTACTCTGGCCTTCGTTCTGGTGAGATTTTTATGACTGGGGCATGAGGTACTTCATGCATCTGCAAGCAGCCATGTTCGTTATGTAGCAGCTTGGATCGGCTTGAGTTTCATTCCCTGCCTGCAATCCAAACTCTAAAACAAGTTGTGGGTATCAAATCATATTATTGTTATAACATGCTGTCCCCTTACGTATCCAGGTGTCGTGTGTCTTCACGACGATAGGCGATGAAAGGCGCAGGTGAGAGAACACCATCTTTCCTGAAGCAAACAGCGGGAAAACCATATTGTTTCACAATGTGTGGGGGATCTAGAAAGTTTTGCTGAACAGGAAGATGGCTTTCTGACTGAAACCGACTAAAACCATCGGATGCTACCTAAATCGGAAAACAAGACCATGAATCACGCACCCATGGTTCAGAAAACAGCAAGGAACGAATCAGAAAACAGCGAGGTTTGAATCAGCATGCATGGGGCAATTACATCGGTCTCTCTCACTGGCGGGCCATCGCCGTAGCCTGGAGTGGGCGAGCAAGGACAGAAGAGCCCAACCCCAACCCAAGCTAAACCTAAACCTAACGATAGGCGTCCATAGACCCCTATACAGACCCCTATGGTATGACATTTATCACTTGCGCTCGAGCAGCAAGGTTTGCTTGATTCAAATAAGGGGTTTGTAGGGTTTAGGTTTTAGGGGTTTTCAGGGTTTAGGGTTTAGGGCTGTTTAGGGTGTAGGTCTTGGGGCGTTTTAGGGTTGAGGGCTTAGGGGGTTTTAGGGTCTTAGGGTTTAGGGTTTGTTTCGGTTTAGGGCTCAGGTTTGTTTTGGGTTGAGGGCTTGAGGCTTTAGGGGGTTTGTAGGATTTAGGGCTTAGGGTTTAAGGTTTTTGCAGGGTTTTTTTTGGGGGTTTAGAGTTTAGGGGTTTTAGGGTTTAGGTTTTTTTGGTTTAGGCCTCAGGGTTTTCGAGGCTTTAGGGTTGGGCTTTTGGGGTTTAGGGCTTCGGGGTTTTTAGGGTTTAGGGGTTTTTAGCGCTTAGGGGTTTTAGGCTTTTAGGGGTTTTTGGGGTTTGGGGTTTAGGGATTTTTAGGCCCCTCCCATTTGCAAACGCAACACTCGCTTGATGCGCAGCCCGCTCCATTTGCAAACACAATGCTCCCATGACGGGTTTGCAAAAGCATACCTATGTTTAGGGGTTTTAGCGTTTAGGGTTTAGGGTTTAGGGTTTAGGGTTTTTTTCCATTTGGATTCATTAGGGTTTAGGGCTTAGGGGTTTTTAGGGTTTAGAGGTCTCGGGGTTTGAAGGGTTTAGGGATTTTTTTGGGCGACTTTTGTTTCTGATTCGTGCCCTGGTGTTTTCTGATTTGCACCGCCGTGTTTTCTGATTTGCACTCCTGTTTGCTGAGTTATGCTTGGCTGATTTGCCTGCTACCCGAAACCATCTTTTCCTATCTTACCGAGACCACACGTCTTCAGTGCAAAGATGCTTGTTTGCTCGCCACAGCCATCTTTTCCCGCAGTACAAAGGACGGTTTTTTCCACTAAAACCATCTTTTCAGATGGTGTTCTCGCCAAAATCTTCTTTCGCTTTAGTTAAGGATGGCATTTGTCGCCAAAGCTTTTTTGAGAGAAAAGATGGTATCTCACCAGAACCATCCTTGACCCTAATAAAGATGGTCATCTCATTCAAAGCCATCTTTTGTTCTGAGTCAAAGTCCTTTTACGTTTTATTCAATCCACTTAATAAGTAGCAAAATATCCGTTATCCAATGAATACAGCTAGCCCCAAAGTAAAAAAACACTAGCCCTTGACAATTGATTTTGGCACATCGAATTGTAGCAGACCTCCAGTTATTTTAAGTTAAATGAGCCGGAATAGTTGCATTCTTAACTTTAATCACGAAAGCTAGCGCAGCGAGGCTTGATGAGTGCAGCCTTTGCTTTAGCACAGGAGGGGGGTCAGTATTGAAAAAACTCCCCGCTCGCTCACCCCCGCCGCTCACCCCCTCCCCCCCTGCCACATAACCCGCACCTTCCCTCCTGTCTTGTGGTGGGGGGTGGTGAGGTGGTGGTTGTAGGAAGTTTAGGGTTTAGGGTTACAGGGCTTTAGGGCTTTTAGGGTCTACGCCTTAGGGGTTTAGGCTTTTACGGTTTTGGGTTTAATGTGTTTGGTTTTTAGGGTTCTGGAGTTTCAGGGCTTCGGGTTTAGGGCTGAGGTTTTTGTCGTATTGGGGTTTAGGATTTAGGGTTTAGGGTTTTGGAGCTTAGGGTTTTGGGGCTATAGGGGTTAGTGTCTCATGGGTGTTGAGGATTTAGGGTTTAGGGGGAGGGGGTAGACCCTGGGCAGGGGAGAACGCACAGCCCACTACCGTTGTCGTGTTCTCCACGGCCCCCCCTGCTGGTCTAGGTGACCCCGTGACCCCCCCTTTTCCTTCTGTGCGGTTGTGGGTTGGTGTTAGGGGTTCAGGGAATTGGGGTGTAGGGTTTCCCCGTCCCTCCCTTTGGTGTGGGTGTGGGTTGGTGTTAGAATTTGGGGCTTAGGGTTCCCGAGATTTCGGCTTTTAGGGTTTAACTTTTTCAGGCTTAGGGCTTTTTGGTTTAGGTTTTAGGGTTTTAGAGTTTAAGCTTTAGGGTTTATGTTCATGTAACTGTGGGGCGTTTTTCGGGGTTGGGGTTTAGGGCTTCTGGTTTAGGGCTTTCGGGTCGGTTTAGGATTCTGGGTCCCAGGCTTTAGGGCTTATAGGGTTTTAGCTCTTATAGGTTTTTAACGTAAGGCTCAGGTTTTTTAGCTAGGGTTTGGGCTTGGAGCTTGAGGGCTTTGGGTCCCTAAGCCCTTAAACCCGAGACCCTGCCCAAGAACGTTGGAAGTGTATGGGGTGCTGCCCATAAATCAGAAACCAAGATCTCGAATCACACAGCCATGGTTTAGAAAACAGCAAGGGCAGAATCGGCAGGCAGATCGCCGTAGCCTGGAGTGGGCGAGCAAGGACAGAAGAGCCCAACCCCAAGCCAAACTAACCTAACTTAACCTAACCTAACCTAACCTAACCCAACGGAACCTACCCAAACCTAATCTGCAATGCAAGAGGCCAGGCCCCGAACCTAACCTAACCTAACCTAACCTAAGCTAGCATGATAGGGTTACGTAAGGGAGTGGTTTTCGGGTTTAGGTTTAGGGATCTCCCCCTAAGACACATTTATTGAAGATAGGTCTACTATGTACCCCCCCCCGCCCCCCCTGATGATAGGCGTCGATAGACCCCTATACAGACCCCTATGGTAACAATTTTATCACTTGCGCTCGAGCAGCAGGGTTTGCTTTATTTAAATAAGAGTCTTTAGGGTTTAGGGGTTTTCAGGGTTTAGGGTTTAGTGTAGGTCTTGGGGCGTTTTAGGGTTGAGGGCTTAGGGGGTCGTAGGGTTTTAGGGTTTAAGGTTTTTTTTTCGGTTTAGGGCTCAGGTTTCGTTTTGGGTTGAGGGCTTGAGGCTTTAGGGGGTTTGTAGGATTTAGGGCTTAGGGTTTAAGGTTTTTGCAGGGTTTTTTTGGGGGTTTAGAGTTTAGGGGTTTTAGGGTTTAGGTTTTTTTGGTTTAGGCCTCAGGGTTTTTGAGGCTTTAGGGTTTAGGGCTCAGGTTTGTTTTGGGTTGAGGGCTTGAGGCTTTAGGGGGTTTTTAGAATTTAGAGTTTAGGGTTTTTTTGTTTTTTTGGGTTTAGGGTTTTTGTAGGGTTTTTTAGGGGTTTAGGGTAGGGGTTCTTAGGGTTTAGGGTTTTTTGGTTTAGGCCTGAGGGTTTTTTTGGCTTTAGTGGGTTTTAGGGTTTTGGGTTTAGGGTTTAGAGTTTGGGCAATTTTGGGGTTTAGGGTTTCGGGGTTTTTGAGGGTGTGGGGGTTTTTAGGGCTTAGGGGTTTTTAGGGTTTAGGGGTTTTTGTATTTTTTGGGTTTAGGGATTTTTAGCCACCCCTCCCATTTGCAAACACAACACTCGCATGATGGGTTTGAAAAAGAATGAGGGGGGGGGGGGGTTGGCGCAGCCCCCCCCCCCCCACCCCAATTTGCAAACACAATGCTCGCATGATGGGTTTGAAAAAATGCCTATGTTTAGGGGTTTTGAGGGTTTAGGGTTTAGCGTTGTTTACAGTTTGGATTTATTAGGGTTTAGGGCTTGGGGTTTTTAGAGTTTAGAGTTTTCGGGGTTAGAAGTTGAGGGGTGTTTAGGGTTTAGATCTTTTTGGGTTTAGGGCTCATGGCTTCTTAGGGTGTAGAGGGCTTGTAGGGCCTGGTTTTTTTTGGGGCGTAGGGTTTTTTAGGGTTTAGGGTTTAGGGCCAGGTTTTAGGGTTTAGGGCTCAGGGGTTTTGAGGGTTTAGGGTTTAGGGTTTTGCGCCCACTGTTGGTGACTTTGTTTTCTGATTCGTGCCTGTTTCTTTTTTCTTTTCTGATTTGCCCTCATCTTTGCTGAGTTATGCTTGACTGATTTGCCTGCCACCCTGGAAGTGTATGTACTGTTTGGTTCCCTTTTTTCTTGGAAGTGTGCCTACCGTTGTGGTCATGGTTCTGGGAAGTTTGCCTACCGCCGCTTTGGTAGTTTTACCTACCATCGTGGCCGCCTGGTTCTTGGGAATGTATGTAGCGTCTTGGAAGTGTACCTACTGTTGTCGTTGTGGGAAAGCTACGCTGTTGAACAGGCTAAATCTCGTTTTTGATCCTAACATCTTTGGAGTCACCCTACCTGGACTTAAATGCAACAATCCAAAACAATTCAATACACTAAACATCATGAGTTAGGGTTGGCTGTGCAGCAATAAGGAAAATAGACCCTCAAGTTCTTTTTCATTATTATCATTCTTTATATATATATATATATATATTTTTTTTTTTTAAATCTCTCTCTCTGTCTCATACATATAAAAAAGTGTATGTATATATGTACATATACATAGACATATGCATCTATGCCATACAACCAGATGTTGCTACGCGCCAGGTCTGTTCCACTGGCGGCTTCTTGGGACAGCATTTGTCGGTCAATGACAGGCGCTCTGATGCCTCGATGGGGTTGAGAATTCGTTTGAAGGTAAAGATGTGCACAGGCGTTGTCTATCATTGTTCATACATTGAGAAGAGGGCGGGTGCTGTCATGTTGACTTTTAATAATGCTGCATTGACCTTATGTGCTTGTCGCAGTCTCCTGGTTGTGGACACTTGTGGCAGCTCGGAGCTGGCAGCTTAAAGTGCTGGCCATCATTGGCTCGTTGGCGCTCGTTGACCATTCCTCTGCTCATGCACCTGGTCCTCAGGTCGACCTGGGCTGAGATCGGCATGCCTGTGAATCAGGACACCTCTGGCGTACCCATCTCGCCAGGCTCGAGAGAGTGCATTAAGACATGAGGAAGAGAGCGAAGATGAGCAACCCACATCGAAACAAGTGAAGCGCAGGTTGGACCTTTCAGCACACCACGGTTCCAGGAGGAGTCTACAGGCAACTTCATGCAATGAAGTCGTTGCAAATGTTGAAGCTGTTTCGTCTTTCCGAAGGCTCTGCTGGTGTGGCGATTTGCAGCCATGCAGCACGTTGGAGCAGTTCAGGCCAGCTACGTCGTGAAATTAGCGATTTGAAGAGGAACGCTTTTGTGGCCTCATGTGGCCTGACCGTGCTACCAGGTTCGACGTTGGAGGCCTGTACTTGCTTGGTCCATCTCCTTTGGGTCAGCACAGGACTTCAATCTGCAGACATGAAAGGCATTGTACTGCATTGTGCGCGCGCGTACTAGCTGCAGGACGTGCATCAGCGGCCAATCCTGCCCTATGAGTGACCTGCAGGGCTTCGCTATGCCCATTGAGAGCCAGGCTGGAGAGGTCACTGGAAGATACTGGAAGTGCTTTGGGTCACTTGATTTGCCTTTTTTTGATTGTGCTCCAAGTGCAGGTGGTTGTGCTGGACACTTGCGGTACCAGTGCAGCTATGCCCCTCACATCGCCAATCCCCACTGGTGCGGATGGCAGCTTCTTGGCCTCTTGGCTGCCAGCGAGCCCCCCAAACTCGAGAGTTGCGAGAGTTGCAAGCGTGTTGCACGCATGTTGCAAGCTTGGGGCTCGTATTTCCTCGCTTGAAAAAAAAACAGCTGAAGAAAAAGCTTCGAGGCCGCGGCCAGTGCTCTGCCCAGCTGCTGGCCAACCATGCAAGCGGGCAGCAGTCGGCAATGCCGAGCTGCAGGCCTGCTCGCGTCGCTCGCGTCGCTCGCGTCGCTCATGCTCGCTCGACTCGCTAAGCTCTCGTCAAGCTCTCGTCAAGCTCGAGCTGAGCTCTTGACGCAGGTGGCCAGTACAGGCTTTGCTGGTGCAGCGGCTTGGTGAGGCACGGGTTCCTGCATTCTCCCTCTGAGCTTTCTGCAGTGCGCTGGAATGAGATCGCCTGGCCACAGGAATGTGACAGTTCCGCCAAATGCCACGACAACCTGGACTGACGATCCTGACACCTGGGGCACCTCATGTTTGCGAGGAGAAGACTTCGACATTGATGTTGGCACTTTCATGGTGGTCGGACCGTCACCCATTACACAGCAGATGACTTGTGTTTCTGGGTGGACATGTGCACTGGAGGTAACTGGCACGGGCATTCGTGATGTCGATCGTGTCATGATCCTGGAGACTTGCGGGGTAGCCTCATTGGTTGAGGGCTTACCGCACTCGCTGGGCACAGAAGTCGTACATGCATCCGGGGGTACCTACCAGCTGTGTTGGTGTGCCACATCTGGGTTGTTCAGCTGCAGCTTGTCTGTCGAGTTCACCTTTGGATTTGGACAAATGCACATCCTGGGCCCTTTACGAGGACAGGATAGAACCTGTGTGGCCGGACAAACATGTGCTGTGGACATTCTCGGGCTGGGTATCTCAGATGAGGATCGGTTCTGGGTTTTGGAGACCTGTGGAGCATTCGCCGCCCTGCCCAGATTCCCCGCATCAGGTCTTTCGGCTCCCCTCTCCGATGCAAACAGCTCTACAGGCTCTACATACTTTGCTATCACGTCTACAGCGATTTCCTGGGGCCTGACAGCTGTGACAGCCCAGGGTGGAGACTTTCGGCTTTGTTGGTGTTCCAGCACTGCCTCACGAATCTCCAATCGTTCCTGCTCCTTTCATCCCTCCTACTATCTGGTGAACACAACAACAAATCGTTCTGGAGCAGTTGAATCTCTGGCTTCAGCCAACAATGGCTTTCTCTTTGATGCAGGAAGGCTTCGTATTCGGGGTGTCTTCCCCTTGGAACAGGATCGCACGTGCATATCCGGCCAGATTTGCCAGATAGACGGAATCACTGGGATGGATCTGAAGAGCGGAGATGCTGTAATGGCATTGGAGACCTGCGGCGTGAACCACGCCATCAGCCGTTTTGCCTGGGCAGGGCGAGCAAGCAATGTTGCAGCCAGTGGCTCAACGTTCTCGTGGGGCCCTGAACCGGTCACTGCGGCCGGAGGAGTGTACCGCCTTTGCTGGTGTGCGGCCTCAAGTCACAGCTGTGGAATACCGAGCAGCTACGCTGTTGATTTTGGATCCTTGACGTTGCTAGGGTCAAAAGCGGAGTTGATCTCTCATTCGCGAACTTGTGTAAGCGGCACCATCTGCCGCTTGCACCAACTTGAAAGCCAGCAGTTGACTCCAAGCAGCCAGTTCCTGATTCTAGATAGCTGCGGCGTTGCGAGCCAAGTATCTCGACTCCCCATCACGGCCTCACGGGACTCAAACGGGACATTTTCCAGTCTTGAGTTTCGCATCGCGACAGCCGCAGGGCAGTATCGGCTTTGCTGGTGCGAGCAGGAATGCACCGACGCCTTGCAGTTTTCGTTCGATGCTGGCAGCTTCATGCTGTTAGGACCGAGCCCGCTGGATCAACACCGCACATGCGTGAGTGGGCAGCCGTGCGCCATAGAGGGACTCACTGGCATCGGGTTGCAAGACCTACAAGGAGGCAGCTTCTCTGTTCTCGAGACCTGCAGCACACCACCCTGGAATCCAACTTTCCCGCCAGTGCCAGGGTCTCAGTGCTTGGATGGAGGGTCAGTACTGTGGCTGTTCAACAAAGTTCTCAATGACTTTTCAGCTGCCAAGCTTTCAGCTTGCACCTTTAGTAAATTAGAGTACAGGGAAAGCGAACTTTGCACCGCCGTTTTGGCCCGGTGGCATATTTTGGCTGACCTTCAAAGCATTTGCATGTGCTTGTTCTGATTGTTCGACCTTGCCCGTTCTCTTCCTCACCAGTTCAGGCAAAAGGACCTGTGATGTGTTGAGACATCAGCTTAGGTGTCAGGTTTAGGCCGTTGTGGGCTCAAAGCTTGAAGGCATCTCACACCAATCCTTGGATTAGTGCTTAAAGGACCCCACGACCTCAGATTCCTCTGGGACCGTCGTGGAGTCTTCCACAGGATGCCCCATAAACCATTTCACGCTACTCTCGAAACCTCCCACATCCATAACTTTCACATGCGAGCGTGAAGGTAGATGTCCAAACGCCCATATGGAACACATGCTTCGAAGCAAGATAGCAACATTTAATCAAAGGTTCAGTTAGCAGTGACAGACACCTTTCCGGCTTTACACCTTTCAGCGCCCAGGTCATCGATTCGGGTCACACCGGGAACCGACGAGGTGGCGGTATTCTGGAATGCATCCATACTCCTTGAGGGTGGCCGATACAGACTTTGCTGGTGTCCTCGGGGTTTTCAGGCTTCTGGCTGCACAGCGGAGGCAGATTTCATGACCGACGTCGGTCGTATTGACCTTGTGGGGGTATCTCCATTGCCACAGCACCGAACATGTGTGAGCGGCCAAACTTGTGAGTTTGATGGGATGACGGGGCACTACCTCTCCAATGCAGATGTGTACCTGGTGGCTGATACGTGTTCCACTACATTGGGCCTGCCACGCTTCTTGGGCAGCAGCAGCTTCTCCACTTCAGTCACAGATTCTGGGGCGCGCGTTTCGTTTGGATCTGTGCCGGTGACAGCAGCGGGCGGTCACTTCATGCTGTGTTGGTGCTCTGGCTCGCTTGCAAACGGCTGTAGCAGCCCGGCCCATTTTCAAGTCATTGCCGGCACGCTCAGCTTATTGGGACCAGCTCCGCTCTGGCAGGACAAGACATGCATCAGTGGCCACACGTGCAGCTTTGAAATGACCAACCACCTACCACATGCAGGAAACTCCTTCTTGGTCATTGACACATGTGGCACAAACAGTCTGCCACCTCGTCTCCCTTCTGGACCCTTTCAGACCACCATGTACCTTTCCTCTTTTTCAGTGGGCTTCATAGATGCCGACGGAGATGGTATCACTGCTTGTGGAGGAGATGAGTGCTTCAACGATCCCAACAAAATCTACGGAGGAATCTGTGGCTGCGGCGTCCCCGACGTGGACACGGATGGTGATGGTTTGGTGGACTGCTTGGATTGGTGCCCGCTAGACCCCAACAAAACCCTGCCAGGGTACTGCGGATGTGGTGACACCGAGGATGACACCGATGGCGACGGGGTGTTAGATTGTGCTGACAAATGTCCCCTTGACCCGACGAAGACCAACCCTCAGCTCTGCGGCTGTGGAGTGCCAGATACGGATTCAGATATTGATGGTACTCCGGACTGTTATGACAAATGCCCTAGCCAGCCAGATAGCGTTGCTGGCGTGTGCCAGTGTGCTGCAAGCTTTGCCGACGATGACTTCGACGGAACGCCAAACTGCAATGACTTGTGTCCACTGGATCCACTCAAGCTGGCGCCAGGGCCTGCGGGCTGTGGCGCTTCAAACACCGACACAGATGGCGATGGCACTGTCGATTTCTTGGATATGTGCCCTCTCGATGCCAGCAAAATTGAGTACGGAGAATGCGGCTGTGGGGTTTCTGATGTCGATTCAGATTCGGATGGATTGCCTGACTGCGTTGACGCTTGCCCCCTGGACGGTGGCAAGAACTTGTCGGGCATCTGTGGATGTGGGATATCGGACGAGGATCCTGATGGAAATCGAAGGCCTATTTGTTTCCCGGATTGTCCTCCAGTCTCCACCACCACACAGTACGTTGTCTCTGTGGCCGGACTGGGCATGGAACCGACTTCGATGGCCGGAGGCCAGTACCGCCTCTGCTGGTGCGCTGGCATGTTAGGATCCAGCTATGGAAACAACCAGTCCAATGGGACTAATGGGACTAGCAATGTGACCTTCAGCACATGCTCGCACATGGAGGATTACAAGGTCGATTTCGGTGGCCTGCTGGTTACGGGGGTGGCTCCATTGAGGCAGTCCAAGACCTGTGTGAGTGGCTCGTCTTGCATCGTCGAGGGGCTCACAGGCTATGGCCTAAGCGCGGCTGATGGTTACATGATATTGGAAACCTGCGGCGTAGCGTCGGGACCTCTTCTGACACTGCGGCCCTTTGAAAGCGATGGAAACGTCAGCAACGGGTGGTCAGTGACGCGGCGCTGGGTGTCTGGCACACAAGTCTCTGGTGGCTTCTACAGACTCTGCTGGTGCGCCGACCATTTCAACAATCACACCTCCTGGTGTCAGCACGCTAAGTACAACACAGTGGATTTCGGTACTATGTCCTTTATAGGCCCAGAGCTTTCCACAGTTGGATGGACATGCGTATCAGGGCAGACTTGTGTTGTGGACGCGATCACAGGCAATGGCTTGTCTTCTCTTGATGCGCTGATGATCCTCGAGACATGTGGAACAGCGCTTTCCGACTCCGACATCCCTTGGCCGTCGTGGCCAGCAACTCCGCTCGACGTGCTCACTCCGCTCACAGGGAGTGCATACTGGCATGATCCTCTTATTGCCCCGGGAGGAGACTTTCGCCTGTGCCCCAGAAACCCATCATGAGTGATGAGTCAGTGAGGATGATGAGTTGTCTCACACGTCTCACCTTTCTTGTCACTAAGCTTCCTAGCTGACTTGTTGCTCACGACTGCTTGTGCCTTGATGCCAAGGTCTTTGCTGGTGTGCCGGCATAGATCAGCGATCAAATCTATGGAACGGCTCCTGCATTTCCGGCAATGACACAGCTCCTATGGACCACTTCACGCTAGACGTGGGGCGTGTTACAATCCTAGGGGTTGCGCCCCTTACTCAACATCGTACTTGCATTGCCGGGCTTCCTTGCCACATCCACGGCATCACAGGCAACGGATTGGCAGATGGAGACAAGGTGCTTGTCCTTCATACATGTGGCCACGTAGCGCATGTGAATGGATTTCCCGGATATGGATCTATGCAAGACGTGTCTATGTCCGGGGCATCGGTATTCTGGACGTCTCCAGTCACGGCTCTGGGAGGGCGATATCGCTTGTGCTGGTGCTCCTTCGGCCAGCATTGCAGTAGTGGCGAGCAGTTCCGCACTGATTTTGGCAGCTTCACGCTCGTTGGGCCAAGCTCGTCCGACCAAGACCGAACGTGCATTGCCGGAATGAGCTGTGCAGTTGGTGCTATTGCAGGACAAGACTTGTCTGCCCTTAATCAGTATGTCATTTTGGACACCTGCGGAGTTGCAAGTACAATCGGCGGTATGCCTTCATCTTTGCACACCGCTGGCTTCAATGCTGCAATGGCCTTGTCTGTGACCGCCGTGGCTGGCCAGTACAGGCTTTGCTGGTGCAGTGGCATGCCGGACTGGTCCCAAGCTGAGTTTAACTCGACGCAGAATGAAACGAACAGCACCAACAACGGTCGCACCCTTTCATTCTGGAATCAGAGCCTGGTCAATCTAAGTGCACCCACAAACCATAGCAGTGCTTCCTACTGTCAAACTGCCGCGGAATTTAGAATAGATGTTGGTTCTTTGCTTGTGGTTGGAGCAGCAACGTCGGCGAGCGATTTCACGTGTATAGCTGGCAGAGACTGCGAACTAGACCACATTGTTGGCATCAGCCTGCACGATGGAGACTCCATCGTTGTGCTTGACACCTGCGGCGAGCCAGGTGCTGCATTGCAGCCTCGAGCTCTTGCCAATGGTACACATGCAGCCTGGGAGACGATTACGACACCAGGAGGTGTGTACAGACTATGCTGGTGCAGTGTCTCCAAGCTGTGCCGCTGGGCGGAAGACTTTGACCTGGACATTGGCCGCCTTTACGTCTTGGGTCCGCGACCTTTGTTGCAAGACCGAACGTGTGTTAGTGGGACGGCATGTGCAGTTCAAGGCATAGAAACTCATGGAGTCCTGCAGGCAGGCAGCGTTGCGATCCTGAGTACATGTGGGGACGGAACAGACGGAACAAACTTGTGGGCTGGCATGCCTGTGAGTTTCACGTCGCTACAAGAGCCTGGAAGCAGTCAGTTCTTAGCCAACCTCGTAACAGACGTTGAAATGACTGCTGCTGGGGGTCAGTACCAGCTCTGCTGGTGTGGCTCCTGGGCTGGTGGTTGCGATTGGCCGGAGGATTTCAATGTTCACTTTGGGAACTTTCTGCTGGTCGGGGTCTCCCCTCTCCAGCAAGACCGAACCTGCTTTACGGGTGCTACTTGTGCCTTGGCTGACATCTCCGGACACGGGATCTCCCAGTCTGCAGTTCTGGTTATGGAGACCTGTGGGTTGGGTCGGGCGACTCTTATGAGATCGTGGGATGAAGCTTCTGTCAGCTCTGCCAGTGGCTCTGTGACAACCTGGGCCATGCAGCCCTCCGGTCCTGGTGGTCAGTATCGCCTGTGTTGGTGCTCGCGCCAGCCTTGCAGTGTACAAGATGCGATTGTGGACTTTGGACAGTTGACCCTTGTTGGCCCAGCACCCCTCTATCAGCATCACACTTGCTTGAGTGGGCTTGAATGTCAGCTGACAGGCTTGACCGGAACCTTCTGGAGTGGAGACGTCTGGGTGCTGGCAACGTGTGGGACGCAAAGTGGCATGATTAGCAGGTTTGCGCAAGATGGACGCTCTCCTATCTCCATTCCTGACGCCGTGGTTAACTTCCAAGAGCCAGTTACGGCTGCAGGAGGGCAGTATCGCTTGTGTTGGTGTTCGGATGGATCCGTCAACCAAAGCAATTGGACACATGAGGCTGCGCAAAGGGGCTGCGACTTTGCTTCAGATTTCGGTGTGGACATGGGAGCCTTGCTTCTTCTCGGCATGTCCCCTCTGACACAGGACCGAACCTGCATCGCAGGACAGAGCTGCCATCTCGCAGATTTGCGTGGATTTGGGCTGTCTTCTTTAGATACGATTGCTGTGCTTGACACGTGCGGGCAACAGGCCTTGCGGCACTGGCCAGCGGAGCCCACGACAATACTCGAAACAGATGGTAAGCTCACCGTGTCCTGGAGCTTTGTCACTGCAGCAGGTGGGCAGTATCGCCTATGTTGGTGTCCGGGGGTGACTTGGACCACAGCAGATGAAGAAGACGAAGATTTCGACCCGTGGACGCGGAATGATACATTGAATAGCAGTGTCTCAGTGCAAACGTTCGAGAGGAGATGTTCTTCAGCGGAGTTACTCAGGGTCGACTTTGGCAGTTTGACGCTTGTAGGCCCAACGCCCCTTTACCAGCAATACACTTGTGTCAGCGGCCAGACATGTGAACTGCAGCATGTGGAGGGTCTCCATTTGGAGGAGGGGGATCGCATCCAGCTGCTCGAGACCTGTGCAGTCACGCAAAAAGTGCCGCTGCGAGTTCCTGGAGGCGGTCTCCTTACGGCCTCTGCAGTTGGCAACAACAGCCTGAGCTTCTCTCTGGGCGATGCACCCATCTCTGGGTTTGGAGGGACTTACCGCCTTTGCTGGTGCTCAGCGGCAGTCGATTGTGCCTTGGAGGCATTCCGGGTGGATATCGGGCAGCTCACCGTGCTGGGCACACACCCACCAAGCCAGGGCTTCACATGCGTCAGTGGAAGGCAGTGCCGCATTGATGGCATCAGCGGCCTCTTCGCTGAGAGCTCCGCCTTCATGGTGCTTGATACTTGCGGCCGCGGCGCTTCCATTGAGCAGGGACAGATCGTCCAAAGTCCAACAGGTAGCAGCCTGTCCTGGGAGTCGGGGATGCTCAGAGGTTCTGGTGGGCAGTATAGGCTTTGCTGGTGTGGCTCTTCAGAAACGACGCAGATCCAGGCAGACAATAGCACCAATTCGTCACCCAGTATGATGCGGACATTGGGATGCGACACATCAAAAGACTTCCTCATTGATGCCGGTGAGATTCATCTGCTAGGGCCGGCGCTTGACCAGGCACGTACGTGCATTGGGGGCCAGCTTTGCCGAATCGAAGGTCTAGTTGGCTACGGCTTGGCCGAGGCCGACCGCCTGCTTGTCATGAACAGCTGTGGTACGGCCGAGCTGCCGACTGGATTCCCCAGCACAGGAACATCTGTGGTACTATCTAATATCACCTGGGGAGCAAATAGCTCAAGCTTGTGGGATTCCGTTATCACAGGACCTGGCGGCACATACCGCTTGTGCTGGTGCACTGCATGGGGCAGCAGCTGCTCTGCATTTCAGGACTTCTTGCTGGATGTTGGGGAGTTCACATTGCTTGGTCCAAGCCCCTTGGAGCAACACCGAACCTGCGTGAGCGGCCGTGCGTGCTTCCTAACACCCTCGCCAGATCACGGCCTCGAAGGGCTTGGAGTCAACCCATCGGATGGGCTGCTTGCCATTCCGCTAACATCCACTTGTGGGACTCTGGGGGCGAAGAGGGTTGAAGGCGTTACGACCAACCTGAGCATGCCTGATCCTGGAGGCTCCTCGCCTGCAGCAGTCGCGCAGGCGGTGACTCGCATCAGCGAGCCCGGTGGGCTCTATCGACTTTGCTGGTGCAGTTCTGCGGCATTGTCCTGCATGACAGAACATCATAGCATCCAGGTCGGGCTTCTGAGCATCCTTGGCCCAGCTCCACTGTCGCAAGATCGATCCTGTATCTCGGGGCGCACCTGCATGGTGGACATCTCAGGGTCCTTTGTTGATGCGCAGCTGGAAGGGATGTTGATGGTACTCGGAACCTGTGGCCTGCCAGATCTGTTGCCACGTTTCCTCCCAGATGGTATGGTGCCACTGACTGGAACGGAGACGAACACAAATCTGTCACTTCGCATAAGTGCCGCTGGTGGCCTTTATCGGCTATGCTGGTGTGCAACCTCAGCGTCATCTCTTATGAATGAGTCCCTTGCGAATGTCTCCCTGGAAGCTTGCAGTGAACCTTCTGACTTTCTTGTGGATGCTGCAGCCTCGGAAACAGTCGTGTCCATGGCAGAAGTTGTGCACAGACGGCAGCCCCCGATTGAAAGACAGCTGAGGTTGGGGCGTTGATGGTTGTGGGGGTCTCGCCCCTGCAGCAGTCTCGAACCTGCATCAGTGGTCAGACGTCGCCTGACTAAAATGAGGTTACATGTCGGAATGTTCTACACAAGATTTTGCAGGCTACTGCGAAGACTCCCATATCCATAGGGGAGCGCTTTTCGAGGTGCTTGGTGGATGGCATCAGCGGGTGGCACCTCTCACTGGAAGACAAGCTCCTGCTGCTCGAAACTTGTGGTGCCGTCCTCGGAACTGAGGTGTCCGTGGCAGGTGCAACAGGTGCAGAAGGTGTCATCATGCTTGCAGTGCTTGCTGAGGTGATGCCCGCGGTTGGGATCGATCGCCAGGACTGGCAGTGGCTGATTCGCTTATTAGCACTGTGCCTTGGCTGCCTCCCCAACGAACTCGAACTCGATGTGAGCTGATTTGGGCAGTCGCGATTAATCGTTTTCCAGAAATGAGAACGTGAGAGCCTGGGGTGAGAAAAACATTTGGCAGCCGAGGATTCTTTGTCCACAGTAGCTTTCTCCTGGGGCACCGAGAAGCTAAGTCTTGCCGGGGGCAAGTACCGGCTTTGCTGGTGCTCAGGCTTGGTTTCAGAGCCATGGTTGCCCAACAGATCAGGGCTCAACGCCACGAACAGCACTGCCTGCACCATGGCTGGCAGCTTTCAAGTTGAAGCAGGTCATATGACCGTGCTCGGTGTGGCGTTTGGGCAAGACCGGACCTGCTTATCTGGGCAAACGTGCCTCATAGATGGTATTCAAGGTCAGCACCTCTCGGTACACGATCTATGGTTGCTCATGGACACCTGCGGGGAGCCAGACCAGGTCATTTCGAATGCCGGGAGGCTAGCTACGACGGTGGCACCGTCTGGTGGCTCCGTCTCTTGGGGAAGTGATGCACTTACGATGGCAAGTGGGCAGTACAGGTTATGCTGGTGCTCAGGCGATGCGCACTGCAGTACATCATCTCAGTTTTCTATAGATGCCGGACAGTTCCATATGCTGGGGCCATCGCCGTTGCAGTCCCACACCTGTATATCGGGACAGACCTGTATCGTCAATGGCGTCCTGGGCATGGGCTGGGAATTCACGGACCAGTTCTTGATCATGGACACTTGTGGACAAAACCAGGCAGGGGGTGAGCGCGAGCGCACGCATCCACCCGTGCACACGCTCGCAAGGATGAGGGCAGGCACGCAGGCAGTCACGTAGGCAGGCACGTCGGCAGGCACGTAAGCAGGCATGTAGGCAGGCACGCACACTTGCACGTGTGCAGGCAGGCACACTCCACGCGGGCATTGATGCGGGCAGGCATGCGCATCGCAGGCACGCACCTATAGCTACGATCACGAGTACTAGCAGCCAAGAGTTCAAAGTTCGGTTGACCCCCGAGTTCAAAGTCCGAACCCTGGGTTCGAACTTTTGAGATCCAGGATAACCCCAAAGTCCAAACTTTATGCCAGCTTGGAGTCCAAACCTCTAAGCCTACTTCAAGCTTCACCTTCACTTCACAGAGCGAAACAGAGTGCCAGATTGGGGTGTATCGAGCCATCGCGGAAAGAAGGCGCAATTCTGCGAAGAAACCAAACCTGGGCGAAAAGGTTTTGAATGGTTTTCATCAACCCTCACGTGCTGCTCGTCGATGGCACGTGCTGTCATTTTAAAGGACCGAGAATACTCCCGAGAATCAAGTTGAGGTTGGAAAAAGGGCCAGGATGGGCGAAGAACGGGGCATGGACCTTTGAAGGTTGCAGTGTCGAGTTGTGTTCTGCATGGAGGCTTGAGGCCAAGAGTCCTACTGCGTGGTTTCGGCGCTCCAAAGCTTGGGAGTCCGGAGAGGTTTCACTCAAAGAGTTCACACGAATTGTTAAGACGTCTTGCGGAAGTCCTGGGGAAGGGTGAAGGGTCCCACGGGGTTCAGGGCCTATTGATGACGAGTCTCGGGTTTCTACACCCCTTACTTGAAGAGGCAGCCCTAAACTATGCGGCACAAAGCAGCTGGTGCTGACTTGATGCTCGGTTTTTTTGAGTTTGCATTTTTCGCTTTGTGCCATCGAGGCTACGCCAAGGCTGGGCACTGGAGCAGCTGTTGCCATTGACAGTTTTGCCGGAAGTTCTGTATCTTACGTATCAGTGAGCTGGGGCGGTGGCCGCATTCTGACATTGGGTGGCAACTATCGACTTTGTTGGTGCCCTGGTGCACTGACATCAGTCAACGGCACCAATCGCTCAAGCGATTGCATCAACTCTCAATTTGTGGCGGATGCCGGTGAGCTTTTCGTTATTGGGCCAACCTGGAGGCAAGATTGGACATGCATCTCTGGTCAAGAATGCTCGATCTCCGGACTTGACGTCGATTCTATTGGAGACTCTGGGCAGCTGCTGGTGCTGGAGACTTGTGGTGCGAGGGGTATCTTGCCTCGATGGTCTGAGGGTGGCCGCCTGACATCAAGCTTGGTCGCCAGCAGCTCGATGTTCTCCAGACTGGTGTCTGCACCAGGGGGCCGCTATCGCCTGTGTTGGTGCGCCATGGTGCCTTACCCAGCAGCGCATTGCGCTTCGGAAGATGAAGGTCAGAACTCGTCCTGTGACTTTTACATGGGCAATTGGAGTGGAAACTTAAGCTCACCCTGTCAAACTGCAGACGACTTTGTGGTCGACATAGGCAGCTTGCATGTTCAGGGCCCTGATCCGCTTGATCAGCACATGACTTGCTTCAGTGGTCAATCCTGCCGCTTCCATGATCTCGCTGGCCTCTACCTCGGCAACGTGAGCAGGGTCATGGTCCTTGACACCTGTGGCACCAATACGCCACCAGCGAGACTAAAGCAGGAGACTTTGGTGACAGGCGGGACCTGGGCGTCGGAAGACATTTCTTCTTCTGGAGGCACATACAGGCTCTGCTGGTGTATGGAGACAGAGTCAAACTCCACTTGGCAGAATTGTGTGCTGGGAGAGCACTTCATCACTGATGCAGGCACCCTGACCGTCGTGGGCTTGAGCCCGCTGAATCAAGATCGGACTTGCGTCAGTGGCCGCCGGTGTGCTGTCAACAATCTGCAGGGAGTGGGCTTAGAAGATTCATCCTTCAGGGTGCTGATTATGAACACATGTGGAATGGACGACACAGTGCCGAAGTGGGCGCACGCTGGAGAGCTGTTGTCGCAGGGCGATCTTGCTGCTTGGCTGGACCTGACTGTCTCAGCTGTTGGTGGTGAGTACCGCTTGTGCTGGTGTTCACTCACCAATCACAGCACGGCAAGTCAATGCTCGCGATCTTCGCACTTCAATGTGGATGCGGGCGCCCTACTCCTTGTAGGTCCAAGGCCGCTTGAACAGGACAGAACATGCATCAGTGGGCAGGCTTGCGTCTTGGAGTCGCTGCTTGGTGTCGGGTGGACGGCTGCTGATGCAGTGTCTGTTCAGTCCACTTGCGGTGCGCAGATGGACGGAGTGCCCGAGAGGTTTATGCAAGGCAGGCCTCGCTTGTTAGAGATGGGTGGAAGCTGGACCGCTGCTTGGGATTCAGCTCGGAGTTCTGCAGCGGGCGGCCAGTACAGGTTATGTTGGCAGGCTGGACAAGAGCTGAATGGAACAGACAGCATCGCCCCAGATGGGGAAGCTTGGATAGACTTCGGGACCTTCACACTGGTGGGTCCATCTTCTCAGACCGGCCACACTTGCCTGAGTGGACAGACCTGCCAAGTGGATGGCTTGCTTGGACAGTTCTTAGATGCCAACGACTCCTTTGTCGTGATGGAGACGTGTGCCTTGGATGATATTCTGATTCTGCTTTGTCCAAGCTCGTTGTTCTTTAGTAGTAGCGCTGTCCGTTCGAGCAAAGCAATTCCGTCAGGTGGAGTTGCCCAAGTCATTCCCAAATTTGCTCTTGCGGGGCACTTCGACAGCTTGCAAGCTAGTGGAGCCACAGTGTCATGGGGAGCTACAGTAAACTCTGCGGCTGGTGGTCAGTACAGGCTCTGCTGGTGTTCTATGATGGGCGATTGCAGCTACCCTCAGTCCTTCATTGTCGATGCGGGTGAGCTTCAGCTGTTTGGCCCAGCTCCTCTTGGGCAAGATCGAACATGTGTAAGTGGCAGAACATGTGCTTTTGAGGCTCACGTTCATGGTGTTCACACGTGGTCAGTATCCATCATGGACACTTGCGGGCTCAGCCTCGACTTGCTTCCTGGCAAAGCTGCTACAGCTGTGCTTTCCCCAGGAAGTGTCGCTGCAGTCACCTTCGACATGTTGACATCGCCGGGGGGCGTCTACAGGCTGTGCTGGTGTGCTTCGAGGATTTGCTCCACTGCGGAGACATTTTCCGTGGATGCAGGGAAGCTAGATTTGGTTGGGGTTTCCCGTGCGCAAGACAGGACATGTATTTCTGGTCGAAGTTGTGAGATTGTCGGGATCCATGGACACCATATCTCTAGTGATGGCTTCCTCCAGATTCTGGAAACATGTGGACAGGCTAGCTCGCATCTGTACTTGCCCAGACAGCAGCTTTTGTTTGAGGGCGGAAGCGCTCGCGCATCTTGGCCATCTGTACCAATAGCTGCCTATGGCGGCAAGTACAAAATCTGCTGGTGCAGCGCAGAGAGCAACGAGGGCTGGAGCTCCTATGCAAACTCCTCGCATGACTGCATATCCTCACAGAACTTCAATGTTGAGGTAGGAAACCTTCTGATGTTGGGGCCGATCTTCCCAGAACAGACGAGGACTTGTGTGAGCGGCCAATCTTGCCGACTGTCAGGTCTGTTGGGTGAAGGCTTTGCCCAGGGATCCGACATTCTGATAGCAGAAACATGTGGAACGGCTTCGGTGGTTTCCGGCTTTCCGCAGTCCAGTCAGACTCTTCAGCAAAACGTGTTGCTGGAAGTTTCATGGGCTGCCGTGACAGCAGCAGGTGGCCGATACCGGCTGTGCTGGTGCGCACCGGTGTACGTGGCAAACAGCTCCAATGGAGCCGGTGAGTGCGAGGTGGCCTCCAACTTTCGGATTGATATTGGCACGCTGTCTCTTCTAGGCCCACTTCTGAATCAGGATCGTACCTGCATTTCTGGCCAAACTTGCTTTGTGGATGGCATTTTGGGAGAAGGTTTGGACTCCGACAGTGTGCTCGTCTTGGAGACCTGCGGGGTCCACACAGTGGTGCCAAGACTTTCTGGCTCAGGCTTATTCACGAACATAACCCGAAGCGGTGCAAGCATCAGCTGGGGAGCGGATCCAAATACAGCAGCTGGAGGGAGCTACCGGCTCTGTTGGTGCTCAAAGGAGTTTACGTGCAGTACCAGTGCAGACTTCCAGGTTGATTTTGGGTCCTTGCGGCTTCTCGGAGTTTCGCCACTGGATCAAAGAGCAACATGTGTGGCTGGGAGGGCGTGTCCAGCACGGTGGACTTTCAGCTTTGGGGATGCGATCGCACTTGACACCTGTGGAGTGCAGAGGGCCCTTGCCCCACCACGTCTGCAAAGCAACATCACCGGGGTCGAGATTCTGGAGAAGGGAGCTGCTGGGAATTGGAGGCTATGCTGGTGCGCATCTGGCGCTAACCAGGCCAACCACTCCGACTCGAATCACACGCCGTGTGAGACCATGCTGGACTATATTGTCGACATCGGGGAGCTGGTGATCCTTGGCCCGCTTCCAACACATGGACACACCTGTGTGAGTGGCCTGCCTTGCGTTGCAGATGGCCTGCTGGGCCTGGACTTGTCTGCGAACCATTCCTTTGTGGTGCTTGCAACCTGTGGCACCGCGACCACTCCTCTCCACTTCCCCAACGCTGCGTTTGCCACATTTGATTCTGTGACAGGCACGCTCCGTTGGAATGGCAATGGAAACAGCTCGCTCACTGCAGTGACCGCTGCAGGTGGACAGTATCGCCTGTGTTGGTGTCGACATGTATCCGATGTGGACTGTTTGGCATCGGCTGATTTCGCCTATGATGCAGGAAGCCTTACAGTATTGGGGCCGGCACCCTTGAAGCAGGACAGAACTTGCATTAGCGGAGCGGCATGTATGTTGGAGAGTTTCACAGGGAACCTACTTTCAGCTCAAGACATGCTGATGGTGACGCAAAGCTGTGGCGCCAAGGATGGGATTGTCATTGGATTTCCAGCATCAGAGCTTGGAAATTCGTCTTTGGTTCTGTCCGCCAACGGTGGCTCATACAGAATTTGTTGGTGCACTGCGCCTGCCAGAGCGTTTGCCGCTGGTTTGCCTTCCTTTACATTGCCCAGGCAGGGCTGCGACCTGACAGAAGATTATCTCGTTGACATCGGGGCCTTCACCATGCTCGGCCCCGCCCGGGATCATGTGAGGACCTGCGTGGCTGGTGCACTCTGCAGCAGTGCACTCCAAGGGCTTGGACTGGGGTCGTTGGACTACCGCTTGCAGATTCTGGATACCTGCTCAGTTTTCGGAGCCCAGGTGGCAATGGTTGAGGCGACCAACAACACTGTGCCATTGTGGTTTCACAAAATCATGTTTGCAGGTGGAGCCTATCGGCTTTGCTGGTGTTCTTCGGAGTGCAACGAGATGGTGGACGTAGGCACGGTGTTCCTGCATGGAGTGGCACCCTTACAACAAGACCGAACGTGTGTCGCGGGACAGGCATGCAAGGTTGAAGGGATTCTGAGCTATGGGAAACTGGAAGCCAGCCATCTTATGATCATGCAGACTTGCAATGTTCACCATGGCATTGGCATCACGGACATTCGTGCTGTGACCGAGACCTCAGTGGCACACGGCAACTTCAGCAATGCTTCTGGTGAGATGTTGGCTGCCCAAAGCAAAGCCTGGTTCCTGGATGAGATGACATTGCCTGGCGGTGGCTACCGGCTGTGTTGGTGCGGGTCCCTGGCTTCCATAGGCTCCAACGACACAGGCAGCCCCAGCAGCAACCTGACAACTCCTGACTGCAGGGTGGTTCCAGGATCTCAGGTTGACTTTGGGGAACTTCTCGTGATTGGACCCTCCACCGTCGTTGAGGTGACTTGTGTCAGTGGACAGTCCTGCATCGTGGACGGACTCCTTGGTAAGCACCTCTCTGTCAACGACTTTATGAGCATCCTGGATACTTGCGGCATGATGCCCAACGAGAAGATTGATGGTTTCCCGCAACATGGCTTGGCAGTGGGGATTGCTGCAAGTGGCAGTGCAGCCAACTGGGGCTTTCAGACCCCTCTCACGGGCCCAGGAGGATCCTACCGGTTGTGCTGGTGTGCGGCAGGCTTTTCCTGTCGCAGCTCCGAGGACTTTTCCATCGAAGTGGGATCCCTTTCATTGCGGGGTCCCAGACCCCTTGCCCAAGACAGGACTTGTGTGGCAGGCTACGGATGCAATGTCGAGTTCGATGGATTGGACATGAGTCCATATGTCGTGGAAGCCATCAGTTCTGTTCGGCTTGCCCTTTTGCCTGCAAATGCTCTTTCTGCAGGCCTCACGCGACTGGATGTGTACTACATGAACCTGCACAGCCCGAACGTGAGTGAAGCCAGTTGGGCAGCATCCTGCAGCATGACGAACACGGGCTCTTTTGCCTCCGCAGAGCAGGGTTTGCTTTGGTTTGCTTGCTCGTGGCAGCCAGCAGTTACTGCGCCTGTGTGGCTTCTTTCGTTACAGTCTGATGCAACACTGCAGATGCATGAAGCACAGTTCCTGGGGCAGAATGGCTGGACCACGATTGCTGATGCAGTTGGGGTACTTGGAGATGCAGCCAAGCTGTCAGATGGAGTCCTTTCAACTTGGGTGCTTGCAAGCTCAGGCGATCCGATCCAGCTGACGTTCACAGCTTTGCAACCAGATGCGATGATCCTTGCAGACACCTGCGCCGTAAGCTCGATAGCTTGGGGTCCTATCCCTCTGAGTTTGCCCACCGCAGAGGTATTGTCAGTTCAGGGTGGCCTTTACCGCCTCTGCTGGTGCGCTCGGGGTTTTGGGTGCGACTTCAAGGAGGACTTTTCCGTTGATGTAGGGCAGTTGACGGTTGTTGGTCCCAAGGCAATGCACAACACCTGCATTGGCGGACATCCTTGCTTGATCGAACTTGCTGGCCAGTACCTCTCAGATCGCAATCAGATCTTAGTTCTCCATACATGTGCCGTAGAAGATGCTCGTATTTGGAAGCTGACGGATATGGGGACCTGGCGGCATCTTTCCAGCAGTGGCGCAGAGCTCTTGGGCACGGCAGCTGTCACATCCTCTGCAGGGACGTACAAGCTTTGCTGGTGCAGTGGCTTCAGTGCCTGTGAGACTGCGTCTGACTTCTCTGTGGAGGCAGGCGAGCTTTGGGTGATGGGAGTTGCGCCCCTAGCCCAAGCCTACACTTGCGTCAGTGGTCAGAGCTGTGTGGTCGATCACCTCAGTGGTTTGGGCTTGTCCAAGAATCAGATCATGATCCTCGAAACATGCGGTACCAGCAGCTTGCTCTACAGAGGGCTCGATGCCAGTGAGGTTACAAACGGCACCAGCACCATCCTCACGTGGACGGACGACCTGACAGCACCGGGCGGTCAATACAGACTTTGTTGGTGCCGTGCACAGGATGGGCAAGATAGCTGTGTCGCAGCAACAGAGTTTCAGGTTGACTTCGGGCATTTCACCATTGTTGGACCCGCGCCACTGCAGCAAACGTGGACATGCATCAGTGGCCAGTCCTGTCGAATTGATGGCATCACCGGAATCGGAACAGGGCTGTCCACGCAGATTGTGATCATGGACACTTGTGGCGCCTCAGACAGCCAGATTCTCTTCTTCAATGCACCTGTGAGGAGCTTAGCCAACTCCTGGGAAGACTCTTTGCTGTCAATCCCTGGAGCTTCCTATCGCATGTGCTGGTGTGCCATCGAGACACACCCGTGCACGGTGGCGGAGAGCTACGGTGTTGACTTCGGCCGTCTTTTGGTCCTTGGCCCGTATCCATTAATGCAGGATCGGACATGTGTGTCTGGCAGCAGCTGTGAAGTCAGTGGGTTCATGGGTGTTGGGCTGTCCAGTTCAGATCTTGTGGTTGTCCAGGATACATGCACGGACCACCGTTCGCGAATCGGTTTGCCAGCAGCTGGATCCCTGATGTCACTGACACCATCAGCCGGAAGCGCATATGTATCGGCAGAGAGCAGCAGCAACAGTACCCTCATGTTTGGCATCCTCACAGCAGAAGGAGGCCAATACAGGCTTTGCTGGACTAGCTGGATGGCCTTGCAGCTTGAGATGCAGGCTGGCAATATCAGTGACAATGCTACCATCGAGGAGGCCGCAAATTTCCGGGGTGGTTGCAATGACACGCTCGGCGGCAACAGGACCTGCGCACTGGAACAGGAATCTGGGCATCTGACGATGCCCGCGAATGCCATGATCGATGTCGGAAGTCTCACTTTGATTGGTCCGACATTGGATCACGCTCGTACCTGCGTGAGTGGACAGCTCTGTAGCTTTGGTGGCATCGCAGGGGTGCACCTCGACGTTCGGGATCAGATTGCGGTGCTGGACACTTGCGGCAAGCCAGGCCAAATGATTGCTACGTCGTCTCCAGCACGCTCCCATGCTTCCTGGGCTGATTTAGGAACCATGACGCTTCCTGGTGGCACATACCGCCTGTGCTGGTGCAGCCAAGCACAGAACGCAGACTGCAGCCTAGCAGAAGACTTTCACGTGGACTTCGGCATGCTATCCATCATAGGTCCCGCGCAGTCCGAGCAGTTCACATGTGTGTCAGGACGCCTGTGCACCGTGGCAGGGCTTCAGGGACGAAGCTTCTCCGTTGAAGATCGCTTGGCAATTCTTGACACGTGTGGTCTGACCGCAGGAAGTAATTTGCCCCCAATCCGGGGAGGGGCATCAACGCTGGTGCCAAGAATTCCCTCCGACGGCATGGGACTGTCGACTGCAAGTGGAGCCAGGGTTCAATGGGATGGGCAGTTGACCGCAGTTGGCGGAATGTACCGTCTGTGCTGGTGTGCTGGCTCTCCTACCGGTGCCTTTGACAATCCGGCTTCTGACGAGTCACATCCAGCAGGGACCACGGTCGCTGCAAGTTCCGAGAATGCAAGTGGCAATCAGTCTTTGGGCTCTCGACGCCTCTCCGCATACTCCGGCTTGCCAGGACTTGAGGCCAACTCCAGCAATGTCTCTAATCTTACAGATCCAGGTTTCCTGTGCCAGCAGGCCTCCCACTTCCAGGTGGACGTTGGCCAGCTGCTGCTGATCGGGCCCTCACACCTTCCAGGGGCAACCTGCGTCAGTGGACAGACATGCGTGATCGACCTTGTTGCGCGGCCTTCAGACCGTTTCATGCTCATGGACACCTGTGCCGTATTTGCTACGTCTGCCCCGAGCCTTGGAGGTCCAGCAGTGAGGTCAGCCTCGTTGGTTTCATGGGGTCCTAAAGCCCTTGTAGGTGCAGGCGGGACATATCGACTATGTTGGTGCTGGGACGATGCCTCACAGTATGCTTCCAATGTCACGAACCAGTCAGCTCTGCTGGAACTGCAGGCCGACGTGGTCGACTCCAATGGCACCAATGCATCGAGCGTTTCAGCAGGCTCTCGTGACCTTTGCCAACACGTGCATGACTTTGTGGTAGACGTGGGGCCACTGTTGTTGCTGGGTCCGTCACCACTCCGCCAGGATCGAACTTGTGTGAGTGGACGTACTTGCACGGTGGAGGGAATAGTCGGCGCAGAATTGGAGAGCCTTCTGGTGCAAGACACATGTGGCAGCCCCTCCTCTTTGGTATTGCCAGTCAACTTTAGCTCTGTCGATCACCGATGGGAGCTGCCGATGTTGAGCCAGCAGGGTGGCATGTATAGGCTCTGCTGGTGTTCAAGTATGTTTTCATGTCGGACAGAGGACTTTCGTGTGGACTTTGGTATCTTGCACTTGCTCGGTCCATTGCCTTTAGCCCAGGACAGGACATGCATTAGCGGATGTCCCTGCACCGTGGATATGCTTGGCATCTACCCGCCGGAGCTTACGGGTACGTCTCTCCTGGTGTTGGGCACCTGCGCATCGACGAAGCTTGTGGATGGCTTCCCGACCCATGCAGTTGAAATCGACACGTCAACGCGATCTGCAACTTGGTCGGAGGTCACCGCCGCAGGCGGCTTTTACAGCTTGTGTTGGCATGCTCAGCCAGAGCCAGGGTTCAGGAACCTGACAGAGAACCTCTCCGTCTCCGTGCAAATGGGTGAGAATCGTAGTGTGCTGCCCCTTTCTGTGGACCACTCGGTGTTGATGGGCCAGCTCCTCCTTATCGGTCCAGCAAGGGATCATGCAGTGACGTGCATCAGCCGAGGTCGCTGTGCTGCCAGGCTCCGTGGGGTTCATCTCTCGGACTCAGACTTCATGGCAGTTCTGGACACCTGCGGAGTCAGCACTTCCTCTCAGCAGCTTGCCGCAGTGCAGCAGCTAGAGCTCGTGGGCTCGCAAGCTGTGCTTGTAGATTGGCCCAGAGAGTCCATGAACATTGACGGCGGCCAATATCGCATGTGCTGGTGTTCAGGAAACAATGCATCAAGATGTGACTCGGCTCAGTTCTTCCTTGTTGATGCCGGCAGCCTGTCCATACGCGGCCCCAGACCGATTGCCAGGACATGTCTTGTGGGAAGGCCATGTGTAGTCACGGAGATCGATGGCTTTGCCCTGAGGCCTTCAGATCAGCTGCTGCTTCTGGAGACTTGTGGTGGCCCACTGCTTGCCGAGGGTGGCTTCCCACAGAGTCTCCGTGCTGAGATGTCTGTTGCCTTCACCATCGTCAGGGCTGGCAACTATCGCCTCTGCTGGTGTGGTACTGAGCCTTGGAATTTGAATGCAACTCTGAATGCCACTGCGTGCTCAAGCCCATTTGAGTTCACAGTCGATGCCGGCGAGGTTTCGGTGTTGGGACCGCTTCCGTCTCAGTTCAGGACGTGTGTGAGCGGACTGCATTGCGTGTTGGACGGGCTGCTCGGGCCTGGGCTCAGCGAGGACGATCGCGTGCTGGTCATGGACACATGTGGAACCCCCAACGTGGTGCCTCTGTTTCCTCAAGCAGGTCTTTCCCATGAAGCTGGAAGCAGTGGGGCTTCTGTGTCCTGGGGGCAAAGCATGATTACTTCAATGGGGGGAGCCTACAGGTTGTGCTGGTGCACACGTAGAGGTTCCAACATCAGCTCCTCAGGCAATGCCTCAGAGTGCAGTTTGCCCAGTGCTTTTGGGGTCGACTTTGGCGCCCTCATGCTGCGCGGACCTGCAGAGCTTTCGAAGCCACTGCGTTGTGTTTTGGGACAGCAGTGCATCATGCCTCCTATCTCTGGCATGTACATCAGTTCATTGGATTGGGTTCGTGTGCTCGATACGTGCGGCATTGATTCGCAGCAGCCTCCATACCAACCTGACGTTCAACTCCAAGTTCTGACCGTGACGGCAGCAGCATCCAACGTCAGCCTTCGGCTGAATTTCAGTGCGGGTTTGAACAACGCTTCCAGTCTTGTCATTCCCGCTGCTGGAATTCCTGCTGGCGGTGGTCAGTACAGACTCTGTTGGTGCGGTCAGGAGTCGACATGCCTGACCCCTTCCAGTTATCGGGTGGATTTCGGTAGCTTGGCCCTAGCTGGCCCGCTGTCGATGCAATCTCGCACCTGCATGAGTGGTCAATCTTGCGTGATCAACTCTCTGCTGGGTTACAGGCTTTCCAACGAAACCAGCTTCCTTGTCATGGACACTTGTGGGCTGCCTGGTGCTGTCCAGGGTGCTTTCAGCAATTTGGCAGTGTCGTCTTCTGGCGCAGCCGTGCACTGGTCTGCGGAGCCGGCACAAGGAGGACTGTACAGGCTCTGCTGGTGTGGAGCGGCCGGGAGCTTGAACGCCACACAGGCTCCATGTGATTTCAGCTGGAGCTTCAACGTGGATTTTGGAAGCTTGATTGTACGGGGGCCGTCGCCCATGTACCAAGCCTTCACATGCATTGCAGGGCAGCGGTGCCGTTTTGATGGAATCACAGGTCAGGACCTATCATTTGCCGACCGTTATTTGGTGCTGGACAGTTGCAGCCGCAACAAATTGACCACCGACGTCCTGGACGTGCGCATTATGTTTTCTGGACAGCCCTACAATCCTGGGATTGAGAGTGATGATGTTGTTCTGGTGCACGGTGGACAGTACAGATTGTGCTGGTGTGGATCAGTCAGTGCTGAGAATTCGTCGCATCTCCCGTGCAACCTTCCGAGCGATTACTTGGTAGACTTTGCCAGTATTTCCATTATTGGCCCATCCTCCTTTGACCAGGACAAGACGTGCGTTGCTGGTATGATGTGTGCTGTGCAAAACATAGAGGGCTTTTTTACTTCCAGCCACGACGCGCTGCTGGTGGCCGCAACGTGTGGCCAGAGCAACGCCTTGATCACTGGGCTTGCAGACTCTGGGCTGATGACCGCTCAAAATGCAACTTCGCGGTGGCTGCTGGCCTCTGCATCTGCCCAAGGGGGTCAATACCGCTTGTGTTGGTGCTCGGAAGAGCAGGTCTGCTCGACTATGGAGCACTTCAGGCTGGATGTGGGCACCTTCACGCTTCTAGGTCCGGCACCAGTGCGGCAGTCATTCACGTGCATAGCTGGTCATGAGTGCAACATCGACGCCATCACCGGCGCGCACCTGAGCGAAGACAGGCTGGCCGTGCTTGAGACCTGCGGCTCAGAGAAAGGTGTTCTTCGTCTCCCAAATGCAGGGGTGTCTGCCCCTTCTTCTGACTTCCACACCAGCTGGGGTCCTTTATCCCTCACTGCCGCAGGCGGACAGTATCGCCTTTGTTGGTGCACGGACCTGGCCATGGAGCTCCAGAATGCATCGCGCAACGATTCCTCAAGAGGTTGCCAGCTTCTCTCGGATTTTGCCTTCGATCTCGGGAGCCTGATCATCTTTGGGCCAGCACCGCTTTCACAGAGCCGGACGTGCGTCAGCGGCCGGAGATGCCAGCTTGATGGCTTGACAGGATTCGGCCTGAGGGACTCAGACAGGCTCTTAGTCCTGGACACTTGTGGTCAAGCATCAGCCATGCCCAGGGGCTGGGCGGGTGCAAGTGTCGAGACGAGCAGGAACGGCGCGGCTGCGTCGTGGCAAGCCGTTGTGAGCGCTGCGGGCGGACAATACCGCTTGTGCTGGTGCGCCACCCTGCCGACAAATGCAACAAACACTAGTGGTCAGAGTTGCGATCGCGCTGGAGCCTTTCTTGTGGACATGGGTGCCATGCTGCTGATGGGTCCGACACCCTTGGCGCAAGATCGGACTTGCATCAGTGGACAGACATGTGCATCAAGCGGGTTGATCGCTGCTGCAGGTGGTGGAGTATCTTTGCCAGGTAGAGTTCACGTGCTTGACACATGTGGACAAGCAGGGTTCTTAGCCCGATTTCCAAGAGGAGGATTGAGCGATGCAGAAGTGAGACTTTTGGAAGGTACTGCGAACACGCCGCTTGCAGGAGATCTTCTTGATCTTAACGGCATGTCCATTGTGAGCTGGGCTTCGGAAGCTCTGACAGTTTCGGCAGGCCAGTATCGTCTCTGCTGGTGTGCCATGCATGCCATGGATCTGACGAACACCTCCGCTTGCAGCTTGGCGACCCAGTTCACAGTGGACTTCGGAGCTCTCCACGTGTACGGCCCGCTGCCGGGCCACCGTCGCACCTGCGTAAGTGGATATACATGTGCATTCGATGGCATTGCCGGCTATGGATTGAGCCAGAATGACAGCATTCTTGTCATGGAGACTTGCGGTGCCAACCAGATCATTGCCAAGTTTCCGCGGGGTGGCTTGATGGAAGAGGTCTCTGCAAGTGGGTCTCGTGCCAGCTGGGGTGATGCAATCATATCTGCACATGGAGGGAGTTACCGCCTGTGTTGGTGCAGTCACGGTGCTGCTGCATGCAGCAGGCCGGAGGATTTCCCCTTTGATTTTGGGCAACTTCTGCTGCTGGGACCTGGCCGCGCAGACCAGACTTGTGTGGCTGGTCAGACCTGTCATCTTGATGGCCTGCCGCATATGTGGTCAGAACTGAACTCCTATATGATTTTGGACACGTGTGGCATTACAGACTCTCCTCTTGGTGTCCTTACAACAAGTGCCGTTCTCTCAGACGCTCTGGGCCAAGCAAGCTGGGGCGCGAGACCGCTTACATCAGGTGACCTTCCGGCTGGTATCTATCAGCTGTGTTGGTGTTATCCCTTGCCTTTTGTCAGCGCCAGCAGCTCTCCAAATCGTACCGAGCAGGGCAACTTAACGGGTCCTTGCGAGCTGTCGTCACAGCACCATGTTACTGTTGGCAAGCTAACGATGATTGGTGCAAGTGTGGAGCAGCAACGAACTTGTATCAGCGGCCTGACATGCGTCGTTGACAGCATTGAGGGCTATCAGCTATCAATGGATGACAAAGTCCTCGTCATGGAAACCTGCGGCCTTGAAGTATCAGCTGGCTTTTCTTGGACGGCACAGGCCAGCAATATGTCAGCAGGCAGGCTCAGCTTCTCATGGGGTTCTATCCACATTACACCCCTAGGAGGCTCCTATCGCTTGTGCTGGTGTGGTGCATCCATGGCTTGCAGCCGTGCAAGCCAGTTTAGAGTTGACTTTGGCCAACTGAGCATCCGTGGACCAGCGCCCTTCATGCAGCATCGGACGTGTGTGTCAGGACATCTTTGCCACCTCTCCTCTGGCTTGATGCATTTGAACCACACTGACGACATCGGACTGCGCTTTGCTGTCTTGGCCCTCGACACATGCGGTGGCGAGTCTGTTCCTGCAGGATTTCCGGTGCTGCACTCAATTAGCAACACAAGCTCCAATTCAACAGCTTCGCAGACCTCAGCAGAGGATGACTTCTTGAGGGCATCTGTGCAGGTACTGACAACAGCTTCAGGCGCATTCTATCGCTTGTGCTGGTGTGGCGTGCCTGAAACAGCCACAGGCTGCCGATTGCCCTCTGATTTCCGAGTAGATATTGGGGAATTGACTTTGATCGGCCCACGCCAGAGCTCGCACACATGCATTAGCGGTCGTCTTTGCAGCCTTGATGACCTGCAGGGTCTTCACCTCAGCGACTCCAACGCCTACATGGTTTTAGACACTTGTGGTGCTGCGGTCCGCTACTGGCCTGAGGGCTACGCAGGGCTGGTCTCACCTCCAACTCCGATACCGCAAGGGACGGCAAATCGGGGCGGCCAGTACCAACTTTGCTGGTGTGCGGGTTTACAAAGTTCACCAGACGTGCTGAACCTCACCGCAACGAACTCGAGCTTGCCATGTCGACGAGCTGGTGACTTTCCATCATCATCGGGGACCTTGACCATTCTGGGCCCGGCACCTTTGCAACAGCAACGGACATGCATCAGCGGACAAACTTGTGTCCTTGATGTGTCTGGATTGGGGCTCTCAGACTTTAACATCTTGGCTGTGCAAGACACCTGTGGAATGGCATCGGCCCCATCCAGATTCCCTTCAGCAGCTTCACTTCGAGCACTTTCAGGCTTCAGCGCGCAAGCTGCTTGGGAAGGTGTTGGGCTCTCGTCCGCCGGAGGCAGGTATCGCCTCTGCTGGTCTTCAGTTGACGCCAACTCCAGCAATTCCTCCGTTGCTGCTGCGAACGTTGACATCGGTGAGTTGCTGGTGCTGGGGCCTGCCCCATTGCAGCAAATGGCGACTTGCGTTGCTGGCCAAAGCTGTGTTCTCGATGTACCTAGCGGATACGGCCTGGATTCAGGAGGGTATCTCATGCTTGCAGACACATGCGGACTTCTGCCGGCTGAGAGGCTGAGATTTCCAAGCGAAGCCGTGTCTTGGGATGCAAACGAATCCACGGCGGTCTGGTCTTCAATTACAGCTGCAGGGACGTCCTACAGGTTGTGTTGGTGCGCACTGGGCTTCACCTGCAGCAGCACAGAACATTTCAGGGTGGATGCAGGCGTTCTGAGCTTGATTGGGCCGGCGCCTCTCAGCCAGGGCAGGACATGCGTTTCTGGAAGCTCCTGCAACTTCGCATTGGACTTGCAGCCGCTCATCTACAACACTTCTGATGAGAGTCAGATCCTTATTTTGGCTACCTGTGGTACAGCGGCGGCAGATCTCACACTTCCTGCCCAGTTCATAGGAACCCTTGGCTCAGCATCTTGGTCCTCAGTTGTCCTCCCAGGTGGTGAGTACCGGCTGTGCTGGTGTGCTGGCGCGCGCGCTGGTAGCTGTGCTGTCTCGGAATTCTTCCAGGTGGATTTGGGCAGCTTCCTGCTCCTCGGCCCAAGCCAGCATCAGCAGTCGACATGCTCGAGTGGGCAGACCTGCAACATCCATATCCCAGTGGTAGGTGGTGCGGATTCTGACCACTTGCTGCTCGCCGAAACCTGTGGAGCAATTCGGAGCAAGAGAGGGCAGAGCTTCACCATGATTCCGCAGGTTCAAAGGTCGGCACACGTCCTGTCCGCCAGCTGGGGAGCAGGTGTTCTTGTGCAGCCGGGTGGGCAATATCAACTTTGCTGGTGTGGAAGGTCATGCAACGATGCCCGCAATTTTGTTTCTCCAGCAGGAAGTCTGTATCTCCGAGGTCCTGCACCTCTAGAGCAGCAGTTCACCTGCTTCGCAGGTCAAGACTGCTCCTTGGAGGGCTTGTCGGGTCACGGCATGTCCGGCGCTGGCGTCTTGCTCGTTATGGATACCTGTGGCACAGCGCGCTCCACGTCATTGCGGTTCACACCTGGCGAGTCCAAGGGGCTTGTAGCTGGACATGCCGGGGCCCATCTCTCAGGTGGGAACTATCGGCTTTGTTGGTGTGCCTTCGGGGACTTTGCCATTGCCAGCACCAATACCTCTGACTGTGAGTTGCCTTCGTCCTTCCTGACTGATGCCGGCTCGCTACACATGGTTGGCCCTGCACTGCAGCAGCAGTACACCTGCATCAGCGGCCAGACCTGTGCACTTCGGGGGCTTCAGGGTGCTTCCCTGCAGCAGGGCGATGCAGTCGCTGTGCTGGACACCTGTGGAAGCCTCAACGCGTGGCCGCTACACCTCGTCAATACACTCAACCTGCAGTCGGATGGCAGCTGGGCGGTCAGCTGGGGAGAAGCCGCCCTGTCCACCCCTGGCGGACAGTACAGACTCTGCTGGTGCGCGAAAGGTGCGCATTGTCAAGATGCAAGTGCCTTGCGCGTGGACTTCGGCGACCTGACTTTGCTTGGACCGGAACACCTTCTGCTGGACCGCACATGCATCAGTGGCCGAACATGTTCCTTTGATGGGCTAATCAGCGGCTCAGGAGTGCTCATTCTCGACACTTGTGGGTTGCCATCGGTAGGAAAGCGATGGAGCGCGGCCCCAACAAGAATGCCACATTTCATGAGTCAGCTCGAGCACATGGAGATAGAGAATGGTCGAGTGACTTGGGGTGACCTGCAGTTCAGCGCCGCGGGTGGAGTGTTTCGCCTCTGTTGGTGTGCAGCAAACACGACTTGTCTTGTGCCGGAGCACTTCCAGCTGGACATTGGCCAGCTCCTCCTCATTGGTCCAAGCTTTGGCCATTCTCAGACTTGCATATCCGGGCAGACATGCGCCATATCTCTTGTCAAAGGATGGCAGCTGTCCGAGTCAGATAGGATCATGGTCTTAGACACGTGTGCAAGAGCAGGAAATGCAGGAAACTTCACGCAGGTTCCTGCAGCCATCACAGGTTTTCCTGCTGACGGCATGAGTTGGTCGGCGAGCCAGGAGCTGAATTTGACGGATCTTGGCTCCTCGACCGGGCCCCTCGTGCGCTTTGAGCTGGATGGCTACGTCAGTGCACCGGGTGCTTCATACCGACTCTGCTGGTGCGGAGCCAATGTGGCCTGCTCTTCCTCTGAAGACTTCCAGACCGACTTCGGCGAGCTGCATCTGCTGGGGCCCTCACTTGGTCAGAGCTGGACGTGCACTAGCGGAACAGCCTGTTGGCTGGACAACTTTGTGGGTCACCATCTGCAAGCTGGACATGTTGTGGCAGTTTTCGACACTTGCGGGGTCCGTGGTGTGGGCTTGGATGGTGCAGATCCCAGCAGTATTCTTTAGTAGCACATGACCAAACTTCTGCGTTGCAGCCGAGATTTAGCTGCAGTCCTTGCTGCTGAGGTCTGCACATCTCCCAATCGCTTGCTTCTGCTACGGCCGCTGCGGCACAAGGTTCTGTCGTGTTCCTCTCCACATTGACGGCCAGCGGAGGCAGCTGAGCAATGCTGAGCAGTGCACTCCGCAGAATCCACTCGTTCGTTTTGCGTTGCCAGGCAGATACTGGCTGTGTTGGTGTGCAGGCTGGGTTCTGCTGAATTTCAGCATGCTCAGCACTCACCCAGATCTGGATCTGCAAGGAGCTTCCTGCTCCACTGCGGATGAGTTCATTGGCTTGGCCCTCATGCTTCATCAGCTGTGTACCATGCATGACATGTGTACATGCATCCTGTATCTTCCAGGCATCGGCCGCTTCACGCTGCAGGGTCCGTCGCCACTTCAGCAACACCGAACCTGCATCGCGGGCCAGGAGTGCGAGGTGAGTGGTATGACAGGCTGGAGCGGGATGTTCGAAGTTCGAGCAGACGAAAACTTCGAAACTCCGGCAGTGTGTGTGTGTGTGTGTGTGACTCCTGGGAGGCCTGCAGCTGCCTGATAGTGGCACTTTTGCCGTGCTGGACACCTGCTTCCACCTTAGTGACTTTGGTGAGCTGTCATAGCAAAGAGGTGTTGACTTTTTGCGATTGAGGTGGCCGCAACTTTGTGTTTGCTTCCAACAACACGAATCGTCTCAATGCACTCGCCCCAGCAACTCTTTCACATGTTGTGAGGGGAGGAGCTGTGCCAGGGCCAGATGCCTGTAAGCTCAGGCTACAAATGCATCAGACATGGGTGGCATGGGTGTCGTTTTTGCTCCAGACGGTGCAAGAATGAGCTGCACGGTTGCAGGGGGATGCAGAGCGATTGTAGTTTTGTCATCAGTGTCTTTAGACATGACCGAATTGAGCAGTGTCTGGCAAAGGCTCTTTCGGGGACCCGGTCCACGCTGAAGGGGGGAAGCTCAACTGCAGCACAGGATTCCTGAGATTGCTGTGAGGCTGCGACGTCTGGGTCTTCTTGAGCCCTGCGGTCTGAGGCAGTACAGACTCTGCTGGTGCGCGCCTGGGGAAAGAACAAGCGGCAACCAAACCTGGAGCACTTCGGCAGCGGCAGATACTGGGCAGAGTCTCCAGAGAGCAGCCAGAGGACGCCAGAGAGTTGTCGGAGCAACCACAGAGAAGAAGGAGAAGAAGAAGAATCAGAAGAAGAAGAAGAAGGAGAAGAAGAAGAAGAAGAAGAAGAAGAAGAAGAAGAAGAAGAAGAAGAAGAAGAAGAAGAAGAAGAAGAAGAAGAAGAAGAAGAAGAAGAAGAAGAAGAAAGAATAATAATAAGTAGAAGAAGAATAAGAATTATAAGAAGAAGAAGAAAAAGAAGAAGAAAAATAAGAAGAATAAGAAGAATAATAAGAATAATAATAATAATAAGAAGAATAAGAATAAGAAGAAGAAGAATAATAAGAAGAATAACTAAAGAAGTCGATTTCGTCGTCGTCGGAGTAGCAGTCGGAGTCGGAGTAGCAGTAGGAGAAGGAGCAGGAGTAGGAGTAAGAGTAGCAGTAGCAGTGGCAGTGGCAGTGGCAGTAGCAGTAGCTTGCAGAGTCTGAGGCAACACTAGCAACGTGAGCCTGGACACCGAATCTCTGGGCCTGGGTAGCTGCGCTCTGTCCCATGAGCAGCTCGGCTTTTTTGGAGCGCTTACTGCAAAACCTCCATCTAGGCTCGTAAGCGTGCGCGCGCGCGCACCTGGCCACGGGGTATGCAGCAGGTATGCAAATATCGTTAAGCTAGTGCCGAGCAATACGATCTCAAGTGAATTTACAATGCCTCGGCTAAGTCATTTTGATGGGTGTCTTGGGAAGCTGTGATGACGTGCGAGCGCCTCTGTTTCTGTAGAGCATGTACCGCAAGGTTTCAGGTGGACGTCGGCCGCTTCACTTTGATGGGACCGCTCCTACGGCAGACCTTCACCTGTGTCAGTGGCCGCACCTGTGCAGTCAATGACTTCGGTGTTTGGCATCCGCGCGCGCAAGATCGTTTGATGATTTTGGACACTTGTGGAACCGAAGACGCATGGCCCCAGATCACCATGCCTGCCAGATCTGTGGCGACGTTTGTGAATCATCCTGGCTTGACCGCATTTTCCACCGGACCGAATGTGGTCTTCCTTAGTGGTGGAGCGTATCGCCTTTGCTGGAGCGGAGTCGCCCTCCAAGATGCCAATCTGTCAACGTTCTCTGACAGCTCCCAGAACTTCAACATTGATGCCGGCGTGCTTCATCTTATCGGTCCAGCACCTCTGACGCAAGACCGAACTTGCATAAGCGGGGAGACCTGCTCTATTCGTGACATCAGAGGGCTCTTTGCATCTGACAGCTGGATGGTCATGGTGCTTGATACCTGCAGGTCTCAGTCCAACTTCACGCAAAACTCGATCATACCAGGCTTTCCGAACTCGGGTTTGGCACATACTGTTGTGGATGTGAGGCTGCAGAATCTCAGCCAGAACAACCTCAGCACATTCAACGCAAGTGACGCCAGTGACTTCCACAACTTGCTGCCCGAAGGCCTCACATTCTCCTGGGGCAGCTCACCGGTGACAGCATCTGGAGGTATCTATCGGCTGTGTTGGTGCGCAGGGCCTCCGGGTCTGCCATTGCCGGGGAACCGAACAGGGAACCAGACGGAGCGGTCGGAGGGGTCAGAGAGCTGCGATTTCCTGGACATGGGCCGCCTAATGCTTGTGGGCCCAGTGTTCTCGCAGACAGGCACAGCGAGCACCTGCATCAGTGGGCAGACGTGCAGCTTGCGCGGCCTACGGAGAGTTCCCACGGATACTCCGGGACAACTGCTGGTCATGGACACTTGCGGTAGCTTTGGTGCGCTTCTCCCTCGGTTCGGCTTTACCACTTCTGCCACTTCCGAGCGAAACTCGCCCATCCAGTGGGATGTCCCGATTACAGCTTTGGGAGGCCAGTATCGGCTCTGCTGGTGTGCCCTGCAGAACAGGAGCCTCGGTAGTGCGAACTGGACCTTCGCACCTGCTGAAGTTCGATGTGACATGGATGACTTCCTTGCAGACATCGGAGCCTTGCATTTGCTTGGTCCTGAACGCCGCATTACACGGACTTGCATCAGTGGATGGACATGCCAATTTCAGCTGTCTGCCGGAGTTGCATCCCTGGACAGCCTCATGCTATTGGAGACATGTGGAGTTGACGAGGCAGTCGTGCATCGTGTGCCAGGTGCAGGAGCTGCCACTGTTTTTGGAAGTGGCTCAATTGTGAGTTGGGGTGATGCACTGCTCACGGCTCCTGGGGGCCTGTACCGACTTTGTTGGTGCCGCATGCTGGGCGGCAATGTGACTGTTAACCAGAGCCGGCAAGGCCAGTGTGCACTACCGCAGGATCATCGCGTAGATGCTGGCTCAGTACTGCTTGTGGGCCCGAGCCCCTTGCAGCAGGACAGGACGTGCATTGCAGGTCGAACTTGTAGCACAGAGCGAATTTATGGAGAGAGCCTCGGCCCGACCGACAGCCTTCAGCTCCTTGCGACCTGCGGCGTACCAGAGGGTACAATCCCTCGCTTCCCCCTGAACGGCCTGATCGTCTCTGACGTAAACTCGTCTCAGCTGCCCAGTGGCATGGCAGTGCAAGCCGGGTTCGAGTCCAACATTGTCTCTGCCCCTGGTGGCCTTTACAGACTTTGCTGGTGCAGCGGCTTGACGCCATCCACATGTGTGCACGCCACCGATTTCCAAACCGACTTGGGTGTCATGACTATTCTGGGCGTTAGTCCTCAGCAGCAGGACCGAACGTGCATCAGCGGCAGGGTATGTTCTGTGGATCCTCTCTTGGGGCTTGGATTGAGTATCTCTGACAGCTACATGATTTTGGGCACCTGTGGCCAGCCTACGACTCTTACGACTCCTGGAGTTGGGCAGAGCTTCGGCTCGCTTCCCAAGATCACTTGGACCGAGGTGCTAACTGCAGCTGGTGGCGAGTATCGCTTGTGCTGGTGCTCTGGACTCCCTTCCGCACACACAGTGCAAGGCAACACCTCCAACACGTCAGTTGTGGTGGAAAGCTTCAGGAACAACACGGATGGGCCTTGTTCAGTGTCTTGGGACTTCGGCATCGATGCCGGCAGGCTTCTCCTGCTGGGGCCTGCACCTCTTTCTCAGCGAAGTACATGTGCAGCGGGTCAGGCATGCGTCATCAACATTGCTGGGATCGGGCTGGCGTCTGCAGATCTGGTCATGGTACAGGAGACCTGTGGCCAGCCTCTTGCCCTCACTCCATTCACGGGCCCCAGTAGCTTACAGCTCGCTTCATACAACATCAGCACCAACTCCTCTGTTGCGGCTTCCTAACCGCAAAGAATGCTTTTTTTCTCTGAAGATATGCAGTTCCTCCCTTTTTCTCTTGTTCTCTTGTGGTTGAGATCATAAAGGCACCCATCATCAATGTTTACTGGTTGTGTGCTTGATCTGAGGATGCATCCCGAACGGCTACTGTTGACCTGGGCCGAAGTGTCAGAGCCGGTGAATATCGAGTCTGCTGGTGCCAGGGCTTGTCGGAATGCAGCGTCGATCAGTTCAACATCGACTTCGGCATGCTGCAGGTCTTCGGCCCAACGCTGTTGCAGGATCGCACCTGCATAAGCTCGAGGACTTGCGAGATCAATGGTATAGACGGCCTTGGTCTGGGCAATGGTGATGCCCTGCTTTTGCTGGAGACCTGTGCTTTTACGGCTGCGCCAGATGGTCATCCGGCACTGCCCTCCTCGACCCTCTCTGGATCCAGCTTCCAATGGACTGATAACTTGACAGAGATTGTCTTGAGTTCGCCGGGTGGCTCCTACAGACTTTGCTGGTGTATGCGTGGCTATGCTTGCAAGCTGCCTGAGCACTTCGTTGTGGATCTGGGCGCTGTGCACGTCATCGGCCCTGCCCCTCTAACGCAGCATCGGACCTGCTTCAGCGGCAGATCATGTTGGTTGGATGGTCTGACCCAGGTGGGCAGCGCAGATACAAAAGTCCTGGTGCTGGATACATGTGGTGCGTCCACTCTCTTCATGCCACCTGCAGGACACGCTACCCCGTCCATGCTGGATCGCTCACACAAAGCTGATGTAACTAGCCAAGTTTTCTTTGCGGCAGGTGGCTTGTATCGTCTGTGCTGGTGTGGGGAGCTGGTGCAAGATGTCAACGCTGTGAACGCTACAGATGCCTTTGGCAATATCAGCACGCAATGCGAGCTAGCAGAGAACTTCGGAGTTGACATGGGTAGTTTGACCCTTGTGGGCCCAGCACCACTCCAGCAGGACAGAACATGCGTTGCTGGAGGAAGCTGCGTGCTTGAAGGCTTCGTTGGCACTGGCATGGAAGTGGGCTCCCTGCTGATTCTGGAGACTTGCGGAGTCGCTACTTCAGCAGACTTCGGGCAACCATCAGGACGCCCGGGCCAACCACCGGGTGCAACCTTGGGCGCCCCAACCTCCTCTGGTGCTGCCTTCCGCTGGGAGGCTCGGGTTCCTGCCGCCCCTTCGGGAAAGACCTTCCGACTTTGCTGGTGTGCTGCGGCTCAGATGACAAACTGGACAAACCGTTCAACTTCTGACAACGCAACCCACGTAAACTGCGCCATCTCGTCCGAGTTTAATATGGACATGGGAACATTGCACGTTGTTGGCCCTCTGATCGGAGCCGTGGAGCAGCAGTTCACGTGTGTTAGCGGGCGACGATGCAGTCTGGACTCTTTCAGAGGACTTGATCTGATGCACGAAGGTCAGGTCCTAGTGCTGGACACGTGCGGTGTTCAGGCTGTGCCAACCGGGCTGTCGGATGCCTTTGTTCTTGCAGGTCATCGAAACTCAGTTTTGCTGGGCAGCGAGACTTTTTACCTTCCTGGTGGACAATATCGCTTATGCTGGTGCGGGAGCCAAAACATGTCAAACCACACCTCGTACCTGCCAATGGACTGCAGGACTGATGCCGGTGGATTGATGGTGTTGGCTCCAGCGCCGCTGCATCAGCAGCGCACGTGCGTTAGTGGGCAGACGTGTTCACTCGGAATCACCGGCTACTCTTTGTCCTCTGTCGACGCAGTCATGGCCTTGGACACATGTGGAGCCAGCACAGCAGTCATCAACATGCTTGCGGGGGCAGCGGAGCTCACGCACAGTGGCGCTACAGCAAGATGGGATTCTGCCTTGGTAACCGCAGCTGGTGGCATCTACCGACTTTGTTGGTGCGCCGGCATGTGGACTGATTGGACTGATGGACGTCAAGCTAACATCTCGACATGTGAAACTCCTAGCAGCTTCACCGTGGATTTCGGTGAACTGCACCTTCTTGGGCCGTACCCTCTCCAGCAGCCTCGCACATGTGTCTCCGGACTCCCATGTGAGACAGCGGCCCTGGAAGGCCTCCACCTCTCCCCATACGACCGCTTCGTGGTCCTGGATACCTGCGGCGAACGGCTAGCAGTGGTAGGAGGAGCAGGCAACGACCCGAATGCAGTCTGACCGGGGTTCGCCCGTTTCCCTCGCCCTCTGGAATCTAGAAGCTCTCATAGTTCTTGTTTCTCGACTACCTTGCTTGTCGCTGAGTCGCGGTTGCCCAGTCGAAGAAACTCAGACCCGAGCTATGAATGTTTGTTTCGCCGAGGGCTGGCATGACCCACGGCTACGGAACGAGCAGCAAGATTTGTTCAAGCAAACAAATCGCTCCAAGCTTGAAACTTCAAGCCCTTACAGTAAAACCCTGGAGTGACCAAGAGAGTTTAAGGTTTAGGGTTCGGTCTAGGGCTGAGGATGGGTTTAGGACTTTAGAGCTTGACATGAGGGGAGAGTAAGGGCGCTGTCTGAGGGCGCAAAAGAGCAGCACAACCGCCACAATACAAACAGAGCAAAACAACCACAACCGCGACCACGACCACTGACGCAAGCAACGCAAGCTCGTCTTGGTCCGCAGTATAAGACAAAGTGGAGGCAAGATGAGAACATAGAACCAAAACGAGCCGCATGAAACGAAATATCAAACAAAAGCTTCAAAAGCCCGGCAACCTTCTCCCAAGCCCTCCCCCCCTCCCCATGCAGCCGTCGCTGGTGCTGCCGATGCGCGACGCGGGGACTCCTTGATGCCCAAAGGGGCTCCAAAGGCCTCCACAACGGTGCCAAAAGCTCATCCAGGAGCCGAGAAACGCAGCCCCCCCCCCCTCTTCGTCCCCGTTTGAAGCCTCCGGCCCCGTCATACAAACATTGTTTCAATCTAGCATAATTATATGTTTTTGTGTAAAAGCATAGACTATAACATACTCTTAATTGTAGTGCCACGAGTATCAACAGACACACACACACACACATACATACACACATACATACATACATACATACATACATACATACATACATACATACATACATACATACATACATACACACACACATACATACATACATACATACATACATACATACATACATACATACATACATACATACATACATACATACATACACACACACACATACATATGTTCTTTGTGTGCTACATGTAGATATATGTCCTATATACAGTGCGTGAACTACATGTTCTTCCGTGTGCTTTAGGTATTGCATGAATGAAATGCATAGGTGTGACTTCCAAAGTTCGTCAAAGTTCGTGAAAAATGGAACATGCTGTGGATGCTGGCAGGCTACGGGGTGCCACTGGGAGTTCAGGAAGCCAATGTCAGTCTTTTGGGTGGAACCATCGCTTGGGATACCGGCATGGCTGGCATCTTGGACAACTTCACATTTGTTTCTTCTGTGATTTGGGGGAAGTTTCCTGCAAAGAGCTGCCGTAGCGACGTGCTTTCTGGATTTTTGTATCTAGACCAAGTGACCTGCATGAAGCTTGCCACCGGGTTGCGGGGTTTCGTTTAAGTTCGGCCTTGGCTTGATTGCGCAGCTGCCCAGGTGATGTGATGGGAGGACAGTATCGAATCTGTTGGTGTGGTCAAGATGTCCAGTGCTCCTCAGCAGAAGATTTTACCGTGGATGCTGGGAATTTGTTTATCGTTGGCCCGGCCCCCCTTCAACAGCATCGAACTTGCATTGCGGGCTTAAGCTGCTCGGTGGATGGCATCACCGGCTTTGGTCTGGATTCAGAAGATACTTACCTGCTGCGGGACAGTTGCCAAGCCTTAACTGCACCTCCCGATGGGCTCCCAGATGCTGGTCTTGCAACGCTTGCAACTCTTGCAACCATGTCGGCAGTTGACGGATCATCAAGCGGCACCGTCCAATGGGGGGCTGCTGACCGGCAATTGACGGCGCAGGGCGGAGTTTATGCCCTGTGTTGGTGCGCTGCTCTTCCAGAGGCAGCATCCAATAGATCCAACAAATCAGCGTGTTCCCAGACGGCTTCTTTTGTGCAGTTTGGGTCCTTGACGTTAGTCGGGCCCAAGCCCCGAGATCAGTCCAGAACATGCTACAGTGGGCACCGCTGCGTCCTGAGCGGACTTACTGGCTTGCAGCTGCCGGACACAAGTCAGGTGAGGATCCAGGACAGCTGCGGAGAGAAGAACCGCATCCAGGGATGGCCCGATGACTTTCAGTTGCTGCTGCCGTCAGCTAACACTAGCACCAAAAGCATGTCTGTGAGCTGGGGCGCAGTCTCGGCCGCAGGGGCAACGTACCGGCTCTGCTGGTGTTTCGACCATGCTTGTGACTCTGTGGGCGCATGGATTGACTTCGGCACGTTGCACTTGGTTGGCCCACAGCCCTTACTGCAGCATCGGACCTGCGTAACAGGCCAGCTTTGCAGTTTAGACGGGCTAACAGCCTATGGCTTTCCAGCTTCGAGCCATTCGAACCACGTGATGATTCTGGAAACCTGTGGAACTAATTCAACCGGATGGCGAGCCAGTGATGCAGTCCAGGTGCTGGTAAACGATAGCAATGCATCATTTCAATTGACGCAGCCAGGAGGCACCTACCGTATGTGTTGGTGCTCCCAAGCAGACCATCTCTTGCTATCAAATGCCAGCTCGGGCGTTTGCAGCTTGAGCAGTGATTTCCATGTTGACATGGGTGCACTGCTGGTGATGGGTGTGGCACCGCTTTCACAGCATCGTACATGCATATCAGGAGTGACATGCTCGTTCCATGTGGATGGGCTCTGGCTTGGCACGGGGGATGTAGTGTCTGTGTTCGACACCTGTGGATTAGGAGCTTCCAAGTTTTCTGCCGGCTTGACTGCTTTGTGGGATAACAGTGGTAACAGCACAGGCAACTCAGGCAACAGGAGCAACAGGAGCAAGGACAGTGAGGCCGTCTCTGGAGCTATCCTACGTCACGGCCCCACCATCGGCCTGAGTGGTGGCCTGTACCGCTTATGCTGGTGTCAGGGCTCTGCGCTCGATTGCATTGGCGGATGGGATTTCAGTGCAGATTTTGGCTCGCTGACAGTAATCGGGCCGACTCCGAAGCAGATGAGAACCTGTGTGGCTGGTCAGACCTGCGTTTTTGATGGCATCAGAGGCCAGGACTTAAGTCCGGCGGCCAGCTTTGCCGTCTTGGACACTTGCGGCACAAGCAGCAGTGCTCCGTTTATGCCTAACGTGCTCGTTCACGATGGGGACGCTGTCCCACTGAGCAGCTTTACAATGCACCAGTTCGCAAGGGCGCCAGCCACCGGCGGGCAGTATAGTCTGTGCTGGTGCCCACGACCAGACCCTGAAAACGCATCCATGTCCAACTTCAGCCAGTCCCAGCCATGCTTGCTCGAAGACCACACTGTGTCTGCAGGCACCCTTCATGTGATTGGGCCTTCTCCGTTGCAAGCGAGTCGTACGTGTATCAGCGGGAAAGCTTGCTCAATTCGTGGCTTGACAGGCGCCGGGGCTTATCACTTGACGCCTGGGGATCAACTTCTCTTGCTTGACACGTGCGGAGCTGTGGACAGCTTGCTTACGCGAGCTGTGAGACAGCCCATGTCCGCCCAGATGGCCCTGGTTTTCAGCAGTGGTGTGATCTTCTCGTGGCCGGACACGGCAGTAAACGGCACGAACTCAACACTGACCACGCCATCAACTGCTGGTGGGACCTATCGCATGTGTTGGTGTGCTGCTGGCTTTGCATGCAGCGCAGCTGACCAATTTCGCGTTGACGTGGGGGAGTTGTTGATCCTCGGTCCTACACCTCTTGCACAAGACCGGACATGTATCAGTGGGCGCCGTTGCAACATAGAGGGTCTGCAGATGTATCCACCGACGAGCCAGAGCAACTCTTCTCAGCTGAACACATCGCTCGTCCCCATCATGGTGCTGGACACTTGTGGGAAAATCTCCTTGCCAGCAAGGCTAGCACCAGCATCCAGTTTCATGGACGGAGGCAACCTTCTTCTAAGTGAGCATGTCAGCTCCGCCGGCGGCATTTACCGGCTTTGCTGGTGTGGCCTGCCGCCATGCGAGAAAGCAAGTGATTTTGAAGTTGATGCTGGACAGCTGTTGCTTTTGGGCCCGAGTCCGCTACAGCAGCAGATGACTTGTGTCAGTGGCCAGAGCTGCACCTTACACTTCAGCTCCTCCTCTATGACGGCAATTGAGATGTCGACGCAAGCTAGTGCCTACATTTATCACGTCTGCCCCCCGACAGCACAGGTGACGCCCACTGCAGTTGCAGGAGCTGAGACTATCATGCGCCAATCCGTCCCTGCAGTTCTTACAGCTGCGGGCGGTCTATATCGGATGTGCTGGTGTAGCGCGATGGATGGAAATGCGTGTGCTCCAAGCGAGCACACCGTGGATGTGGGGCAGTTGATGTTGATTGGACCATTGCACTCGCAGACTCGGACATGTGTTGGGGGCCTGGCCTGCCAATTCCATGACTTTGATGGACTCTTCCTGCAGCCTCAGGACAAAATGATGCTACTGGACACTTGTGGCCAGACCTCATACCTGAATGAAGCAGCTTTCCTTCAACCTCCAGGTGCCCAGCTGAACGACACAAACACTTCTGCACCCGCTATCTCGGCCATGTCCTCCTTGTTGCACATCACAGGAAGAGGTGGTGAGTACCGACTTTGCTGGTGTTCGTCCATCTTTGCCTGCATCCTGCCGGAGCACTTCAAGGTTGATCTTGGCCAGCTGTACTTGTTGGCGCCCTCCTCGGCAGGAATGACCTGCACGAGTGGACAGCTTTGTCAGCTTGAGGAGGTCTTCCTCGGCTCCGAAAGCGATTCAATCTTGATTTTGGAGACGTGCGGTCGGGCCAGTGCTGTTGAAGGCATTGGCGACTCTGTCTGGAGCAGCACCAGTTCGAACATGCTAATCTCCAGCGCCGGTGGCATGTATCGAATCTGTTGGTGTGCTGGTGGAAATGGTGGAAACTTATCCTCGCCAGCCTCCTGCTCCCTTCCAGACTCCTTTGCCACAGACCTTGGGTTCTTGATGGTGATTGGGCCATCTCCATTGGAGCAGTCCCGGACTTGCATTGCTGGCCAGGCCTGCAGGCTCAGCCCTCTGCATGGCCACTTCTCCGCTGAAAATTCTGGCAGCTTTGGGATCCTTGCAATCCTTGAGACCTGCGCAGTGGCGACCAGCCCAGGGCTGCTGGCACTGAGCCCACAAAGCCGCAACGACTCCCAGTCCATTCCCGGCCTACGTAGCTCTCTGAGCTTTTTCGCCCAAGATGCGCTGTCGGAGAATGTTTCGCAGCTGCAGTGGCTCGACGAAGGCGGTCTTTTCAGACTCTGCTGGTGCTTTGCGCAGGGCCCACAAGCCTGCAGCAAGTTTGAGGATTTCCGTACGGATGTTGGTGGCCTCATGGTGGTTGGTCCAAGTCCCCTGCTCCAGGATCGAACTTGCGTAAGCGGGCGATCTTGTGCGCTTGAGGGCATGACAGGAGCTGGCCTCTCGTCTGCATACTATGTCTCCCAACTGCGGATCTACCAGGATGGCGCGACATCATATGACATTCGAGTCTGGGAACTGTACCACTCAGAGTCTCCGAGCGGTCCCTGGACAAAGGCCTTCAATGGAGCTGCTGCACCAGGTGTGGGCGAGCAAGAGTTTGGTGGCTGGTCGCCCTCAGCAAGCCCCTACTGGCGCTTGGTTGTGTTGCAGACCTACTCGGGCCAGGAGCCCCGATTGCGCGAAGTCCAATTTGTGGCTCAGGGTGAGCTCGTCCGGTTCCGCCCAGGGCACGGGGTCGTCTCAGCCTCGGGCCTTATCTACTCGTCTGGGAACGTCAGCTACCCTGCAAGCAATCTGATCGATGGCAAGCTCGAAGACGATTCCCGCGCCTTGCTGCTAACTAAAGTTGTCATGCCGATTGCAGCAGTTGGTTGTGTAAGACTTGTTCACTGCTTGCGTGCGCTGAGGTTGGATCCCTGCCGGTCTACCTGCTTCCTACAACAGTTGGGAGGTTGTCTTTGACCTTCGAGGTGGTGACTCTTTTATGGTGATGGAGACCTGCGGCTCACCATCTCTTGTGGAAGGCCTGCCTGGGGCAGGGTTCACCCAAGAAGTCACTTCAACAGGGGCCCGTGTGTCCTGGGGCCCCGTAGCGATCACAGCCCCGGGAGGCCGATACCAGCTTTGCTGGTGTGCACGGGGTGGTACTTGCTTAGATCCGGTCGAGGATTTCCGGCTGGCTGTTGGAAGCCTCTCCATTGCAGGCCCGCAATTCAATGAGGCCACATGTGTGAGTGGGAGTGGGGAGACTTGCACGGTGAAGCAGTTCAGAGGCCACGATCTTGTAGAGACGGACCTTGTGATGATCCTGGACACTTGTGGCGTCGATGTGTCTATGGGCGCGTTGATGCAGAAGGTTTCGAGCCTGGGGGCGATTACAGTCATCGAGGCTGATCAGGCATCTGCAGATATGCGGGTCATGCAGGCCTCAGTCGACTTTGGCAGTGAGCTCATCTGGTCTGGTGGCACGTATCAGCTGTGTTGGTGCAGGCCAGTGGCGATGTCGGGAGCACATTGCGAATCGCCTGCAGACTTTGCTGCTCAGGCCGGTAGACTACACCTTCTTGGTCCCTCTCCGTATGAGCAACATCGAACGTGCATTAGCGGCCGTGCCTGTCCTGCACAAGCTGTAACAGGATACGGGCTTTCAGCAGACGACCGAGTGTTGTTGCTAGAAACCTGTGGGGTGCGCAGCGTGGTTGACCGCTTCTTTGCAATCGATACCTGGCAACTGGCCCACAGTGCTGCAAACAGCACTCCAAATGTGCCATCACCTTCCAACTACACGCTTCAGGCCGGCACACTGGCCATGTTTGGCTGGGGAAGCATACCTATCACTACAGCTGGGGGCAGGTATAGGATGTGCTGGTGCTCCAGGCATGCTCCCTGTGCAGAGCCTGCCGATTTCAGGATTGACTTCGGAGAGCTTTTGGTGATTGGTGCAGCAGCGACCCATAGCTACACTTGCATCAGTGGTCTTTCTTGTCAGCTTGATGGTGTGCAGGGAGAACATCTTGGCATGAACCAGCACCTTGCAGTTCTCGACACATGCGGCGTTGGCATGGAGTCACACATCATGACGGGGACGTTTGATGGCAGTTCCTTTTCTTGGGGCTCCAGGCCAATCCTTCTCACTGGTGGTACCTACCGCCTTTGCTGGTGTGCGTCCAGACATCTTGAGGACTTTGACAACTCCTCCGGCTCAAATGGCTCAAATGCCTCGCTTGGTTCGTGTGCCGATACAAGCGACTTCTGGTTGGATGCGGGTGGTCTGATGCTGTTAGGGCCGTCACCACGCAGTCAGCACTTCACGTGCGTTTCTGGCCAAACCTGCCAGATGGCCACACTTCATGGACTTGGTCTGACAAAGGATGGCTACGTACGCGCCATGGACACGTGTGGTGTCTTGGCTGCAGCAGTGCAGCGAATGCCTCTGCAAGCGTTCATCCTTCCCTCGACGGGCCGCTCTGCGGAAGTCAGCTGGGAAGCGCCGCCCTCTGCTGCTGGTGGCTTGTATCGCCTCTGCTGGTATTCTGGCGCACGCGACTTCAGTGACTTCAATGTCAGCAACATGACGGACAGCGCCAGTGACTTGTTGTTCAATGTGGACCTTGGTGTTCTGCACCTCCTGGGTCCCGGACCGCTTCAACAAGATAGGACTTGTGTCAGCGGGCAGACGTGTAGGATTGCAGGCATTCTGGGTGCAGGAGCCGAGCTGGGCTCCTTCCTGGTGCAGGATACCTGTGGCAGCGTGGGCATTCTGCCGCGCTTCACAAATTCAGGCCTCATGGACTCATGGTCGCGTGGAGAAGTTTCCTGGGGGACAGTTCGGGTCACAGCAGCTGGCGGATTGTACCGCCTGTGTTGGGCAGGGCAACCGCTGGATGTCTTGCGAGAAAAACTTGAGTTCAACCACTCTTGGAACTTCACACTTGCACAACTTGGATCTGTTGCTGCCAATGGAACAGATAATATGACTAGAACCAGCATTCTTGGTTGGTTAGTGGATGTGGGCCAATTCACTTTCATTGGCCCTGCGCCACTTAGCCAAGACTTCACTTGTGTCGCCGGCGAAAGCTGTGACCTCCGTCCAATTACTGGCTATCACTTGCAGTCGAATGATGTATATGCCGTGCTGGCAACTTGCGGTGGGACTTCGTCACCTGCCAAAAGCTCCACGACGATGGGCTTCGAGATTCCCAGCAGTGGCATCTGGCTTGCGCCAACGTTGCCAGCAGGTATGTACCGGCTATGTTGGTGTGCAGAGCTGAGTGCTGGAGCTTTTAACATCACCGGCTACAGCAACTTCAGTCGGCTCTCTTGTGTACTGCAGCAGGACTTTCAAGTGGATGTGGGGCATGTGACAGTGCTATCTCCCACTCCAGCAGTCCAGAACCTGACTTCAGCTGATGATTCCTTCGAGCTAGACAGCAATGACACCCAGGCGCATTGTTTCAATCTGCCTCTAACGGACCAATGTCAGCAGAAATTAGCAGAATTCAAGGTCTTGCTTTCCAGTCTTCTTTCTCCATTGGCTTATTGAGTCCATGTGCGATGTCTGTTGTGAAGGACTTTTAGTTGTCGCCTCTTTCGTTTGCTGTGATTTTTAACGCTACGCGACCAGCCTCGGTCGGGGCCTGCCGTGACTAAAGCGGCGAGGCAAGGTCGGCCCGACAGGCTCCATGTCCTTTTTTTCAAAGTCGAAGGGAAGAGAGTTCGGCAGAGTAGGCAAGAAAGGAACTGGTGAGGTTGATGCAGGGGTGAGCGGTATGGTTGCGTCCCGGTGGCCTCCCGCCCCCCCCCCCCCCCCGCTTCTTTGGTGTGGGCGTGGGTTGGTTTTCGGGTTTAGGGTTGTTTGAGGGTTTAGGGTTTCTGGGTTTTTTTAGAGTTTCAGGCCTTTGGGTTGTACGCTGTAGGGGTTTCGGGTTTAGGACTTTAGGGTTGGAGGGTGGGCCAAAGAAATGGTTGCACAACGCGGAGGTGGCTGGCGGAGGGGATGAGAGGTGGGATGCCTGCTTTGTGCTACCTAGACGCCTTCGGCCCAAGGGGCGGCGGATTGAGAAGGACGTGTTGCGCGGGCCCGTGGTGGGGTCCTGCGCTGCACCGAAAATAAGCGCAAAGTACAAGTAGACACGCATGCGACCAATTTTGAAAACGGCAGGCAGAGCCACAAAACCAGTCTCCCTTGCAATTGAAACTGTTGCAGGTGGTCGTGGCAGGCCCGTGGCCTTCAGCCCAGTCCCGCACCTGCATCAGTGGACAGCGCTGCAGCTTCCTCCTCATGGGTATCAAGCCTTCTGACCTCATCCTGGTCCTCGACACGTGCGGCTTGCCTTCTGTGATTCCAAAATGGCCAGCTGGTGGCTTAAGCCTGCCAGTCGATGCGAATGCAACAATTCCTCCAAATGGTAGTGTTTCGCTGAGTCAAAGGCTATCTTGGGGAGACGAGGCTGTGACAGCAGTCGGAGGAGCTTACAGGTTATGCTGGTGTCCTGCCGGTGCTACTTGCAAGACCTTCGCCGATTTTCCACTGGATCTGGGAAGGATACACCTCCTGGGACCGCAGCCAGCTGCAGCGACTTGTGTCAGTGGACGTGCGTGCCACCCATCGGTTCAGGGCCACATGATCTCGACCAATGACACCATCTGGGCGCTGGAGACCTGTGGAGTGCAAGGCCGGAAGCTGGAGTTTGCAATGCAGAGCCAGCCATCACAGCCTGACGGCATCAGCACAATCAACGCGCTTCAAACAGTCCAGATCGCAAACCCGCTTCTTGTCGGCCTCGGCCGACATTACAAGCTTTGTTGGTGCGCTTCTGGCTGCCCGTGTGCTGACGGCCGTGATTTTAATGTGGAGGCAGGTGACCTGGTACTGCAGGGTCCATCAGAAGATCACCAGGACAGGACATGCATCAGCGGCCGAACTTGTGTTGTCGAGGGCATTCAGGGTCAAGACCTCTCCGACCAAGACCATTATTTGATCCAAGACACATGTGGCTCAGATCAAATTGTGGAGTCCTTAGTGAACGTCGGCTCGCATGTGGAGGTGACAGCCAGCGGCGCCTTGGTTCATTGGGGAACAACACCACACACAGTCGCAGGTGGTGTGTACAAGCTTTGTTGGTGCACGAATCGGCCAAGCCATGGCAACCAGTCCGAAGCGCACCTCTGTGGTACGGCCGCATCCTTTGTGTCCACCGTGGGAAGTTTGACGTTGCGTGGTCCGGTACCTCTTAGCCAAGATCGAACTTGCATAAGCGGAAAGACTTGCAAGGTTACTGGCCTCGAGGGGCACCTATTTGCGTTCGACCAAGATGCAGTTCTCGTCTTGGACACATGTGCGAAATTCGGGTCTGCAGGCTTTAGCGGCTATGTTCAGGCAAGCCTTGAAATTGGTGGTGTCTTGAAGTTCCAGCCCGAGATTCTACTTTATGGCGGGACCTACCGGTTGTGTTGGTGTGGGAAGGCTCCAGGAGGCTTCGTGGCCATGCAAAATCAAAGCTGGGAGGCTGTGAACAGCTCCAATGTCAGCAGCTGCCAGTTGCTGGAAGAATTTCAGACGGATTTCGGTGCCCTGCATGTAGTTGGCCCCAAACCTGCGGACACGGATCTGACTTGTGTAGCTGGGCGGATCTGCAATATTTGGCACTTGCATGGGCACCTGCTGAACGTAGAAAGCCTTGGCAACGTGCTCATTCTAGACACCTGTGGAGTGCCAATGAGCTCCCTTACCACACATCATGCGCTGACCAACGTCACAGAGGCTCCAGGGGTTTTGACACTTTCGACCGTGCCTGTTCATGGCGGATACTACAGACTCTGCTGGTGCCAGGACAGTTGCCCTTCCGCGCAGGCTTATGGTGTTGATGTTGGGCAAGTTTGGTTGCTTGGCCCCAGTGCAACAGACCAACATCGCACTTGCATCAGTGGCAGGATGTGTCGTGTCAGAGACATAGTGGGCGTTGGCCTTTCCAGCGCAGACAGAGCCATGGTCATGGATACTTGTGGCTCCCCGTCACATGTTGCTGGAGTCATCAGTGCCGGCATGTCCAACATGTTTGCAAACATGACATCGTTTGTTTGGAATGTGGTATCTGCAAACGGCGGTCAATACAAGCTGTGCTGGTGCACAGAGGGTGATCCGGCTGCTATGGCAAGAACTCCCGTGCTGCCGAGCTTTGTTAAAGTCCCCAATTGCACAGATGCGCTTCGTTTTGGGCAAGAGTTCGGAAGGCTCCATCTCATTGGGCCATCCTATCCCGATCAATCGTTCACCTGTGTCAGTGGACAGACCTGTCAGTTAAGGAGCTTTCATGACCCACATGCCTCACTTGAGGACTCCCTGCTATTGTTGGATACCTGCGGATCTTCAGCAAGCTACGTTCCAAAATCCGCTCTGCAGCCTGCATCTGCTGCTCAAATGGGTGGACAGCTGGTGTTTTCATGGAACGGGACGCAGACAATGCAAGGAGGCCAATACAGACTCTGCTGGTGCACAACGAGACCCGAAAATGACGTCAATGCTTCCACTCAACATCTATGCGAGCAACCGGGGCATTTTTTGGTGGACTACGGTCGGCTGGACATCGTGGGCCCTTCCTTGCATCAAATTCGAACTTGCACCGCGGGGTGGCCGTGCCATCTTCAAGGCATCATGGGCATGAACTTGCAGGCGGGAGACATGTATCTCATTCTGGACACTTGTGGAGCAGTGAGCCTCATTCCTCAGTCGCCAAGTGCGTTCCTTCAGTCTTCGAGGAACCAGGGTACTGATGTCACCTTCCATGCACCAGTCTCTTCAAGCGGAGGAAGCTACAGAATCTGTTGGTGTGGCCGTGGATTCCCTTGCAGCTCATTTGAAGAGTTCAGTGTTGATCTTGGCGAGTTGGTGCTGCAAGGTCCTAGCTCACCTGACCAGTCTTTCACATGCACTCGAGGACAGCGTTGCAGAGTGTCTCACATACAAGGTATGCTACCTGTGGAGGCAGAGTTCCTTCTCTTGGAGACATGTGCAGACAGCACTGGAAGAGGGGTTGTGACGAGTGCTTTTCCCACCAATGGCTCTCAGGGAAGTGCAGTGTTGTGGGAGATGGAGTTGACAATGCCTGGTGGGGAGTACCGGCTATGCTGGTGTGCAGAAGGAGCTGCAAGGGAGCGCACGGTGGAAAACCAAACCCTCAGTCCATCGGACTGGGCAATGCTTGCCACCAATGCCAGCTCTCCATTCAACACATCTGTCTTTAGCCTCAGCTCCTGCCTCCAACCAATGCAAAGGGTAGATGTTGGAAGCCTGCATCTCCTTGGCCCTGTGGCAGACCAAAGCTTCACATGCATCAGTGGCCGACGCTGCGTTGTGAACTCCGTGCTTGGATTGGGTTTGAGCGTGAACGATTCGTATCTGATTCTTGACACTTGTGGCACTCCCAGCATCGCTCAGCGATTTACACGCAGTGGACGCGCGGTTGATGTTATCACAGGAGGCACTACGGTGAGTTGGGGAGAGGTCCCTGTTACCGTTGCCGGGGGTGAGTATCGACTGTGCTGGTGTGCGCTTGCGGCACTTGCCTCTGCAAATTCATCAGACCCCTGTGCCTCAGCCATGGACTATACAGCAGACGCGGGAACATTGTTTATCATCGGTGCATCGCCTCTAGCACAGGACCGAACCTGCGTCAGCGGCTGGCCTTGCGTCATTGAGGGCATTACTGGCACAGATCTGACTGAGCTGGATGCATTGGCTGTGCTCGAGACTTGTGGCCAGGCAAAGGCTCCAATGTCAGATGGCTCTGAAGCACAGGCCACGGCTCTGGCACCTCACCGAGGTCTCTGGCAGTGGCTTGCTGGTAACAGTGTGAACGTCGGCGGCAACTACCGCTTGTGTTGGTGCTCTGGTGCCAATGCGAATCAAAGCCTTGGGAATGTGAACGCATCTTGCCTGCTTTTCGAGGATTTCCGTGTGGACATTGGTGCGCTCACGGTGCTTGGGCCGATGCCGCTGCAACAGGCCTTCACTTGTGTCAGTGGACATTCCTGCAGCACAGACGGCATGACCGGTGTGGGACTAAGCCCTGACGCGATCATGATTTTGGACACTTGCGGTAGCGAGGGGGACATGCTGCTAGGTCCTGGGCCGAAACTTGATGCTGTGACAGTCACGAAAATGACTTTGCAGGGTGGGCAGTACAGCCTGTGTTGGTGTCCGCAAGTATCAGACCGTGGAACAAATTTCTCCAATCACACAGGCAGCGCGGCGCGGAACGAAACCGCAGTAGCTTGCCAGGCCTCCGAAGAGTTCACAGTCGCCTTCGGCCGAATGCAGATCGTAGGACCCTCTCCACTGACGCAAGATCGCACTTGCATAAGTGGGCAGACGTGCCGAATCGAGGGCATACAGGGCTTGCATCTGTCAGAAGCCGATTACTGGTTCGTCTTGGACACATGTGGTAGCACCGATCCCGTGGCTGGCTTTCCAACAACGGCTCACGTCAAGCAGTTCGAGGCGGACAATTTAACAAGCCCCTCCAGCGTGGTGGTTACGTGGCACACAGATATCACAAGCGCAGGAGGCGTCTACCGCCTGTGCTGGTGTGGCTTGTCCAGTGAGAACTCGAGCGCTAGCCTGAGCTGTGCCTCAGGGCAGGTCGACACCGGCAAGTTGGAGGTGCTTGGACCGAATGGCGCCCAGTGGACGCCCACGCAGCGAGGTCACTGTGGAAGGCGGCCTTTGCAACCAGCGCCTCAAGCGAGCAACACGTACAGCAACCTCACCATGGATGCCTGCCGGGCGGCATGTGATGCTGGATATCCAGGTACATGCATTGTTGCTCTCTTCGCGGATCGTGGTGCAGATGTTGGCCTTTGCAGTATAATGCTGGCATGTACAATGTTGGCAGATTCCAGTGAGGATACGCTGCTCCTTTTCCCTGACAAAGCGCAACCTGACGTCGAGCAGTCTCGAACTTGTGTGAGTGGCCAGTCTTGCATGATCAAAGGGTTGCTTGGGCATGGGCTCATGGACACTGACACTTACATGATCATGGATACATGCGGGCTGGCTGATGCCTTGGTGGCGAGGGTCGGCGACACTGCCTTGACCGTCAATGTGCTGACTTCCGGTGCCAATGCCACTGTCAGTGTTGGAAGCTTTTTAAGCAGTTCCAGCTTGAGTGCCGCCGGGGGCATCTACCGACTGTGCTGGTGCAGCGGCCTTGCTACATGCAGCATTGCTGAGTCCTTCCGAACAGATGCGGGAGGTCTTCTTCTTGTAGGTCCCGCGCCACTTCAGCAAGACCGAACGTGTGTTGCAGGCAGGACCTGTGTCGTAGATGGTGTGCGAGGGCAAAACCTGGCTGATGGGGACCAGCTTTGGATCCTGGACACGTGCGGCACCGCAGCAAAGGGCCAGAGCGGCTTTCTTTTTGCAGACTCCGTGGACTCGTGGCTTGCCAGCCCAGCGAAAGCAAGCGGTACCGCTTTCTCTTGGGCAGCCCTGTCCAGCAGTCTTCCTGGTGGCCAGTACAGACTGTGCTGGTGCAGTTCAATGCAAGCGTGCTCAGATAGCCACGAGTACAGCGTGGACATTGGCAGCCTCACGTTGCAGGGCCCGGTGTATGCAGCCAACTCGGTGCAGAAGCGAACTTGTGTCGCTGGCATGTCCTGCAGTATTGATGGCCTTCAAGGCCAACTTCACGGTCAGGCTATGATCTTGGACACGTGTGGCAGCGCTCAAGCTTTTCCGCCGAACACTCCATCAGCAACTAGCGACTACAGTGGCCAGATGCAGTGGGATGTGCTGACGATCCAGGGTGGAACTTATCATCTTTGCTGGTGCACTTTCAGCATGGAAGTCGTAAACGAGAGTAACCGGTCGCTGCACCACTGCCGGTCAAGCTTGGACTTTGACGTGTCTTTCGGAGCTCTCACAATTGTCGGGCCAGAGGAAGGTCAAAGATTCACGTGCGTGAGTGGGCAAGCCTGCACCCTTGCTGGCATCAGAGGCCAGGGGCTCCTTCCCGAGGATGCCTTCATTGTGCTGGAGACATGCGGAACAGCATCTGCCGGATTTGGGACCGGGCTGACCGTGCCTTCGTGGAGCCCTGAGGGCAACCAGTCTTGGAGCCCGTCTGACTGGAGCTGGGCACTGTATGATGGAAACCTGTCCTTCGACAATGGGAGCGCATCGTGCTCGACCTCACCGGGTACAAAGGGCTGTCGCACTACTGAGGCTGTTCTCGGTGTCACGTGGAGCCAAGCTGTGGTTGCACCTGCAGGAGCATACCAGCTATGTTGGTGCTCAGCCGTGCATGCGTGCTCCACTGCTGAGCAGTTTGTTGTGCCGAGTGGGCAGATCCTGTTACGAGGTCCTAACCCGGGCCAGGATCGAACATGTGTCGCCGGCCAGACGTGTTCCTTAAGCAGTATACACGGTGTGAGTTTAGATGTGGCTGATGCATTTATGATTCTGGAGACCTGCGGATCTTCGCTTCTGCCAAGAGGCATTCCTCCCTTGGGATATATCCAACAAAATGGTAGTGACTTCAATGGCTCTGAACAGGAAGATGGCAATTTCTCTTTGGGCGATGCCTACCGAGTCTCTTGGGGAGCTTCTCCTTTCACAAGCGGTGGCGGCCAGCACAGGCTTTGCTGGTGCCCTTCAGGCTACCCCTGCGCCGGAGGGCAACACTTCCTGATTGATGTTGGATCCCTGTATGTAGTCGGCCCCCTTGCTGACTACGGCTATGACAAGTGGCTGCGCGGCAACTGCGCAATCAGCCAGCAAGTCAGTGCCTACACCAGCTCCACCAAGTCCGAGTGCTTCGAGCTTGGTAGGTATGCTCCCTCCACAGTCACTGCAGCACAATTCTACACCCTTGGCAACTCGTCTAGCTGCACGCTGCTCCGTACCTGTGAAGGCTTTTTCTCTACGGACGCTTCGGATTACGAGGTGCTCTTTCTGCACTCTGCATCGACTCAGGACCGAACTTGTGTGACTGGCCTGTCTTGTAGCATTGATGATATCATGGGGCTTGGCTTATCTGCTCATGACTCTTTCATGATCCTGGACACCTGTGGGTCAACGTCCCTGGTGAATGGAATACCGCAGAGTACGGTTTCGGCGGTTGGCTCCACCCTGGCAGCCATCAATGGCACGAATACCACGGACCCTCAGACTGACTTAGACTGCAGCAGACATCGCCAAACTAAACTCCTCAAAGGCAACTAAGAGACTAAGACGCCTGAAACTGACAAGCAGCTCTCACAGGAATTAAAACCTATGTGCTGAGGACTTGAAGCCAGCTGGCGAGCAGAGCCTACGAGTGACCTGGAGCAGCCACGCCACGCCTGCTGGTGGAAGGTGGGCTGCAAGAGCTAGAGTGCTTTACCAAGTCGATACATCCTTAGAGCTGCTGCTTCATATACATTTTCGGTTCCAGGGGTGAACCCGGCCCCTGCGTTTTAGTATTTTACGTGAGTACACGAAACAAAACCCTACGTTTGGATGTGTTCATAGCTGCGGATAGAGACAAGCGGGCGATGGAACGGGGTCTTTTTCAATCGTTTTCTGCATCTTCAAGGGAGGAAGAGGGACACCCCAAAAGAAGGAAAAATGACATAAGAGATAGGGAGGGAAATTGAAGAACTCCTCATTTTACTTACAGTAGTCATTCCCTTTCTTCTCTTCTTATCTATTATTTTTCTTATTGGCTTCAAAAAACAACATAAGGGAAAGGGGATTTCCTGAAGAGGAGAGAGGGAACCTATCTGTGAAGAGCAAGAATGGTTTTTTCTAATTCGAAAGGGAATAGGGAGAGACAAGGGAAAGATGATATGTACAACTTTGCGCTTTATTTTGTGATTCCGTCTCCTTGCTTCCAGTCTCTTCTATTCCTTGCATCACGCTTCCAGAAACATAGCATCCTTGTTATCTCTCCTCTCTCATTTCCCTTTCTAGGCAATCCTTTTTATCTCTCCTCTCTCCTTCTCTCTCCCTCCTCTTCTCCCTGTTCCCCTCTAAACGACAAAAACGCAAGAAAGGAAGAATAAGAGGGGAATGGAGGCCCTGTTCCTTTCTTCTCCTTTTTCAATGGATGGGGGAAGTGGGCGGAGTTGGCTCCTTGCCCGTAGACCCTCCCTATGTTTCAATAAACCCCTCCTCTCGCCTTATCGCCTCTGTTCTTTTCCTTGTACCCAAACAGAGAACGAAACGGGTTCCTTTGCATGTTCATTGTCCTTTTGTTTTTATTTCAAAGGGAAAAGAACCAGAGAAGAGAAATATAAGAACGAGAGGTAAGATGAGCACGGCACCATCTTGTCTTTGCCTTATTGTTGCACCTCCCTCTCCTGTCTTCATTTCCCTTCCATTCTTTTTATTGTTCTTCCCATTAATATTGCATTCCTTTTGATAATTCCTCTCTCCTTTCTCTCTCCCTTCTCTTCTCTTACTCTCCTATAAATCTCAAAAACACACAAAAGGAAGCTTCTTTCCCTTTTTGAACGAAAAAGAAAAAGAAGAAAAAGATAGGGAAAGACATTGAAGAGCTCCACTGCCTATTGTTTCATTCCCTGTCCTCTCTTTCTATGTGTTGTTTAACTTGTCGTTTCAGAAAGCAAGCAAAATAAGGGCAAGGGCTTGCGGCAAGGGGGGCTTCCTGAAGAGGAGAGAAGGCACCAGCAAACAGCTTCATGAATCACACGCTGCTCAAAAAACCAAAACTTAAAAAACCAAAAAACCAAAACCAAAAAAGCAAAAAAAACAAAACCAAAAAAAAAACAAAAAAACAAAACCAAAACAACCAAAAACACAAAAAAAAAAACAAAACCAAAAAAAACAAAAAAAACCAAAGAAAACAAAAAAGCCAAAAACCCATCTCCTAGGAACTCTTAGAGGGAGACTTCCGGAATAATGTTTTTTTTTTGGTTTTTCTGTTTTTTTTGGTTTTGGTTTTTTTGTTTTTTTTGGTTTTGTTTTTTTTGGGTTTTTGTGGTTTTGTTTTTTTGGTTTTTTGTGTACAGCACCCCAACACTGAAACAGCAAATAAACCCTTCGCCCCTGGAGCGTGTCGACATGCACGTCGGACGCGACGTCGCTTACCTCATACAGAGTAGAAGTGCCAAAACGCAGGGGCCGGGTTCACCCTTGGAGCCTTTTCTTGCATGTGCAATATATGCACTAAACTCACCAAGTCTTTGCTTGCGCAAGCCCGATTGCAGGTATCGGCTTTGCTGGTGTTCGGCTGTCTTCGACTGCGTTTCATCGCAGCAGCACAGAGTAGATGTGGGCTCCCTTTCATTCATCGGGCCCTCCTTTGAGCAGCACCGCACTTGTGTGTCTGGGCAGACGTGCTTAATCAACAGCTTAGACTTGGAGTCGCCGGCAAGCACCGGCAGCTTCATGATCATGGAGACTTGCGCCCTTCCAGATGCTGTGGTGACTGGTTGGCCAGCTGGCGCAGTGGCCTCAAGTGTTACAGCGAGCGGTACATCTGCGTACTGGGGAGACACGGTCCTTGCTCCAGGTGGCAAGTACCGACTTTGCTGGTGTGGCGATGGCATCTGCAATTCAGTTCAGCGTTACAGCATCGATGTTGGGAGCCTCTCGCTGATCGGGCCAGTTCCCTTGCAATACGCACGTACGTGCGTCAGTGGAAGACTGTGCGCATTCGATGGAGTGCGGGGTGAAGGGCTACAAGCGGGTGATGCTTGGCAAGTCTCCAGCAGCTGTGGAAGCACGTCGGTGCTGCCTGGCATGCCTCTCACTGGACACACAATCAGCGTGACATCCGGCACTGTGAGCTGGGGCGGGATAAGGATCTCCAGCTCTGGCGGGCAGTACAAGTTGTGTTGGTGCTCGGCCTTGTTTCCCTGTGGCCTTGAGGACTTCCGCCTGGAAGTGGGAACCTTGGATGTGATAGGCCCTGCTCCACTCTCCCAGGACCGCACATGTATTAGTGGGACCACATGCCTCAGCCTCGGCCTGACGGGTCATTTCATCGATTCGACGACATTCTTCACGATCTTGGCAACGTGTGGGAAAGCCGATGCAAGAAGCGTCAACGATGAAGTTGAGGTTGTGCGCTGGGGGCGCAGCGTGCTGACAGCTCCTGGTGGCCGATACCGACTATGTTGGTGCATGCCAAACCAAGAACCGACCGGGCTGAACCTTTCCAATGCAACGGATGGTGGCTGCAAACAATGGACCCAGTTCCAGACTGACGCGGGCACTCTTCACATCATTGGACCAGCCCCCTACAACCAGCGGCAGACATGCATCAGCGGCCAGTCCTGCAAGCTGGAGGTTGGGGGCATCACGGGAATGCGAAGTTCCAGAGTTCTCCTTCTAGACACCTGCGGCACTGGCATGCAGCTTCCAGGCACGTATTTCGGGCCTGGCGAAGCCCTTTTGGCGAGCGAGCAGAATGTGTCTGACATGGCTATGTATAATACACAGGCTCTGAGGCTGGCTGGGGGTACTTACCGGCTTTGCTGGTGTGCCGGTCTGAACTTTGCTTACGAGAACAGCACCGAGGGCTGCTATGACTCTGCACACTTCCAGACGGATTTCGGATCCATCGAGATTGTGGGGCCGTGGCCTTTGGAGCAAGACCGGACATGCGTCAGTGGGTTGACTTGCCAAATCGAAGGCATTCAAGGCAGGGCACGTCAGCTCAAAGTAACTGTCCTGAGAATGCTCCGATCGTCCAAACGACTTGGTAAGACCATATGAAGCATGGAAGCATGCTGAAGCCCTAAAGCCTAAAGCAAGCCCTTCAAGCCCCTATGACATCATAAAGCATGCTGAAGCCCCTAAGCCGAAGCCCTTATATATGACACCGTGGAAGGTCTGCACCTCAACCAGGACCGCCTCCCGGATGTCTCGGGGCTCCGGATCAAGCAGGATGGATCTGTGCTCTTCGACATCACGCGCGGCAAGGTTCAGGTGAGCTACGCCACATCCGTCGGGCCCTTCATCGATTTGAGCTTGTTTGACCTGCAGACTGGGACCTCGGATTGGCAGGAGGTGTTCTTCAACGAGACGACGGCTCCCTTCTTCAGGCTCCTGGTTCTCGAGACCTCCTCTGGCTGGCAGCCCAAGCCTCGAGAAGTGCAGTGGCTCAGCCAGATGGTGTGGGTGGAGCATCTGCCTTCCGATTGGGTCTTCTCTGCATCAGGAGTCTCATGGAAAACATCCGGTTCCAACCCGCAAACGCTTGGTCCTGACAAGCTCATTGACCAGAACAGCGACTTGCTCACTTCCCGATGGGAAAGTGTGGGCTTCCCACGGTGGTACAACAACTGGTGGGTGACATTCGACTTCCGTGCTGGAGACCGGGCGCTTATTCTAGACACCTGCGGCAGTGCTGGAGCTACAGCTAGATTACCAGAGGCGGGTATGGTCAAAGGTGTGTCAGGCAGCGGTGCGACCATCGTGTGGAACAGTGCGCCGCTCTCAGCTTCTGGTGGCTTGTACAAGATTTGCTGGTGCGCCGCGTACCAGACCTGCGACACCGCGGACCATTTTCGCGTGCCCATTGGAGAGCTGACACTTGTCGGTCTGCACACGGGGCACTCCAGGACATGTGTGAGTGGTCGCAGCTGTAGGCTGGAAGGCCTGACCGGAACCTATGTGTCGGAGGACAGTATGCTGGCCATTTTGGATACGTGTGCCCAAGTGGGCGTGTTGACAGGTGGTTTCAGCAAGCCGTTTCTGGCTGCTCCCATGACCACCCTTGATGCCAGTGGATCAACAGCCGAATTTGGCCTCGTGACAGCGTCCGGCCTCTATCGGCTGTGCTGGTGTCCTATGGTGAACTTAGAGGACATTGCCAACCTGACATATTCCTCGGCCAGCAACCGCACTGGAAACCAATCAGCAATGTTAGACTGCTTCCATCTTGACATTGGGGAGCTTCATGTGCTTGGACCAATTCCGGAAGCAGGCCGGACTTGCATCGCTGGTAGGGATTGCGTCTTGGAAGGGTTTGGTGGCAAGTGGCTGAGTTCAGACCGCCTCTTCGTCATGGAGACGTGCGGCCAGGATTGGGTAGATGGCACGCCGGCATCAGCTCCTGTGCAGGGAAGCGGAGCCATCGTGAGAGTTGCAAACCGGCCCCTCAAAGCCATGGGTGGTCAGTACCGGCTATGCTGGTGTTCCGTGACACTAAGCAACAGTAGCATGCTGGACACCAATCTGACGCTGGACAGCGCATTTGGCTGCAATCCTGCTACACCGCATGCATTCTTGACAGATGTGGGATCGCTGACAGTGCTTGGCCCATCTCCGCTGTCACAGCAATGGACTTGCGTGTCAGGCCATACCTGCAAGATCGACAATATCTCCGGGATTGGACTTTCCGACTCGGATAGCATCATTGTGTTGCAAACGTGCGGAAATGCGGCAGTTGTGTCCCGATTCCCGTTCTCGGGGCAAGCAAACACATACTGGACTCGTGGTTCTCAAGCTGCATGGACCATTGCAGTCAGTGCTGCCGGTGGCTCGTATCGGCTTTGTTGGTATTCTGGCCTAGACTCCGGAGCGAATGCATCTGCCACAACGGTATCATTAGAGCACGCCGTCGATTTGGGTACTCTGTTTATGCGCGGCCCTACCCCGCTCAATCAAGAAGTCACATGCATCTCGGGCCAGAGCTGCAACGTGGAAGGGTTGACTGGTGTCGCTTGGACCATGTCTCAGGACAAGGTTGCGATCCTGAATACTTGTGGCACATCATCGGCTGTACCGCGATGGGGTGGCAGCGGAATTTCTGACATCGTTGCAAGCTCGGATCACAACACATCCGGCACATCCGTCACATCTTTTTTCTGGGCTGATGGCACAATCTCAGCTGCAGGTGGCAGCTACAGGCTTTGCTGGTGTGGTGCTTCGCTCAGGTCCAACCAGCCTGACAGCTTGGCATGGTACAACGCATCGTTCTTGCCACACAGCTCAGGTGATAACGAAAACCAGTCCAACAGCTCAGATGATGGTTGCACTCGGCCAGAACACTATCAGGTTGACTTTGGGAGCTTGACCCTGCTGGGTCCCTCTGACATCGGCATGTCATTGACCTGTGTTGCTGGCCACTCTTGCAGCATTGTGGGCATTCATGGAATTGGACTATCACCGGGAGACAGCATACTGGTGCTTGACACCTGCTCAGATTCGAGCGCCCCACCTGACAATTTTATTTATGGCTCGAATGAGACGGACATGATGTTGAGAAGCGGCACGAGCAATATGGCAGTTGCATCAGTCACGTGGCAAGGACCCTTGCATGTTCTGGGAGGTGAGTACAGGCTTTGCTGGTGTGCAGCAGACGCCATCTGCAGCAGGTCAGAGCACTTCCGTGTAGATTTGGGCATCCTCCACATGGTCGGACCGAATCCTCACGCGCAAGACCGCACATGTGTCAGTGGACAGACTTGTCTGGTGAATGGAATCACGGGGTGGTACATGTCCACAAGTGATCGAGTGATGATCTTGGAAACCTGCGGTCGGCAGATGCTATCGCCTCCTACAGGCTTGGAGTCCTGGGACTTGGTCCAGCGCTCAGGTGGGGTCGTTTGGGCCACCTTGAACAATTTCACCAACGCTTCGTGGCAGGCACTCTTCCTGACAACTCCAGCAGGACAGTATCGATTATGCTGGTGTTCTGGCAGTGCGAGCTCTGGAAGCCGTGACTCAGCCACTTGTGGCAACAGCATGTTGCCTGGCCTCGATTTCGGAGCCTTGCATGTCCTGGCGCCCGACAGCTATGTGGCGAGCACATGTATCAGTGGCCAGGCTTGTGATGTAAAGAACCTTCAGATTGCGGAATGGCAAAGCACCTTCACGGGTGGCGGCGGCCTTTTTCTGGCAGACACGTGCGGAAGCACCGCTTCCACACATCACTTTTTGCCAGAAGACGCTGTGTCAAATCTAAGCGTTGCAGTTTCGCGTCGGGTTTCAAGCAGTCGAATCAGCACATTGAGTGGTGGCACATACCGTCTGTGTTGGTGTTCACCGCAAGCTGTCAGCCCCGGTTCCTGCAATGTGCCTGAGCATTTCCGCGTCGAGGTCGGAGTACTGGACTTACTGGGCCCGGCACCTCTGCAGCAAGACCAGACATGCGTTTTGGGTGTGGCATGTCCAATCACATTGTCGCTGTTTGGCTTGGGCAGCTCGGATTCTCGTATGCTCATCCTTGAGACTTGTGGCTTGCCGGGTGCTGGAAGCACTCTGCTTTGGGGGGCCAACGTCTCAAGCAGCGAAGGTGGCATCGGACAGCTTCGATTCACTCCGCTGCTCACAGGGCTCTTCCGTCTTTGCTGGTGCCCAAGCCATCTAACATGCGACTTTGAGGAAGACTTCCAGGTGGATTTCGGACAGCTGTACCTTCGAGGTCCCGTGCCACTGGAGCAACACAGGACCTGCATTAGTGGACATCACTGTGAGGTGGAGAAGTTCCAAGGTCTTGGAATGGAACATCTCCCAGCCCATCTCATGGTACTGGATACTTGCTCCGTCAGTGGTTTGAGAACAGCAGGTCTGCCTGTGATGAGATTGCCTGTGTCGTCCTCGGTACAAAGCTTAGGAGACATGCCTCTCCTGGTGCCCGAAGGACGTTACAGCCTGTGCTGGTGTGTGGAAGCCGCAGAAGCTGGAGCTGACAGTGCCTACGGCGCAAACCAGACTTGCCAGACGTTGGAGCATTTCTCAATGCAGTTTGGTCAGTTGAGGATACTGGGCCCAACACCTTTGCAGCAGGACTTCACATGTATTGCCGGTGTGGAATGTGATTTCACTCTCTTTGAGCACACCGCCCAGAATGGACGCATGCTGATTCTCGACACTTGCGGAACTTCGAGCATTCCTCCCGGCATCGGTGCCATTGAGCTGGGCATTGACATGCAGGCCAGACAGGCCACCATGATTGCAGCAGGTGGCCTTTATCGGATTTGTTGGTGTGGCCTTATCGAGGGCTCCAATGTGACCTCGTGTGCAGAGGGCTCTGATTTCAAGGTGGATGCCGGCACGTTGACACTCGTCGGTCCAACACTTGGTCAGGCATGGACGTGCGTCAGTGGGACGACGTGCCTCATGAATGACATAGGTGGCAAGCACCTGTCTTTCAGCGACCATTATCTGGTGTTGCATACGTGTGGCGTGCAAGATGTTGCAAGTCGATTTCCTAACGAGGGCAGCGTCTTCCAAGTCTCTGGACAGTGTGGGTGCACGTCACCGCTTTGCAGCTCCTATCCGCTTGGTACGAATGAGTCTATGTGCGCGACATGTGGTGACTTGTGCCCTGGTGATGATGCAAAAACACATCCGGGCTGGTGTGGCTGCGGCACGTTGGACGTGGACTCCGATGGTGATGGCACACCAGACTGCCTGGACCAATGCCCGCACAACCCGGGCAAGACTGGACCTGGAATTTGTGGCTGTGGGGCCCCTGATGTAGACAGTGACAGTGATGGCATCCCGGACTGCAATGACCAATGCTCCGGGCCGGATTTCACAGGTGGATCTTGTTGTACTGCATTTGACTCTGATGCGGATGGAGTGCTTGACTGTTTTGACCAGTGTCCCCTCGATGCCAGCAAGACGCTGACAGGGATCTGTGGCTGCCATGTGTCAGATGTCGACAGCGACCTGGATGGTGTGCCGGATTGCTTGGACTTGTGTCCCCAAGATACCACGAAGTCCTTCCCAGGTAGCTGTGGATGTGGGAACTCTGAGGTCGATGCGGATGGTGACTCTGTGCCGGATTGCATTGACATTTGCCCGAATAGCCCGGACTTCACCTTTCAAGGTCTTCAAGCCAGTTTCGGACACGTGCCCGTGTCTGCAGCAGGAGGAACCTACCGACTTTGCTGGTGTCACTCTGCAGCCAAGTGCGGGTCTCAAGCTGACTTTGTGGTGGATGTCGGCTCTGTGCAGCTTCTGGGCATCCAAGATATACGCAGCAGCCGAACATGTATCAGTGGCCAAAGTTGTTTCATTCGGCGATTGATTGACACCAGCACCTCCACAATTTCTCACCATCCTGCTGCTTCGAATTTCTCCGCGACCCCGATGCTTGTGTTGGAGACCTGCGGAGTCTTAGCAGTTGCCGTAAACGACTCGCTTGGAAGCGCTCAGTTCTTTTCACCTCAGGTTGCAATGGATGTGGGCCGTTCAATCGGATGGCTTGCGGGGCAACTGACGTCATCTGGGGGATTCTACCGGCTTTGTTGGTGTGCGAGTGCTACAAGAAGCTGCAATTTGGTTCCAGACTTTCAGATGGACGTTGGCGAACTCATGATGCTTGGTCCATTCCCACTAGCCCAGCAAATGACTTGCATCGCTGGCCTAACTTGCAGAATTGATGGAATCCAGGGGCTGGGCGTCAGGCAGACAGACTTGGTTAGAGTGCTTGATACCTGTGGCTCTGCAGAGTATGCTCTGACGGCCCCGACATTCAATGCAAGCCTCGGGACTGATGATGCTGTCAGTGCGGATGCCACACAGACCTTTCCAGGAGGCTTTTACCGTCTTTGCTGGTGTGCAACGGGCTATCAGTGCAACTTGCATAGTGACTACCGAGTTGACTTCGGGGTTTTTTCACACGTTGGTCCTTCTCCGTTGTTCTCACAGGATCGGACTTGTGTGACGGGTCAATCATGCACAGTCGAGCGCATTGAAGGGCATCTGCTTTCGTCCGATGACTCGTATTGGATCCTTGAGACTTGTGGTGTTCAAGCGCCCGCAAGACTGGCCGGGCAAGGCCGTGCAGTCTTCCAGAACAGTTCCATCTCAATCACTTGGGGGGACGTTCCACATACAGCGGCTGGTGGCCAATACCGACTTTGCTGGTGCTCAGCATTCGCCATATGCAACATGGCACAGAATTTTGGCGTTGACGTAGGCGGGCTATTGTTGCTCGGCCCTACTCCTCAAGACAGAACGTGCATCAGTGGCCAAACATGCTTCATGAAGGCTTTGCCTGGCTATTATCTCCACGCGGATGACCGCTTGCTCGTGCTGGATACATGTGGAAGGCCTTCTCCAGTTGTGGGTTTCCCTGCGATGCAGTCTAAACTTTTGTCCTCAAACTCCACGGCAGTCGCAGGCTTCGTGGCAGGCAGCATGCTGGAGTTTGTAACCTCTGCTGGGGGGACGTACCAGTTGTGCTGGTGTGCCGCATCCGCTTTTGCTTGCAGCCTCGCGGAATCATTCCGGGTCAATGCGGGTTCGCTGACCCTGATTGGGCCGAGCACCGGCTCGCAAGTTCCCAAGTTGCGCGTGTGTATCTCTGGAAGGATCTGTTCAGTCCAGGGCCTTCTTGGGCAAAACCTGCATGAGGATGACCAGCTCATGCTTTTGGATACATGTGGCTTGCAAGGACCCAGCCAGGGGCAACCAGCCATGCCCAGCTTGCAAGCCAATGGCACAAGCCCGGCCTTACTCTCAAGTGACTCAAGTAACTTGCAGAGCAACTTGACGGTTTGGTTCGCGTCTGGCGGGACATATCGACTATGCTGGTGTGCTTCTGGCAGCAGCTGCAATAGCGCACCGGACTTTAGGGTGGACATCGGCCAACTGGATGTTGTGGGGCCCGTGAGCATGGCATCACCTTTCCGTTGGAGGAGGCACTGTCAGCCAGATGCAAATGCTTCTGTATTGGCCTTCTCCTACGAAGATGACATGCATGCATGTTGGCTGCGCTGCAAATCGCACGACTCAAACACGACTGGGCCTTGTGATGCTGCCGAGTTTGTCCCTCACTCAGGATTTTGCAAGCTATGGAGTCAGTGCTATGTTATGTCGCACAGCGCGGCCCAGGCCTTCCTACTTACAGCGCAAGAGTCGTGGTCCGGCCAGGACAGGACATGCGTGGCGGGACATCCTTGCACCCTGGATGACATCATGGGACACCTCCTTACAGAAGGTGATGCCTATGCGGTGCTGGATACTTGCGCGAGCACACTTGCCTGGATGCATACTGCTCAGCATGTTGCGGGGCATGGTGGCTATGCAAACCCATGTCGCTGTGCTGAGTCCATGAACGACACAGATGGTGACGGCGTCGTAGACTGCACCGATGAGTGTCCGCTGGATCCAAGCAAGGTAGAGGTGGGAGTTTGTGGCTGTGGACAAGCAGATGTGGACAGCGATGCGGATGGAGTTCCGGACTGCCGAGACAGGTGCCCTCTCCATGGCGAAAAAAGCTTGCCAGGCATTTGCGGGTGCGCGATGGCGGATTTTGATTCTGATGCAGATGGGACTCCTGACTGCAACGACCAATGTCCCAACTTGCCCGACAATGCTGAAGGGGTGGCCGGCTGTCCTGCAGCAGCTGCAGACTTGGATGGTGACGGTATTCCAAATTTCTTGGATGAGTGTCCTTTGGATTTCAACAAGACTTCAGCAGGTGTATGTGGCTGTGGAGAGACTGATGAAGACTTCGACAATGATGGTATTCCGAATTGCCTCGACTTGTGCCCCACGGAAGCCTTCAAGGTCTTTCCAGGGGCTTGTGGCTGCCAGACACCAGACCTAGATCGAGATGGTGATGGCACTCCCGACTGCCACGACGTTTGTCGGTCGTCTGATGCCGTTTTTGGTTCTGTCTCCGTGCAATTTGGTGTTTTGCCAGCTGGGCAGTATCGACTCTGCTGGTGCTCGCGCTCAGTTCAGTCTTGTGCGGCATCTCAGGAGTTCAACGTGGACCTTGGAGGACTCAGCATCATAGGGCCTCGCAGCCAGGAGCGAACTTGCGTTAGCGGGTACCCGTGTCGGTTTGGTGACTTAGCCGGCTTCGGCCTCGATGATGCTGACAACATCCTTGTCCTCAACACCTGCGGCTCTTCCACAGGTCTTGTAGCCCGCGGGTCGCCAGACGTGGCGTTGCCGCTTTTTTCCAGCGGCTCTGCAGCAGCATTTTCTGTGCTCACTGCAGCTGGCGGGTTGTACCGTATGTGTTGGTGCACTGCCCGCGCGTGGCAAGACCCAGTCGACCCAGTGCCTGTTTGCGACCGAGCAGATCGCTTCACTGTAGATATTGGTGCACTGATCCTCGTTGGCCCATCACCTCTGCATCAAGCATACACCTGTGTTTCAGGGCAGCCATGTGGTCTGCATGGGCTGAGCGGATTCCATCTTACACCCCGCGATATGATGATGATACAGGATACCTGTGGGGGCGCAAACTTCGCTTCTCCCCTCCTCGCATCGGCCGGTCGGGATGGATTATTCTTCCAGTTTTCTGGTGCCGAGGTACAGGCAACCAACAACTTGCTGGCTGCCAACACAACGGAAGTTCCTTCGTTGGAGGTGGCAGGTGGACAGTATAGGCTCTGCTGGTGCTCAGCCATGACCACGATTACCAGCTCCCCGCCTTGCGCGTCAGCAGCAGAGTACCTGGTGGACTTCGGCAAGTTGGATGTGATTGGACCCTTCCCACTTCAGCAGGAGCAAACATGTGTGAGTGGTCAAACGTGCGAGTTCTCGGTACAGGTTTGGCAAGGTTCACTGCAAGACAGCCTCCTGTTGCTGGACACTTGTGGCCTGGACAGCTCCATTCCCAAGGTGCAGTCCACACGGGGACACTGTGGAAAAGCCTCCATTGTGGGCACCGTCCCTCTACAAGATTTCATGGTCATCGCTGAGACAGCTACTTCAAGTGCAGCTACGTGCCGTGCGCTTTGTGACGCACATGTCGACTTTGCCAGCAACATGTCATGTGTTGCTGCCATGTACAAAGACGCGCAAAGCAATGTCACTATCTCCTTGGATGCCCAGAAAGTTGGCTTTTGCCAGCTCTACTCAATATGCTCATTGGTATCTGATGAATCTTCGGACTATGTGGTGCTGACGCTGCAGCAGACGAGCATGTTGCAGAATTCGCCATTACCTTCACAGCTCAGGTTCGGGAATGTTTCGCTGAGCGCAGGAGCCCAGACGTCCGTGGTTACTTGGGGCGAGCTTGTCCTCACCGGTGCCGGTGGTACTTTCCGGATCTGTTGGTGCGGCGATGCCGGTCTCTGCCAAACTCCGTCGCACTTCAGACTCGACATTGGCTCTTTCACTCTTGTTGGGCCGGTTCCCTTTGGCAGCCGCACGTGCGTGAACGGAGTCATGTGTGTCGTGGATGGAATATCGGGCGTAGGGCTGTCGGATGGCGATCTGTTTCTCGTGCAGGACACGTGTGCTACACCTGTATGGGGTGGGCAGCTGCAATTCCTGCCAGTCAACGCCACGGCAATGAGCCGAACTGCAGTTTCCTCCTTCAATGGTAGCTCTCAAATCCTGCGCCTGCTTGGCGGTCAATACAGATTGTGTTGGTGTGCAGCAGGATTCCTCTGTACTTCAAGCGGTGTGGACGTTGGTGAGCTGGTGGTGAGAGGCCCTGCTGCACATCAGCATCGCACCTGTGTTGCCGGGCAGCTTTGTGAGGTTCAAGGGTTACAAGGTCAGAGCTTGCTGGTGCATGATGGGCTGCTCGTGTTGCAAACCTGTTCAGAGCCTGGGGAGACACTGCCTGTTATATCAAGCTTCCCTGATGCTGGTCGGCTGGTAGCAATAACAGCTTCTTCCGATGGTTCTTGGGCATCATCTCTCGTCGTGTCAGCTGCTGGTGGTGGCTACCGCTTGTGCTGGTGTGCAACGTTGGACTGTGTCTCTGATGGTGCGCAGGCACACTTTGTCGATGCGGGCACTTTGCACTTGCTTGGACCCAGCATACTACACGTGGAGAAAACCTGTGTTTCCGGGCGCGCCTGCACCATTCGATACGCTGGCAACGACCTCTTCCAAACTGTGCAGGGCTTCAATCTTGGAGATCATCTCCGAGTTCTGGATACATGTGGCGAGGCATCCTTTATTGCTGGTTTTGGTGAGGGAAGGGCAACCCATGTTTCTGCATCAGGTACGCTCTTCTCTTGGGGAAGCGAGATTGTGTCATCTGCAGCTGGCAGCTTCCGTCTTTGCTGGTGTGCCGCAGGCTTTGCTTGTGCAACAGCCGAGAGCTTTCAAGTTGATGTCGGAAAGCTGTTGGTCCTTGGCCCTCCATCGCTTGCCTTGGACCGTACGTGTGTCAGCGGTCAAACCTGCTCGTTCTCCTTGGAGCCGGACTTCGAAGAAAGCAGCGGTCAGATCATGTTGCTGAGCACTTGTGGACCAGATCCTCTGCAAGCTGGTCTGCCTTTGCGCCCTGCCTTCGCCGGTCTGCCAGGGCAAGAGATCAACTCGACCAACGAGACAAGTGGTTATGCGGTGATTCATTGGGGCATGCAGGAGTTCACTGGTCCAGGTGGCCAATTCCGCATTTGCTGGTGTGGTGCTGCCGACTGCGGCTTGCTTGAGAGCTTCCTGGTGGACATGGGCTCCGTCTTGTTAATCGGGCCTTCCCCGCTGACTCAGCGTCGAACTTGCGTTAGTGGACATTCCTGCGCAATTGAAGGCTTACAAGGGGAGCATCTGTCGGTTCTTGATCACATCATGCTGTTGGATACCTGCGCAGTTGAGCAAGGCTCCGTCCATTCGTTCTTACCAGAGGCATATAACTCGAGCGGTGGCCTCAGTAGCCAATCCGGAAAGTGGATCTTGGATAAACTTGTTCTTGCCGGCGATCAGTATCGGATTTGCTGGTGCGCTTCCGCAGGCTTGTGCTCAACAGCGACAGATTTCAAGGTGGATGCTGGAAGTCTGCTTGTTATCGGCCCATCGCTGGGCCAGGAGATGACATGCGTGAGTGGCGAGTTGTGCACTGGTTTTTACATCCACGGGCAAGACTTGTCACAGAATGACACAGTTCAAATTCTCGACACATGTGGCGTCGACATGCTGTCCGCGGGTTTGCCAAACTCGAATTTTGCGATTTCTGTTGTGGGCACGTCTATCCTCCTCGACTTCCAAGAGCCAGTCATGGCCGCAGCTGGAACATACCGTTTGTGCTGGTGCCAGCCGTTGCCCCAGGACTTTGCCAGCACTGCCACATCCTGTGCCTTGCATTCCCAGCATGTCGTCGACTTTGGTCAAGTGACAGTGGTGGGGCCGGCGCAGCCGCAGCACCGCACTTGTGTAGCTGGCCAGCGCTGTGTTCTGGAAGGCCTGCACCTGGGGGCGGTCACAGCAACGCCACAGGACACAGTTGTGGTCCTCGATACTTGTGCTCACATCTCACCTGTTCCTGGCTGGCCGGATGGTGGGGTGTTCTCAAGCCTTGAGGCAAGTGGTGCCAGGATGAGCTTTGGTTCCGTAGCCATTACGGCAGCAGCTGGGTACTACCGACTCTGCTGGTGCGCAGAAGGTCGGCCGTGCCGGCATGGCGAGGAATTCGTGACGATTGGAGAGGTTTTCCTGGTTGGGCCGGCGCTGGAACAAGACAAAACATGCTTAAGCGGACAGATGTGCAACCTTGGGAGCATTCATGGTTTAGGGCTTGATCCCTACAAAGTGCCCAGCGTGGCAGGCCTGCAGGTTTTGCAAGATGCCACTGTTGGTCAGCACGATGTAAAAGACTACTATGCGGAAGTCTCGTACAACTATGAAGCAGCAAACCCATCGGCAGCCACATGGACAACAATTGCAACGTGCACTGCGGAACAGGATACTACATGGCAGAACTGTACATGGTCTTCGATCTCTGCACCTTTCTGGCGTTGGCGCATCGTGCAAACTTGGGGGCTTAGCTCAGACCCCCCGAAGCCACGTGAAGTTCAGTTCCTCGACCCTGCTGGAGATATCGCAGCTTCCTATGAAAGTTTCTCGCAGTGGGCCTCCGACTTCTCTCCATCCTGGATTGTGGCTGCGACGGGTACTCCACACCAAGATCTGTCGGACCCTCTGAATCCGATAACCTATGGACCCGAGAATCTCATGGATGGAGACCTTTCTGATGATTCACGCTGGTGGCCGACTGGAAGCAGCACCGAATGGTCTGTTGTATTTGACTTGCGGCAGAGCGACAGCCTAGCTGTGCTGGATACATGTGGCGTTGTTTCCTCCTCTCACCTACGTGGCTCCGTAACGGCGCTGGCAAGTCCAGCATCTTTCCCAACATACGGAAGCACTCTATTGACCATTGCCGGTGGCCTGTATAGGCTGTGCTGGTGCAGCCGTGGCTTCGACTGCAGCTTGCCCACTGCATTTGCCGTTGATGTCGGGGCCCTTTGGCTTTTGGGTCCGGAGCCTCTGTCGCAGCACCGGACATGTGTCTCAGGTCAGCCCTGTGTCATCGAGGATATCAGTGTGCAGGAGGCATCAGGGGTGCTGCAAGTTCTGGACACATGTGGCCAGGGCTTCTCATACTCACACCTGTACGGCTGGTCGGGCACCTTTGCCCAGTGGAACGAGACCGGCTCTGTGCTCCCCAGACTTGTGCTGGACACAGGCACAGGGTTTTTGACAACAGCAGGCGGCGAATTTCGGTTGTGTTGGTGCACATCGCTTGCAACATGTGATCATCCAGACGACATGCGAGTGGACGTTGGTTCCTTCGTAGTTGTGGGTGTGAGCCCACTCACGCAGGATCGCACTTGTGTCAGTGGTCAGACATGCTCCTTTGACGGAATCACTGGCCGTTACTTGACATCATCCGACCAGCTTCTTGTCCTTGATACTTGTGGCCAAGCGGTGCCTTCCGAGTTTCTTCCGAGCATCACTCTGGCTGTTGCGACTTCCGATCCGACAGCAACGTGGCCTTACCAGACCCTTCGGGCAACCACGACACCAGAGATTGTTATTGGCCAAGGAGGACAGTACCGGATTTGTTGGTGCGGTGGCGGATTCAAGTGCACTTCAACACAAGACTACCGTACAGATGTAGGTCGCTTCAGCATCGTCGGGCCATATCAGCTGCAGTCTCGAACATGTGTGAGTGGACAGCTATGCAGTCTGGGCGGCATTCAGGGCAATCTTCTATCATCTTCAGACAGTTTGCTGGTGCTCGACACTTGCGGAATTCAGGCATCCGTACCTCGCCTTCCCGCCTCTGGACGCATGGAGGTGTCGCTGACATGCCAGTGTGCTGCAGCAACGGGTGACTCTGACATGGATGGCGTTTCAGACTGCTTGGATGAGTGCCCTTTCGATCCGAACAGGACTGTCGTAGGGGTTTGTGGGTGCGGTGTTGATGATGTGGACTCCGACCTCGATGGCGTGCCTGACTGTCTTGACCATTGTCCACAAGATTCCAGCAAGTCCAAGTCAACAGGCCTTTGTGGGTGCAACGTGCCGGAGACAGATTCCGATTTGGACGGGCTTCCAGACTGCCTAGACCTATGTCCTCTTGATGCAAACAAGCAAAGACCTGGGATCTGCCCTGGGAACGAGTGGCTGAAGATGGAGAGCATGGCAACGCACCAGTCCTCAACTCAACTAAGCAAAATGTCCCATCTGGCTGTGGATGCATCCACGAGTGCGAACTTCTACCATGGCAGCTGCACCCTGACGACCGCCGAAAGCAACCCATGGTGGTATGTGGACCTGGGATTTCAGTTTGACGTGGAAATGGTGAGGGTTACGCCGCGCACCGACTGCTGCGACACCAGCCTCGTGGGCGTCGACATATGGGTGACTTCCATTAGCCTCTTGCCCAGAAGCCGATTCCAGAGCACAAGCTGTAGAGTCCTTGTCTCATGCCCGAATGCTAAGCTGCCATATCTTGTACCCGAGCCAACCCTAAACCTTAAACCCGAAACCCTAAACCCGAAACCCTAAACCCTGAGAGGAGCTAGCCTTGAGTTTAGTCTCCGCTTTAGCAGGAAATCAGGGTGCGCAAGGGAGGGGGGGGGAGGGGGCGCGAAATCCTTGAATCTGTCAATAAAGGGGGCGTGGACAGCATGGGGAAGGAGGGGCGAGAGCATCCTTTCTAGCCAGAACCCTACCAAAGCGCGGACCAATCCATAGTGGCGTGAATCTAGGCGAGCTTTCGTTGCCCCTCAAGTTTGAGTTTCTGTTGGCATGTTATTAGCAGCCCAGGTGCCCTGACATACAGCGATGGGGTGTGGTGTGCAAGCATCACGCAGCAGCCTGCTCTCCCAGCACTGGGCGAAGAGGCGCCTGTCATTGACGTGTCGTGTCAGGCCCAGGGTCAATTGATCTGGCTGGTATTGCCAAGCACCGCCGAGCTCTCAATCTGTGATGTCAAGGTCTTTGCTGAGCCAGCGGTAAGCAACTCCTCAAAGTTCCCCGGGATCAGTGGCACACACTACGAGTCAACCAGCAATTGCTTGGCCTCTGGTTTGGGCAGTGCCTGTGGTTGTGGACTCCTGGACACAGACACGGATGGGGATGGAGCTCCCGACTGCATCGACCAGTGTCCAAACGATCCTTTGAAGTCGCTTCTCGGGGTATGCGGATGCGGTGAACCCGAGGACGACAGCGATGGGGATGGCACGCTGGACTGCATCGACCAATGCCCCTTAGATCCTTTGAAGACCAGGGCCGGCATTTGTGGATGTGGCGTGGCGGAAACCGACGATGATTCAGACGGCACTCCGAATTGCAACGATAACTGCCCTTGGTTACAGGACTCGCTTGGCCCAGGAAGCATTCCCTGCGGCTTCATTACTGGATTGGACTCCGATAACGATGGTACACTCGACTACCAAGACCTATGCCCTTATGCAACTTGTCTTTGAGAGACTTCCTAGGTAGCCATTTGAGGGTTTCGGGCTGGTGCTCGCCCAGAGTGATTTCCTTGCTTGGCCCCCTCAGATGGTCAGCCTACCTGCAACTCAGGATCCATCGAAAACCAGTCCTGGACAGTGTGGTTGCCAAATTGTCGACGCTGATGGGAGCCCGACGGCCACCATCACTGTCAACACAGGAAACGGGGTTACTGATACCAAATTTGCCAACTGTAGACCGAGAAAGATTACGTTAAGGCTGCCGCTCCCTGGCTCGGTGCAAATGATAGGAAGTCTCATGACATGTATGACATTCCCTGGGGGTGAAGAGGGGTGCAAACGAGGTTTATACAAGAGGTTCATTGAGGTCCGGGTTTCCCCAACAAAGGTCCACAGATGGGGCCAGGAAGGGGGCGTTATGGGAGGTGCCTTATTCTCAGCGCATGTTCATCGCGGGAGTCCATCCAAGGAGGTGTTTTTTGTGTTTGCGGTTGGAGATTCTTCTGGGTTCATAGGAGCCGTCCTTATGGTCCCAGCGCGCGACTCTGCGCGACCGAAACGGAGGATTCCTGCAAAACGGTGGTGGGCGCAAGGGGTCTCTGAGTCGACTCATACCAGGGCCCAGACCAACAAGAGGGTGCAGCGGGTTTTTGGCCGTTAGGTTTTTGTTCTCCCCCAAAAGCGCCTTCGGCCTGGGGGCTTCGGTTCGGATTTGTGTCGAAATTTATGTGCATTGCGTTTACGCAGGCCTGACAGAGCTGGATTCAGATGCAGACGGTGTTGCCGACTGCCTGGATCAGTGCCCGAACGATGCCACGAAGACTCTGCTTGGATTCTGCGGCTGCGGGTAACGAGGCTGCAAAAGACGGTATACTACCCTCCTCCGCAGTGACCGGCTTGACCCCTCATTGCCCTTGCAGTGCCCATGGTATCCCTCGCTTTCCTTGGCCTTCCTGATCCCAAGCATGCCCCACAGTAGAGGTAGGTAGCGCGAGGTGTTAGCATGCTGCTTCTTACCAGTCAGCAATCGGAGCTTTGAAAGCTTGCTCACTGCTTTGCAATGCTGCCGAGGATACCAGAAACCGACACTGACCTGGACGGCGTGCCTGATTGCATTGACCAGTGCCCAAGCGATGCAAACAAGGTCTTGATAGGGGGCTGTGGCTGTGGCTTGCCTGATGTGGACTCCGACAATGATGGCATGCCAGATTGCTTGGATCGCTGTCCCAACAATGCGAACGTGACGGCAATTAACGCATGCGGCTGTGATGACACCGACACAGATGGTGATGGTGTGCTTGACTGTATTGACCTGTGCTTCCAGGATCCCCAAAAGACCACAGAAGGGAAGTGTGGCTGCAATGTGGCCGACACGGACACTGATGGAGACGGTGTGCCTGACTGCTATGATGCCTGCCCTGGTACTCCCGATGTCGCACGTGATGGCCTCAACCCAACCTTTGGTGGCTTTGTGACTGCTGCCGGAGGTACATACAGCTTGTGTTGGTGTTCAGCCAGCTTTGACTGTTCCACGCCAGATGTATTTGTCATTAGTGTGGGCTCCCTGACAATCATTGGACCTTCTCCACTGACTCAGCATCGCACCTGTGTTGCAGGCCAGGCCTGCCATGTCGATAGCCTGGAAGGCACCCATCTCAATGCGCAGGATCAATTTGCCGTGCTCGCCACATGTGGCTCGCTCACAGAGGTTGGAGGCCTTCCAAACAGTGGTTGGTTCACCTCGAATCTCACGGTACAAGGGCTGGGCTTCCAAGATGTTCGAATTACCGGCCAAGGTGGGACATATCGTCTGTGCTGGTGTGCCCATGATCAGGGATGCACGAAGCCAGCACAGTTCCGCGTCGATCTGGGGCAGTTCCACGTCGTGGGCCCAGCGCCCTTAGAGCAGAGCTGGACTTGCATCAATGGCCAAACCTGCAGTTTAGATTCCTTGACCGGTATTGACCTGGCAGAATACGATCGGGTTGTAGTGATGGAGACTTGCATGGTAAATCAAGTGGGCCGCTTCCCTTGGACCGTGCTGCCCTTGGCAGCATCGGCGAGCGGGAGCTCCTATCAGTTTGAGCCTGAGCGCCTCACGTCAGGTCAGTACCGTCTTTGCTGGTGCGCAACAGGTATGAGCTGCAGCACTTTCGAGGATTTCAGCATTGATGTGGGAGCTTTGAACCTGGTAGGGCCATCGCCGCTGCAGCAAGATCGAACCTGTGTCGCAGGGCAAACGTGCAACTTTGAGGGCTTTTCTGCTTTTGGAAGTTCAACTGGTGGAGCCAGTGGAATGGGCACGATCTGGATTCTGAGCACCTGCGGTAGCGACGGAGATCAATTGGAACGACTTCCACAAGGGGGACAGGTGCAGGGCAGGAGCCCTCGACCGTCCTGGGGGTGCAGTGCAGCTGCAGGAGACAGCGATGGGGATGGCAACCCGGATTTCCTGGACTTATGCCCTGTTGATCCCTCACAGAGCCAGCCTGGTCTTTGTGGTTGTGGTGTGCCCGACACAGACTCTGATGCCGACGGCACTGCGGACTGTTTCGACTCGTGCCCAAGCGATCCATTGAAGTCATCTCCTGGAACCTGCGGGTGTGGCACAAGCGACACGGATTCGGACTCTGATGGTGTGCCTGATTGTATGGACAGATGCCCATCAGATGCAGCCAAAGCACTTCCTGGCATTTGCGGATGTGGAGTTGCAGACACTGATTCTGATGGGGATGGCGTGCCGGACTGTGTCGATGATTGTCCAGGCGCCCCCGACCAGACCCCACCTGTTTGTGGATGCACGGCTGCCACTTTGGACCTTGACGGAGATGGGACCAACAACTGTTTCGATGGCTGCCCTCTGGACCCGGCAAAGATCACGCCAGGCACTTGCGGGTGTGGCTTAGCAGACACCGACTCTGATAGCGACGGTACTCCTGATTGCAACGACGGCTGTCCATCAGACGCGGCCAAGACAGCTCCAGGTCAGTGCGGCTGCGGAGCTGCGGATACCGACACTGACTCTGATCTCACTGCAGACTGCAATGATCTGTGTCCAGGCGACAGCAACAAAGTGGTTCCTGGAAAATGTGGTTGTGGGATTTCCGATGTCGACTCCGATAATGATGGAGTGCCTGACTGTTATGACAGGTGCCCTGGCTTGCCTGATTATCGCCCACCAGAGCCACTGTCGATGTACACCTTTGGCGAAGCCCGCTTATCCAGCGCAGGAGGGCTCTATCGTTTGTGCTGGTGCTCGCCGGATGCGCACTGCCAATCTCAGGACGATTTTGCAGTTGATGTCGGAGGTCTAACAGTGATTGGTCCAAGTCTGCATCAGCAGCGCACGTGCTTGAGTGGCAGAAGGTGCCGTGTTGGTGGCATGGATGGTTCCCTACTATCAGGAGGTGATCAAGTCTTAGTGCTCGACACTTGTTCTTTATTGTCGGATGCAAATATCTCGATGTCTCCACAGTTGGAGGCGCAGCTCAACAGGTACAACGGCTCCGATCTGGCTGCCTTCGCTTCCACCGGCGCTCTCGAGCTGGCAGGAGGCACTTATCGACTCTGCTGGTGTGCAGGAGGTTTCACTTGCTCTAGTCTGCCTGACTTTCATGTTGATTTTGGCAGCATGCTGGTAATTGGTCCGAGGCCTTTGCGCGAACAGCACGCTACGTGCTTCACAGGGCAAACTTGCACACTGCAGGAAATTGCAGGCAACTACTTTGGTGATGGTGATGGAATCATGTTGCTGGAGACTTGTGGGCTTGCCGACAGCATGGACAGCCCCAGTCTAACAGGCTTCCAGACGTTCCTGGACGTTCCGAGCAGTGTGAGTGTCTCGTTCGAGCAAGGTGCGTCAACTTTGTCAGCAGTCTCGACAAGTACCAGTTCCGCAGGTGGCATTTATCGCCTGTGCTGGTGCGCCAACGTGACAATAGAGGCCACGCCTTCTGAGTGTGGTGCCGATGTGGGTGCACTTTACCTTCTTGGGCCAAGGCCTCTTCAGCAAGATCGCACATGCATAGCTGGATCTTCATGTGTTCTGAATGGCATCACAGGGATTGGGCTCTCAAGTGGTGATCGCCTTCTTGTGCTGAACACTTGTAATCTGGGCCTGGGACAAAAACATGCAGAGACGGAGTTTTTTGTTTCGGCCTCAGGTGTGTGGCAGGTTGGACTTATGGGCTCTATGTTTGTAATGCCCACGGACGTCGTCGGAGCCAGTGGTGGCAGCTACAGGCTCTGTTGGTGTGCCACGCCTTGCAGCATGCTATCACATTACTCCGTGGACATGGGGCAGCTAACGGTTACGGGGCCCCTTGCGTTGAGGGAGCAGCACCGGACCTGCATCTCAGGGCAGATCTGCAACATCAATCCGATCCAGGGGTGGTTCTTGACCACCGGAGACAGCTACATTCTGCTCGAAACTTGCGGAGACACTGTAATCGTCCCTGGTATTCCAAACTCTGGACGATTCACCAGTTCTATCGTTTCCATGCCAGGAGGAGTTGGCTCTGCAAGATCATTTGCAGGCCTTTCTCTTTCAACTCTTTCGGCTGCTGGGGGTCTGTATCGGATCTGTTGGTGCGCAGGTGCTACATCCTGCGAGCAAACGTCGAGCTTTGATGTGGATGTGGGTCAGATCCTGCTTGTGGGACCGCAGCCACTCAATCAAGATCGGACTTGTGTGTCTGGACAGCCCTGCCTGCTAGACGCGATTGCCGGAGTTGCGCTCAGTACCGCAGATCGGTATCACATTTTGGATACATGTGGGTCGTCACCAGGCCCGCCAAAATTCACCGGTGCAGGGGTGGACGAGGTCAATTCCTCACTTCGCTTAAGTGAGTCCATCGTCTCATGGGGGCAATCGCCCGTGACTGCACCTGGTGGTTCGTACCGCATTTGTTGGTGCGCAGCAGGCCAAGTCTGTAGTGCCGCTGAAGACTTTGTCATTGACATCGGGGGTCTGACCCTTGTTGGACCAACCCCGCTCATCAGTGGGGCCACATGTGTGGCGGGTCAGACATGCGTGGTCGCAGGTATTTCAGGCAACTTCCTGAGCGCAGCCGACGCAGGAATGTTGTTGGACACCTGCGGGGTGCCTGCAACAACACCGGGCCTCACGGGCATCTCAGGCATCCCCCTCACCTCGGATGGGACAAGCCTCCGCTTGGAAGGAAGCGGCCTGCAAGGCACCCCAGTGACCGCTCCTGGAGGTGAGTACCGCATCTGTTGGTGTGCTGGTGGCTTCGACTGCTCGCTGGCTGAGAACTTCATCTCGGACATCGGACAGCTGATGCTGATTGGACCGAGCCCACTGGCCCAGGACCGGACGTGCCTGGCAGGCAGGGTGGCAGGATGTGGCACCATTTGCTTGCAACATGCTTGACGTGCTAAGAAACCTTAAAGCCTTTGCACTCAACAGCATCAGGCTACACGTGCAAGATCGATATCGCCGGGATTGAGCTCAGCTGCATGGCAAAACATTCGACAATGTGAACGTTCCAGGGTCAGTGTGGAATGAGGGAGGCTTAGAGGTTCGCAGGCAGTCGATCTCATCATCGTGGAGGCTTCGTTCGGGTCTCCATCATCAGCAGGCCAGATAGCAATAAAGCAAAACCATGAAATCGGATGCGGCAACTGCAGTAGCACGTAAACACAGAAGCCATATCAAAGCAATCAGGAAAGAAAGCAAGCACCTGCGAATAAGATCCAGTAAGCAGAGTTTTGGATTTCACGGCTTGTTCGACTCCAAAGGCGCATGCCCTGAACAAAGTCTGTCCTAAAATATGAAGCCCAAAGCAAAATCCTAAGCCTGAGGCGCGCTCTACGCACAGACCCTGAAACAGCTCAATCCCTAAACCCCAAGCTGCGAGACCCAAAGCCCGAACCCGGCGAACCCTCAATCCCGAAAGAGTGCCCCGGGAGCACAACCGAGGTGCCTCGGACTCTGTGATGGTCCTCGAAACCTGTGGTACTTCTGAGGACGGCGATGAACTGCGTCCGAATTGACACAAACTGACACCCGGAATCCCTCATGCGCAGGGTTTGTTGATCTTTGCGGCGCTTCATGTTGTGGTCAGGGCCGGGTTGATTCATCTTTCTTTGCTCATGCCGCTCATGCCTGCAGGATTCGGATGTGTTGATCCCACGCTTCCCGGTCACGTCGCCCCTCATAGCTTCCGAAGCATCGGTCGATGCCACAACATCCATCTCTGTTGAATGGAACTATACTATAACATCATTCGGTGGACAGTTCCGCTTGTGCTGGTGCACTGGGAGCCCATGCCAACTTGCCGAGCAATTTGCTGTGGATCTGGGACGGCTATTTCTGCTGGGACCTGCCATTGAGCTGGACCAGGACAGAACATGCATCTCTGGACAGCCTTGCAACATTGATGGCTTCACCGGTGCCTTCCAAGCCACTGACCGAGTGATGGTTTTGGACACGTGCGGCGCCACCGACTGGCCTGCAGGCTTACCGTCGGACGGAAGCCTTACTGTGTCTGTTAGCGATGGGAAAGCTTCGTTTGGTAGTAGCCCGCTTTCTGCTCAAGGTGGAGAATACCGGCTTTGCTGGTGTGCAGGGAACTGCCAAGTGGCTGCCATTGACATCGGGCGGCTGAGCATCTTTGGACCTCGGCCTTTGCATCAGGACAGGACCTGTGTGGCCGGACAAGAATGCTTCGCCGATGGCTTTCGCGGCCATGGCCTAAGCTCTTCAGACCGATGGGCTGTGCTCAGCACATGTGGCGCTGGCCTGGTGGATGGCCTCGTCAATGCTGGTGTCCTCTCGTCGGTAACGGCAAGTGGCGCTGCCATCTCCTTCGGTGCCCTGGTGACTACAGCTGGTGGCGGCTCCTACCGGCTTTGCTGGTGTGCTGCTGGGGGCGTGTGCAACACTGCGGACCACTACCTCGTAGACGTGGGCAGCTTTACGCTCATAGGCCCAGCAACCGAATCCCCCGAGTCCATCAGGACCTGCTTCAGCGGTCAAACATGTAGCATGACAACACCTTTTGGCACCATGCTATCTGGAGCAGACTCCTACATGATCCTAGAAACGTGCGGCATTTCTGGTGTGATTCAGGGCTTGCCGGATGCTGGCTTCCTCTCCCTCCTTCCTGCAGCTGAAGACAACGCAACCTGTGTGGGCGGGGAGTGCGAGCTGACTTTTGGCACAACACTGGTCACTGCTTTCGGCGGTCAGTACCGCTTGTGTTGGTGTGCCGCCGGCCAGGCCTGCAGCACTGAGGAAGACTTCAAAGTCACCGTAGGTCAGGTCGAGCTCATTGGCCCCTACGGCGCGACACTTGGCAGAACCTGCATTGCCGGCCAAACTTGTGTGGTGGATGGAATCTTGGGCAATGGCCTCATCGGATCAGATTCGTTGGCTCTGCTGGAAACCTGTGGAACCCGTGATCTTGTGGCACAAGCCCCGGCGACCAGCCACAGTTCCGGAGCATCCTACTCCTTTAGTGCCCTCACCATTGCCGGAGGACCCTGCGTTGGGGATGTTTAAACCTGATCATGTTTGTAGGGGGCAGCATAGGTCAGCAGCTTGGCGTGTTTACGAGTCTTCTGACATCTAACTTGTCGGGAGGCACATACCAGCTTTGCTGGGCTTCAGTTTCGGCTGCTTCCAGTGACAGCTCGAGCCACACCGTCAACGGCTTACGCATGATGCTGCAGCAAGGTTCGTTGATACAGTTCACTTTGTACCGCATTGCATACACTTGTCACGACAGTCCCAGTTGCCTTGGCAGACACTAGAGCTTTGAAGTTACACGGGTATGCCTGTTGGCCGAGTTGGGATGCTTGTTTCTTGTAATCGGCTGCCGCTTTTTCACCTCATGACCTGAGGTCACTCTGGGCAGCATGACCCTGATCGGGCCGATGCCACAGTCACAGGACAGGACGTGTGTAAGTGGGCAGACGTGCAGATTTGATGGTATTCATGGAAACCACATGCAAGATGGCGACCGATTCATGGCCTTGGAAACCTGTGGGGTCGCGTCTTTTATTCCTGGGTTTGGCTGGACCGGTGAGGCTATAACTATCTCAAGCAGTGGCTCGTCAGTAGCGTGGGGCACAGATGCCATCACGGCAGCTGGAGGCAGATATAGCTTGTGCTGGTGTGGACAGCGTCCTGCTCTGGGTGGTCTATCGTCATCCCAAGCTACTGACGCGGCATGTGGGCTAGCAATGGACTTCAAGGTGTACGTGGGCGAGCTTACCCTGATCGGGCCAAGCCAGGTAGCCGCAGGTGGTTACATAGCATCTTCAACGGCTCAGTCCTGGGGCACACTCCGCCTGCAAGAACGGCCAAGACTAGATCCCGAAGTTGGAGCTTTCCAACGACGAGAATGTGTCGCTGGACAGAAGTGTGAGATCCATGGCCTTCGTGGTCTTCATATCAGTGCTGGTGACTCCTTCATGATCTTGGACACTTGTGGACTGGCAGCAGCTGTTGACCGCCTACCAGCCGCAGGTCTGCCCGATGTTGTGTTTAGTCAGGGGCAGACGGAAGCTTGGAACTTGCCACAGTCGCTCCAGCATGAGCAGCTTGACGTCATCACTCTCAACTTCACGACGCCGCTGACTGCCGCAGGCGGCCAGTATCGCATCTGCTGGTGTTCGGAGATTGCAGACTGCTCCACAGCTGATCAGCTCCGTGTGGATGTTGGCGAGCTTGTTCTCCATGGTCCACGGCTGGGGCAGTCCAGAACATGTTCTTCCGCACAGAACTGCTGGATCGAAGACATCCTTGGGTATAATTTAGATGTTGACGATCAGCTGATGGTTTTGGATACTTGCGGAGTGGCACACGTTGGAGAGATGAACTTTTCAGATGGACATGGATGGCCGGCGTTGGGTTTGATGACAGCCCAGTCACTGCGTGGTGTCTTCAAGGACTCCTCTGGAAACACAGTAGCGACTGCACTGGAAGCGATCATGAGTAAGTTTGACTTCAGTGGCGTGCATGTCACAGCTGGTGGAGGCCAGTACCGCCTTTGCTGGTGTGCCGGGGGCTTCGACTGCAGTGCTGGACCAGAAAGCTTTCTTCAAGACCTTGGAATGTTGCAAATCCAAGGCCCCTCCCCGCTTCAGCAAGATCGAACCTGCATGAGTGGGCAAATGTGCCGATTGAAAGGCATTGTTGGAGAAGACCTCACACCACAGGACTTGATCATGGTCAGGGACACCTGTGGTCTCTTGGCCACAGAGTCAGACATGATCTCACGCTTTCCCAACGATGGCATCGTGAACAGTGTTGCGACCAGCGGTCAGACGTTCACCTGGCTGCAGGATTCATCTAGCCTCTTTGCCCCTATATCGGCTGCCAGTGGAGTGTACCGACTGTGCTGGTGCAGGCCTCAGGGCCTAACAGAAGTCTTGCAAGGCGAGCGCATCACCTGCGAATTGCCAGAGCAGTTCCAGACAGATCTGGGCCAGCTGACGCTGCTGGGCCCTGCTCCACTAACTCAGGACAGCACATGTGTCAGTGGCATGCCTTGTGTGGTTGCAAATGTAACGGGCCTCTTCCTGCAGTATGGAGACACTCTGCACATACTTGACACCTGCGGCGTGGGAACAGAGTTGCCTGGGATCCCTCAGCGAGGCCTCTCCTTGCCTGGACTTGGCAGCGGGAGCCGTTTTTCTTGGGGCGATGAGCCCTTGACTACGGCTGGCGGCCAATTCCGCATGTGCTGGTGTGCAGCAGGATATTTATGCAAGTTGAAGGAGCACTTTTCCGTTGACATTGGAGAGCTGACCTTGATCGGTCCCAGCCAACAGAATCAAGTCTACTGCGCATCTGGCTCCCCATGCTGGGGTTGGATTGTGGGGGTTCACCTCAGCCCCAATGACGAGATCATGGTAGCCGATGAGTGTGGTGCCCCCGTGGAACCTTGGCCATCTCCTCGTAGTCGGTATCCGGAGATTCCTGGATTCCCGGACGGTGGACGGCTGCCCTTGCAATCCTACGTGGGTGATGCGTTCCAGTTCAGCTTTTCGGGCGAGTTGATTACAGCTGCAGGCACGTACCCGTACCTTTAGTATTGTTGGTTCAAGGATGTTCAAGAAGGTTCTATAGGGCAGATCAGTGATGAACACCTTGGCAGCCGCATGCAAGCTGTTTCGCATTTCGAGCATCGATTCTTCCATGTTCTCTTGCAGGTGGCGTTTACAAGCTTTGTTGGTGTGCGGGGGACGTCAACCCGAACGGTTGCGCAACGTCAGAGGATTTCAAGACGGAGGCGGGCAGCACGATGTATCGATGGTAGCAGCACAACGTATTGATGGTAGAAAACAGTTCTAAAAGGACTCTCATGTTTCATGCAAATAGACGTTGACAATACAATGAACGAGTTCCGCATCGATGCTGTCTTTTTGGTAATGTTGCAGAATTGAAGACGACAAGTTCCTTCCCTCTTGAAACACGCAAAGCCAGCAAGGATGACTCGAAAGTGTATGGCTGGGCATGCGCGCTACTTAGGTAGTCAGACAAAGTCCTGAATTCACATTCGAAACGCGCGTCACCAGAATGACAGATGTGCTGCAGCCTGCATGAAAACGATTGAACGCACGCCTTAGAAGTCTCGGCAAGGCGGGCTCCTTCATCCTTGTGGGCCCTTCCGAGTACCTGGCTGACTTTTTCATCCCAACAACTGTTGGCCCACAACAGCCGAAGGAGATTTGGCGTCAAGATGTACCGGATCCAACAAATGTGCAAATTGAAGAGTATGGCGGGAGTCTTTCCATCCACTGCGCTGTGAATTCAGAATTGGGCTCGGCCCGAGGCAATCTACCGATCTTGTATGTGGATGCTCCGCCATCTGGGCTTTGGGAGGCCCGTGTTACTGTCCGCGTTGCTGCCTCTGACGTCGCTGCTGGCTTCACAGTCTACGACAGAGATGGAGACAAACCAGACTTCCTTTTCGGTTTTGACAGGTTCGCTGCGCGGGGGTTCGGCGCATCCGGAGGAATTGCTGCACTGCGCTACGGCACTGCTGGACTATCGGGAACCATCGGCTCCGAAGATCTAGGCTCGCTGTCAGTGGAGTGGGTTTCTCTCAAGATCGAGCGTGCGGGCAATGGTCGTTACGACCTGTGGTACAACTACAAGCTCGGGTCGGATGTGTGGCTCGCACCCGATGACGCCAGCGATTCGGACCCCAGCATTAGGCAGAGGGTCTTCGTCAAGACCGCAGGCGAAGTTGGTGATCGTTTGTTCCTCGAGACAGAGTGGCGACTGCTGGCCGAGCAGGTGGAAAGCAACTCTGCCGGCCGACGCATCGGCCTCTACGTCATGACTGGAAGCTCAGGTGGGGCGGCCAAGTTCAGGACTTTCTTGGTGCGCAACCTTTTCCCGCAAAGTGTCGCATCTTACGCCCTGGATGATGGAAGCCTCCGGGAGTCCTTGGACTCTGCGGGAACGCCCATCACAGTGGGCACAGTTGCTCCAGGCCGTGATGGCTACACCCAGGGCGCACTGCGATTCAATGATGGCAGCAGTTTGGCACTTCCTTTTGATCCACTTGAGAAGGATGCCTTGGCAAACGGTTCCTTGCACGAGTTCACCATCTCCTTGTGGATCAAGCCTCATTCTGCAGCTGAGGGCGGCATTCTTGGGCGGAGGTTGGCTCAGCATCTGCCTGACTTCGAGATATCACCTTCGATTTCCATGACCTCGGATGGCGGTGTCGTGTGGGTGATGCAGGATGAGCTTGGCCAGAACTACTCGCAGCGGTACTACACTCCCCAAGAACGCCCGTATGCACCGGTCTTACCAAGCTCTGCAAGCACCTCGCTGACCAAGGTTCTTGAGGTCGACGAATGGACACACTTGACTTTCGTCAAGCAAGCGGATACTGTCGTCTTCTACCGGAATGGACTGCGCTGGGGCTTTTCAAGTCTTGCGCCTGATGTTCAGAGCAATGCCTACGGCCAGATCTACTTGAACTTTCTGCAAGATCTTCCTTTGCATGGTTCACTAGACGACGTGAGGTTCTACGACGTTGGCCTGGCGGACTTTGCAGTTGAACACCTCTTTGGCAATGCGGATGTGGACACATTGCGCTCAAAATCACAGCGCTGCTTTGCTGGCTCTCCTTGCGAGCTTGCTGGCTTGGTGGGAGAGGGTCTTTCAGACTTGAACAAGTACGCTGTGCTGACTCAGTGCGGGCGTAGTCCTGCAGTTCCGGGCATGCCGAACGGAGGTATTTCTGATTTTGGCACCAGCCAGCAGGCTTACTGGGGATATGCATCCCAAGAGCCCCTGACTGCGGGAGGCGGATATTACAAGATCTGTTGGTGTGGCGGGGGCTCCGTCTGTGCGACACCTGAAGATTTCAAGGTTCTGGTTGGGACTTTGGTGGTGGTTGGGCCATATCTAGGGCAGGAGCGCACCTGCACTCTTGGCCAAGTCGCCGCCTTCGACATTACTGGCGTGGAGCTGGATGCCGGCGATCAGCTGCAGATTCTGGATACATGCGGCCTGAATTTGACAATGGCTGGTGTTCCTCAAGGTGCAGCCTCGGATTTACAGCCTTCTGCCTGCTATGGACATGTGGGTCTTGGTGTTTTGGATGCATTGCATGCGCATGGATCCGGCCTTACAGGCAAGACCCAAAGCGAATGCTGCGCCCTGTGTCAACGAAGCCTGTACTCCGACTGCGTCATATGGGTATACAGGCCCAGTGACATGACCTGCTTCCTGTATCGCTCAGTGGCAAGGGTCGAACGCCAAGAAGACCGAGTCCTGGGCGTCGTGAGTGAGTGGGGCACAGCACCAAACCAACTTGTGATGGCCACAGTGCTGACTGGCCAGCGTGTTGGTGCTAACTCCACAGGCCCCTTCCGTCTGTATGTGTGCCGCTCAAGTCAGGAGTGCTTGTTCACCACTTCTTTAGATTTGAGCAACCTGGACATGGGCTACCAGACCTTCCAAACAGCAATTCTGTGGCCTACTGGCTGGGACTGGAGTGGCATCAAAATCTTCTCAGACACCGAAGACCGCTGGTTCCTTGAAGGCTTGGTTGTAACAGCACTGGGCGTTTCCTGGAACTTCACCTACAGCGGATGGATTGAACTGGGCGCAGAAGTCTACCTCACAAGAGCAGCGCCGTCACAATACGCTTTTGGAGGCGCATGGGGCGCAGAGACTGTTTCCATGGCCTCAGGTGGACAGTATCGCTTGTGCTGGTGTTCGGGAAGCGCTGCCTGCGACTTGTTCGCTGCGGATGCCGGTGCCTTGACGATCGTTGGACCTTCACCACTTGAACAGCACCAAACCTGCATAACAGGACAGCCTTGCAACATTTTGGGCCTTTCGGGCTTCGCTCTGTCAGCAGGTGACAAGGTAATGGTGCTGGATACTTGTGGACAGACTGGCCTCAGCTCATCTGGCATGATTTGGGATGGGGCATCAATGACTCATGCGAGCCTGGTCCCTCGTTTCAGTTCTGCGTGCCGAAGCCCGATGCAGTGCCTGAGAGACGTGCCATGCGATAATGATATGCACTCCCTCTACGAAAAAACGGCGCTCGGTTGTGGGATTTCTGATGCTGCTGAGAATGCTGGGGCAGACTTATCTTGGGGCGGAGGCGCAGCGTATCCGACCCCACCAGGCGGATCATACAAGGTTTGCTGGTGTGCAAACGGTCAGACTTGTTCGATGTTCGAGCACTTCAAAGTTGAGCTTGGGGGCCTGACGATTCTTGGACCCAGCTCAATGGAGCAGCACCGAACCTGTGTTGCTGGCCAGGCATGCGTTGTCAGCAACATCGCAGGCCACGGCTTGCAACATGGAGACAGGATGATGGTCTTGGATGATTGCGGCAAGACCTCATACAAACCTATGTGCCCATATCATCCTCTCGAGAACGAAGCAGAGTCACTGTCGCCGGGCTACAATGCTACCTTGGCCTTACAGGGCTGCGGAGTTGTCACGGACCGGTGGCCAGGATCCTCCTATGGTACTGGAGTTTTACAGCTGGCAATTTCCGAACCAGCCATCTCCTCGGCACATCCCTGCGGGTCCTCGATGAAGTGGATACCTTACCACCCAGACAGCCGGTGCTATTCTGTGTTTTCCAGCCAGCTTACATGGGATGATGCCGAGGCAGCGTGTGATGCAATCTATGGCGGGCACTTGGCGAGCGTTTCTTCGCAGAATGACCTGGACTTCCTGGTTGAATGGGTGCTGGATCCTACTGTAGCCTACTGGATTGGCTTGAATGACCAAGCGGTTGAAGGCACCTTTACATACACTGATGGCAGCACCTTTGCCTTCTCCAACTGGGGAGTGCATCAACCTGCTCTGACCCTGTCGAATAATGAGGATTGCGTGTACCTGCTGGGAGATGGCACCTTCCATGATGATGCATGCACTGTGGCCCGCACATACCTATGTGAGCGCGATGGTGCCTTCAGTGGGGCAGTGAACGGTGATGAATTCCGTTTCGGAGGCTTTCGGACCGCCCGAGAGAATCTAGTACCGCCTTCTAGTGCTGGCGGCCAGTATCGCATGTGCTGGTGTCCCTACGGCTACCAATGCAACGACCCGGCTGATTTCCGCATGGATTTCGGGGACATGACCCTTGTGGGGCCATCGCCTTTGAACCAGCACAAGACGTGCGTCGCTGGGCAACCCTGTGAGCTGTGGCCACTCAACGGCATGTTCCTGCAGAACAATGACCTGGTTCACATACTGGAGACTTGCGGTGCTTATGTCAATGTGTCCAAGTTTGACCACTTCAGCAGCACGTCAGATTCCGGGCTGCACCTTCCAAGGTTCCCAAGCAACGGTGGCATACAATCCCTTTCCCAAGGCGCCACAAATAGTGGGGCGTCTGTCTCCTGGGGCAGTGTACCGATCACTGCAATGGGAGGTCGTTATCGCATGTGTTGGTGTGCTGCGGGGTATTCATGCAGCGCTGTGCCGGAGTTCCGTGTGGATTTCGGTCGCCGCCTGTCTGCACACGGTCGCGACATGGAGTTGTGGGGAGGGGCATCGTGGGAGGAAGTTCTGGGCAAGGTCACATGACGTCACGTCACAATGACGTCTTGTCTCATTGCTAACCCATCGCAAGACAGCATGAGACCTGTAAACTGTAAGCCCTGTAAGCTTTAGTGACTTCAGTGTCGCCCGCGGCTAGCATGGTAGCCGTTGCTATTCTTGAGTGGAATGCATGACGCATAACATTCCAGCTGCACTCGTAGGAACCCCAAGGCTGTCAAAACAGATACGTTTCTAGTTTACCGCATGGTGCTGCGTGCTTTTTACTCGTTGTTGCCAGAAACGAGTGCCAGGTCCTGTACCTGAGATGAGAACTCACACATGCACATGTGCATGTCATGCAAGCTCATTCACACGCGGGCGGAGAGTAAGTTAATGTTAATGGATAACGCCATTGTCTGTACTGCATGTCGGGGTTAATTGACATCTCCTCTAACCTGTCATGCAGCAAGGCTACAAGGAACATGAACACAGAATTAGTGAAGAAATCCGGGATTGGGTCTCTCTCTCTCTCTCTCCCTCCCTCTCGCTCGCATTCGCTCGCTAAGACACGACATGGCTGCTCACGCTATCATGAGAATTGCTTCACAAAGCGTTGACCCAGTATGCCTTGTCTTGTGCTGCGACCCAAGGTTTCGATCTTGCCGGTCCTGTGCCTTTGGGTTGGGGCCTTTCGCAGTGATACGAAACAGCTGTTGACGGAAGCAGTTTGCGCTTGCCAAAGCACATGCTTTCTGATGTCAGTGCATCATGATGCATCATGTTTGTTTGATATCATGTGTTCTCAGATCAACGGCGCACGTGTGCGTCTGGGCAGCCCTGTGCGTTTACCAACATCACCGGGCTTCATTTACAAGCTGGCCACTTAGTCATGTCTCCCGGTTCTGAGTTCGGTGCGTTCGGCTGTCGGGCTTCAAGTCGCAAGGGCATTTTCCCTGCACTGTTCTTGTGCTCAGGATGGGGATCGCATCATGGTCCTCGACACATGCGGCAGGGCTGGCCTCAATGTCACGGCCCAAGTTCAGACTTGTTCTCAATTGCACTACATCTCGACAACAGGCCAACCCATTATCGTATCTATCCGCGGTGTGCAGACCAGGTTGACTACGTGCCGCGTTTCGTTGGAGACGCAGTTGGCTTCCCGGGACAGTCCACAACTCGGCTACCTTGACATGTACATTCTGAACTTAGCGCATCTTAGCGCAGCATCAGTCCGAAAGGCCGCGTGGCATCTCCGATGCGGCCACCGAAGGTGGCACTGCCTTCGCGTGGGGTGGTGAGAATGCCGTTGCAGTTTCCGTTTGGCACCTAAAGAGCCGGGAATGCACAGCATGCTTGTGCATGGACGTTGCGGATCGGTGCAGAGCCCAAGGCCAAGGGAGGCCTTTACCGGCTTTGCTGGGCTGCCAACGGTTTCCCGCAGGCCAATGTCTTTCTGACTAACAGAAGTTGAAACTCAGTTATGGCGAGTCTTACCATATGAGCTTGAGTCTGCTCGTTGGCATGTAACGAGGAAGTTCCTTCGGACTTCGGCGTGGACATTGGTGCCATCCAAGCATGTGTCCCAGCATCGCGGTAGAACGTCGGAACATCCAGCACAAAGGCCATGCCGTGCAAAGTGCCTTGTGATGCAACTTGAGATTCTTGGGCCTGGCAGCTTCCAGAACAACAGGACTTGTATCAGCGGCCCTCTCCTGAGTTTTCCCATGCTTTCACTGTGAAGCAGACGCCCTTGACACCAGCCATCAACAGCGCTTCAACAGAGGCCACGTGTGCTCGTGGAGTGGCTTCAGGGGCTTTGGATTAGAGGCCTCGGCGTCCGAAGTGAGGGCTCATTCACACAAAAGGATGCCAAATTCACACATCGGTCCAATGACGGCGCTCCGCCAGGATGCCGATCGCATCATGATCCTAGATGAGTTCGCCACCCAGCGTCTGACAGTTTGAAACATATTTCTCATTCTCGTGTGCTGCGTTGGCTGAATTTTCAGGTGCAGCACATTCAAGGGTGCGAACTTGGGCTACGATCATCCGGAGAATATCTTGCCACGATTTCCCTGGCAGGGGAGGCCACACCGCAGGGAAGCAAAGCAAATAAGTTCCACCACCTCAGTGACGCTGGGAGCATATGGCCGCCAGGTCGCTGCCAGCGTCTAACACTACTGTGGAGTACGGCAGCAGCTACTCCTGGGGAGGTGCCTTGAAGACCATGCCGTTGTCGTTGTCGTCATGGTCGTCGGCTCTTGTAATCGTTGTTGCACTTTTGACGTTCATGGCTCCCAATCTGCCTGGCAATCTTCAAGCACCTAATGACCGGAAGGTGTTCAGCCAGGGGAGTTGTATTCTTTCAGATCGCTGAATGCTGTAGCAAAAGATGCTTGGGCGCAGGTGAGGAACTTGGAGCCTACGTCACGGCAATGGGCGGTGCCTATCGGATATGCTGGGCTTCACGCGAGTTTGGAGAGCTGAGCTGCTTACTCGAACATGAGCACGTATGATCACTTCGCGACATTGTGCGACATTAGCGACATTAGCGACGAATGACCCGCTTTCGCGAGGCACCGGTTACTTCCGAATCGATGCTGGCACTTTCGCCTTGGTTGGTCCAGCTCCATTGGACCAAGAGCGCACATGCGTGACTGGCCAGGTGGGGTCAGGGACCGTCTTCAATTCCATCAGGCGGATAGGTCTCACAGGCAGAAGTGCCTGTATGTGCCTGTCAGGTTTGCGCCTGGTCGGGCTTTCAAGGCTACTTGCTTTCGGACGGCGACGCAATCATGGCAGGATGCCCAGCGAGGGTCGAGAACCCGGCAACTCTGTAAGTGCCCCCTGCCGCTGTGCTTTGAGGTCCTAGATACGTGCGGCCTCATGGGTGCCATGGTGCCAAGATGGAGCAATGCAGAAGCCCCGAGGACCGGAACTCGAACATGCCCGACACATTCGCATGACACGTGATGCTCCCTCGCGCGTCCAGAAGAATGCCCTGCATGCCTCTTCTGAAAGGTCCCTTGCAATATCACAGCCGGCCACCGGAGCTGGAAGCAACTTCTCATGGGGCCACGTAGAGGCCATGGTTCTATCAATTTCTGTCGCACGCCCCACGCATTTTAAGGATCACACATTGGGATCCAGGGTTTGCAGGTCCGGGTGCCCTGGGCCCTAGCGACCTAAAACTAGGAGTCTTCAGCAAGGCTCTGCAGATATTCCAGGAGCTTCTGCAAAAAGATAAGACATGGGGTTCAGTTGAGTGTTAAGAAACTGTATTGACGAAAGTTGGAACCTGCACGCTTCTGAAGTCGTAAAGATTACCCTGCTCTACCATGCGTGGGCGACTACAATGTGCGATGTGTGCGAGGAAACTTGTGTTTTTCTATGTGGCAGCCTGCGGTGCCACAAGGAGTGTGTTTCGTGGCCTTCATCTGTGAAGTTCTCATGACTAGCCGCGGGCAGTCCCAGCATGTCCCAGCCGTGCGTCTATTGTTGCTGTGCCTTCCGTTATGGCGTGTTGTGCATCCATTCAGAAAGGTTCTGAAACCCTCCGCAAAGCTAGCCTTCTCTACAAATCATGTCCCGGTAGACCGAGCCTTATAAGTCTCAGGTCTGGATGCCCCAAGTTGTTTCTGTCCCCAGCGCAGGTCTCGGCTCCTGGTGGCCTGTACCGCCTCTGTTGGTGTGCCAATCCACAGCCATCCAGTCCTTGCAGCCGACCGCCTTGGGCCCAGCTACTTCTTGGAATGGTAGCTTACAACGAATGCGGACAGTGGGTCGCCTCCGGGTGTGTGCGTGTGTGCGTGTGTGCGTGTGTGCGTGTGTGCGTGTGTGCGTGTGTGCGTGTGTGCGTGTGTGCGTGTGTGCGTGTGTGCGTGTGGGTGTGTGTGTGTGTGTGTGTGTGTGTTTGTTGGTTGATTTTTTTTGCCGAATCCTCACGACACACCCGCAGGTCAGACTTCCGAACAGATGCCGGCACCTTGCATGTTGTCGGCCCTTGGCCAAGCTTTCAAAGCCGGTCGTCTGCTCAGTCAGAGCGTTTGGGCAGCATGTAACTTCGCGGACCCTCATTCACCTTCCTCAACTCAGGACCTGTGTGGCAGGTCAGCCGTGTTCATTTCAGGGCTTTGCTGGTGCTTACCTGCAAGCCGCATGCCCAGACTAGCTGAGCCCCATGAACTCAGATAGTACACGTGTCTTATGGTGTCTTGCTTCTCGTCGTTCTTTGAGGACGGCGACAGGATTATGGTCTTGAGCACATGCGTCCGCGGCTAAGAAGTACTTGGCTTCGAGGAACTGTGAGAGCGAAATCTGTCAGATATGTCCACTTAGAAGCGCTAAACCCTGCAGATTTAGCTCCACTACAAATTGCTTGGCCAAGCTGTTGGACAGATTTGGATAAACAAGCTTGGCCTTGTCATGGCATGAGCTTTGGTCCTGCTCAGTTCTAGCTTGGTCGCGTGGAACGTGGTATAGATTGACTGAGTCGTAGACTCAACATGGCAGAATCATTCTGGTGTCCGCCTAAGGCGAACCACTACTTTCCTGCCTTGAATGCTGTGGTGCCACGATTTGCAGCCGGCGGCCTGTCCAATGCGGCCACTGGGAGAAATGACGCAGCTTGCATATGTGGCACACGAACCCCCAACGACCATACGAGGGCGCAAGATGAAAAGACTCACTGTTTGCATCCAAGGCCACTGCTCACGGCTCGTCCTTTGAGATGCAGACCACGAACGGCCATGCAATATCTTCAGCAGGTGGCATTTACCGCCTGTGCTGGTGCGCATGGGGTTTCAACTGCCAGTTGCCTCGGCATTTTCAAGCAGATGCAGGAGCCATGACAATAATCGGACCTAGTCCTCAGTATCAGGATCGCACATGTGTGTCCGGCCAGCCGTGCTTTGCCTACAACATCACGGGCCAAGACCTCGGCAATGGGGACCGCTTCATGGTCTTAGAGACCTGTGGCCTGTTCACGGCCCCACGACGTTTCACAGGCGGGGGCGTCTCGGATTTGATGTCCGAGAATGGAACACTTGCAACTTGGGGCCAGGAGCCCACTTGCATGGAGCCCTACAACTTCGATTGTCGTGGAGTTCGACCTACCAGCCAGGGCGGCAATTTCAGGCTCTGTTGGTGCGCGCACAACTACACCTGCTCCCTGGCGAGCGATTTCCGGGTTGACATTGGGCACTTGTCCTTCCTGGGTCCATACCCTCTCACGAACAGCAGGACTTGTGTTGCAGGCCAACCCTGCGCCTTTTCCGGCATCGAGGGGCATTACACACAAGACGGCGATAAGCTCATGGCTCTGGACACTTGCGCTCATCCAGAAACGCTCCAGCTCATTCAGAGCTCGGATAAGTGGGGCATATACAACCAACGTTTAGTTGCCGCGGGCCAATACGGTTGGTTTGATGGCCCTTCAAACAATGCCTCCTCAAATGGGTCGAGCTTTTTGTGGGGAGCCGTGGATCAGGTCATCACCAGCCCTGGGGGGTTGTATCGAATGTGTTGGTGCGCTGCAAACTACCCATGTCTTGAAGCCAGGGACTTTCAGACGGATGTTGGGGAGCTGAATGTCATCGGGCCCTTCCTGGAGCTTCCGGATCCAACTGGCTTGCTGACCCTCGAGCAGCGCCTGCAGAGCTTCACTTGTACCACTAACGAGCCTTGCAGTGTTTCTGGACTTCAAGGTCAGTTTTTGAGCGATGGTGATCTGTTAATGGTGAAGAGAGATTGCAGTCCAGCTTGGGAGTTCAACTCCACCGTTCCATACTGGCCATCCAACACGTTTGTTTGGGGCATTGCTGACCCTGGAATAGTTGAGACCACTGTGAATGGCATCACCTACCAGACATACAACTGGGCAGTCATAGGAACGACGAGTGAGCGGGAAGTCCGGTCTGAGGGTGCTTACTACCGCTTATGTTGGTGTGCTGCCGGCTACACGTGTGCAGACCCCATTGACTTTGCTGTCGATGCAGGGACCATGAAATTGATTGGGCCACATCACAATCAGGCCAAAACTTGTTTCTCTGGTGCTGCCTGTACGGCCAGTTCTGTGACTGGCGTCGGCTTGAGCAATGGAGACCGGACCATGGTATTGCGCTACTGCGACACCGACCTGTACATTGCACGTTTCCCGAACGAAGGGTATTCAGATCCAGCCGTTGACAACGGCACCACCATCACTTGGTCTGGTGCCGCCGCCACTCCCGTGACCTCCCCGGGCGGATTCTACAAGCTTTGCTGGTGCGGAGCTTCTCAGACTTGCACGAGGAGCGGCTCGAACTTCAGGGTGGAGTACGGGCTCCTGTACATTGTTGGACCATCACCTTTGACTCAGAGCAAGACGTGCTTGAGCGGGGAGCTTTGCGCAGTCGAGGACTTTGCGGGCTATGGCTTGAGCAGTGGCGACCGGATGATGATCTCCAGCAACTGCGGTGATCCAAATGGAGTTATTCCCAGGTTTCCAAACATGGGCATCTCAGGTCCGTCAACAAACAATGGAACAACCTTTGTATGGGACGACTACGTAACGGCTGGTGGAGGCATTTATTGGATGTGCTGGTGTTCAAACATGTACTCCTGCGATCGAGCGGATCTATTCAATGTGGAGTCTGGCTTGCTTACCCTACCCGGGCCGTACTTGGGACAGGAGCGCACATGCCGGAGTGGCACGGAGTGTGGCTTTTCAACTTTGCGTGGGCTTGGCCTTGCAGACGGTGATAGGATCATGATCATGAACCAGTGTGGAACAAATTCAATACTGCCAGGTTGGCCGGACAATGGGGTGTCGGATCCTGCCATTTTTCAGGGTACAGAGTATGCTTGGGGCATCTCCAGTGGTGGGCTTCACGTCACCGGTGCCGGAGGCGAGTATTCCATGTGCTGGTGTTCGATCTCTGCTCCAAACTGCTCCTCTGGAGAGTACTTCCGAACAGAGGTTGGCATCATGAAAATGCTGGGCCCCGCCATCGGTCAGAGAAAATATTGCACCAGTGGCCAAGTCTGCAGCATCACCCAGTTTGGTGGATATGAGCTCCAAAACGGCGATCGCATCCTCATCAGTCCCTCATGCTTGCCCTCGAATGCATCATACATCGAGGGCTTTTCCAACAATGGCATCTCGGTTGGGACAGCCGGTGGCTCTCGGTTTGACTTTGAAGGCCGTCTCACAGCATCGGGAGGTGTCTACGCCATGTGTTGGTGTCCTTCAGGCTCCCCCTGCCAATCACCGGACAATTTCCAGGTGGATACCGGGAATCTGACGGTCATCGGTCCATTCCTGGATCACCAGAAGACCTGCATCTCCAGTCAGGTGTGCCGATTCGATGGATTCCTCGGCCAGTCCCTGCTCATCAGCGACCGGATCACGGTCCTTGCAACTTGTGGAACAAGCTTCGTGCTGCCCAGGATGCCCAACAGCGCCCTCTCCACGGAGCACTCCAACTTTGGCAACTCAGTCTCTTGGGGCCCACTGCGAGCTACGGCGCCAGGTGGACAGTACCGGCTTTGCTGGTGTGCAGCGACATCGAAGTGCAGTTCCCCTACGGACTATGTGGTGGACAGTGGCGAGCTCCACATCATCGGGCCAAATCTGTATCAAATGCAGCAGTGTTATCCAGGTGTCACGTGCAGCTTCGAGGACTTTTTGGGCTACGGGCTCCAGAATGGTGAGAGAATCATGGTCTTGGATGTCTGTGGATTGGGAGCTGGAGTGCCCGGCTTTCCGAACGGTGCAATCTCAAATCTGGCCGTCAGCCAGGGAATGCAGTATGGCTGGGGAGATGGTTCCAGCAGCACCGACTACTACCCTCTGAACACGTCCACCCCTGGCGGTTTCTATCGGCTGTGCTGGTGTCCAGTCGGGTTGGAGACATGTGACACTAGTCAAGACTTCAGGGTGGACGCAGGTGCACTGATCGTCAAGGGCCCTTTTGCTCAGGTCAATACCTTGTGCGCTGCTGGCCAGACTTGCACACTTGGTCCCTGGGATGGTGCATTGCTTGCACTGTCAGATCGTGTGCTAATCATCCCCGATGGCGCGACCTGCGGACAGAGTGCAGCTGACGTGCAGATTGCTCAAGGGGAGCCCAGAGGTGTTACCTGCAATCTGGAGCTGACCACCTGTGAAGCCAGCTTGAGCAGTGTCGAGACACAGCATGGAGGCCTGTTCAAGGTCTGCTACTGTGTTACCTACTTGGACACCAACGGAACGGATACACTGCCCTGCACAGAGCCATCAGAGTTCACAAGCTACGCCAGCAACCTCCAGGCCTGTAGGGCTAAGCTTTGCAAAGCAGAGTGCCAAGCAGCGTTGCAAACGCACTGACATTGCAAGACAAAGTTGGGATCGGGGTCAGGTGCGGGGACCTCTTGGAGCACAGGCCTTGCTAAGCTTTGCACTGTGAAAGCACTTTGTGAGACTCAGGCAGTGTGAAGGTTTGCAGTAGCCTTGCAGTCGTGCAGGCTTATGCCTGCGTTGTTGGCATCGATTGCGACATCACCGTTATTGGGTTTATGCTGTCAGTGCTTGACCGCGCTAAGCTAGCTCGGCTCCCATCATCAGTTGAGTTTTCGGAGTCAACAAAGCCTCGAGAAGACTCACATGACAACATCCGAGGTGAAAGCCGGCTTTCCATGCAATGGCAATCCATCAGCAGGGGTGCCAGCACAGGCGCGCGAGACTCCGGAACTCGTCCTTGTCGTTGTTTCAAAGTGATTGATCATATTCAGGAAGTGCTCATCAACAGCGGCCAGTCCCTGCAAACCAACAGCATTGCCCCCGAGCCCGACCAGAGCAGCTCCCAGAACAGGCCGGGTAAACATTGACAGCCAGCCAATCCACATAGAGTGCCCTGTCAATGCTCAGGTTCCTACTCGGGGGCATCAGAGAAAGTGGGGACTACAAGGACCCGCGAAGCTTTTGGATGTCTGCACTCAGTTCTTCTTGCCTGTTGGCATGTGGGAGGTTTGCTACTGTTCCAGCGTCTTGTCCTGTTCGAATCCCTACGACTTCGGCGGGGTGGCGGGGACCGTCATGGTCTCTGGAGCTGACTCCACTCAAGTCAAGGCCTCAGCTCGAGGTTGGCGTATGTTGGCGTCTTGATAGGTGCATAGGCGCAACACGAAAGAAGCAACTAGTTTCCCCGGCATGCAGAGGGAGGGTCCGGGAGGGCTTCCTTGCATAAGAGTCATTGAGCTGTAGGGCAGTATGTGGTTGGTGACCTTTAGAGTCGGTTGAAAAACCATATCATCTTTCACGTGTACACTAATGTTGGACTCGCTTTAGTGCGCAAGGGGCCCCCCCCCCACCCCCCCCCAAACGATTTGGGGGTTTTCGGGGATCCTGAATACTGTGGGCTGGGGGGCTGGGACGGGGCTGGGGGTAGGGCGGCTAGGGGTCGAGGGTTGAGGGGAAGCCTTGAAGCTTGAGGGTCTAAGCTTTCCAGGCTTTGTAGCTCCACGGTCGCCGGGGCTCCGCATAAATGCGGACCATCGAAACAACTTGCTAAAGCGAATCAGGGCAGCTCGTGGGCTACTCCCTTGGAAAATTGTTTGGGGGCCTGTTTCGTAATGAAATTTTAAAAGGAATTTAAATAAGGCTGGACACCAAAAAATTCCGGAGTTTCTTATTCAAAACTTTTTTTAGTTTTTGGCTCCCCGGCCCCCCGCCCTTCAACCCCGGCCGGGCAAACATCGCATAATTGAGGACCACCCTAAACAATGGGGGGGTCCTGTATAGGATTTTCGGAACATCGCATAATCGTGCCCCCTTCCGCTACATTATATGTACGAGTGTCATGTAGCCCACATATGTGACCCCGGTTCACGAACCTCCGTCATGGTGTCCCCCCTACCGCCCCCCCCGCTCCCCACGCCCACCCCTAAACCCTAAACCCTCACGCAACCCCGAACCCTGTACTGTACCCTAAAAAACGAAAATGCTAAATGGGGAGGGGTGGGGATGGGGAGGGGCGCGCCCTGATCACATATGCAACAGCTAGCTAGGCGGAAAAGCAAAGCAGACACTCAAGGCTCAAGCCGCTTCAAGCCCCGAAACGTGGGAAGCTCATGAGGTCTACGTGTGCAGACGCGGCTCCGAGTGTCTCATTGAGCTGAGAGGGTGGCGCTTGGGTCCGACACAGAGCTGCACAAGCCCTTGCTAGTGCATAGCGCAAGTTTGTGCATCTAGAGAGACACATCTACAAGATTTTGCAATCACACAGCTCGTGATCTGCGCCACAAGGAACGATCGGCTGAAGATTGTTGCAGAGGGAAGCAACTGCGCAACAGATTCGCCGACCTTCGGATTCGGTGATCGGCTCGGACTTGAACTATCAGAATACTCAGAACAGATCTTAAATTTTGTTCAGCGCCTGAGGCTTCAATCCTGCGTGGGTGCAGGGACAGGCTCAGTCGCTCTCCGGTTCGGGATGCTTTGATCAACAGATTTCGTTGGATTGCGAAGGCTACCGCCTACCTGGATGAGACGAACACCACCAGCATCAATGTTTTCAATGTCGGCGTTGCAAAGGCGGAGCTCTCTGGACCTTCCTGGCATGCTGGTGAGCTTGCTTCTGTCCTTAAACACTCTTGAGGTGGGTACGCAAGAGGAAGGATGCCTCCCAGATGACGTGAACTGTGGCTACAAGCTCTGCTACTGCCCAGGCATTGGCAACTGATTCTGGGACTGCAGACAGGAAGACCACCCAAGGCCAACAAAGCCGCCCAAGTCGATCAGCACCCGCTATAAAAACATATTGCGACATCTAGCACTGAGTACTTGATGCTTGCTGTGGCTGAGGCACTCTCGGCTCGTCCTACACGCATACTGCAGGCCATGTTCTTCCGGTCAACGAGCAGTCCTGTTCAAGAGAGCTCCAAAGGCAGCAGCCACATGGGGGTCTCAGGTGCTTTACGGGTGACAGAGTCCATCCGAGCGATTGAGATAGATACCTCTTTCGATCCTCGGCTTCATCATATTCCAACATTTCTTGGGAGGTGCACCTGCAACATCAGCTTTCATCAATCCAGCAGCAACTGCAACAGCTTGACCCGAGGCAGTGACCTCTCATTCGATTGGCTTGCTCGTGGACTCTTCCTATGGAGGCAGAGACTCTCCAGGATCCCAAATTCCCCTGCGCCTTCCCATTGCCTTGCCAGTACTTGCATTACCACCAGGTGGTTTGATCCGGTGCGTCATCAATGACGGGCCTGCGACGGAGTGCGGAGCTTACTGATCTGGACATTCTCTTGAAACTTGCCCCAAAACTCGGAGCTTGCACACTTGCTTGCTAGCTTGCTTACGTACTTACTTCATAACAAGCTACCAGATGCATTCCACATGATCATGCACTTTCTCAAACAGTATCCACTACTGTCCAACTACTGTCCAGGTGGGGTTTGTATCCTGACTCCAGCTTCTTCGCCTTCGGACCGGGCTCCGGTGACGTCGGCTGGGGAGCATCACCTGGACAGGCACCGGATGCACAAATTGCAGTGATTTGCAGTGCGCATGAGCTGATGGCCAGTGGCAAAAGTGTGGCAAACGCGGCATGGCACCACTCGCATTTGCAGGGTATCCGTGTTTAGAGGTACTTCATTCGGTATTTGTTACCGCAGCTATCCTTGGTAGCAAGTGACCTGGGCGACGCAGGCCACATCTGGGAAGAATGCTTTGACCATCCACCTGACCCAGTTTGTGGAGGCTCGTCATTGGTGTTGTCTCAGTTTTTGTTTGGGCCACTGTGCGCACCACAGTGCACACCACTCTGTGCGGTCCTTGGGCCTCTTGTGCAGGCTGGGCAGGTCGTGAGAGTGTGGTGCTTCCTTTCCGATTCGCCTGCTTACATCTTCCCACCAGATCTTGAAGGAGAACAGGCCAGCTGCGCACTTTGAGCCAACAACCCGAGCTTTACGAGCGTCATATTTGACACCTTGAGGTGGTGGTTCCACTCAGCATGAAGACACCAAGAGCAGACTTCTTGCCGAGCAAGGGCTGGCACCAAAGCTTACACAGGTTGCTTAGCAAGCACTGTCTAAGCAGGTTGCGGGAAAGCAGCGCACGGTTGTTGTGCAGCTGTGAACAGCTGAGGATTCAGCTCTTTGATATTGCCACCTCGCAAGGGCTGGCAGGCTTGACAACATGGCCTCTTTGTACCTGATTGCGGCTCGAATGATCTCGAATGCTCAAGGCCGGAGATTGGCAGTGGAAGACATCAGGGCCAGCATCTCACCCCATTAAGCATCCTGGAGGTGGGGGGAAACTGAGGCAGAGAAGCATTCTCTAAGGTCGTGACAGCCATGAGCACAGAGACTTGCACGTTTATGGCTTACCATATGACTGATCGTCAGATGCCAAGTTTGACCGACCTTGCTGCGATGCCGTTTGTGTGGAGCTTCAATCAGTGGCGGCATGAGACCAGTAACTTCTATCCCAGGTCAATTGAACATCCAGGAGTCACAGGACCCCCATCGAGCCCTGTGCTACCACTGCACTGGATGCCTTGCTGATTTGCAGCAGGACAACTTCGGCAACCTGATGCTGGAGACAGCAACGCCTGCGCAACTGGATGCCACAATGTGTTCGGGTCTCAGACGTGTCCAGACTTGTCCAGACAGCCATGCCTTGAGTTGCGCTGACTGGAGCGTTTTTAGTTTTGACTTCCCTGTTGACTCCCGTATCAAGGCATGGATGACCCAAGTTGCAAGCTCCTGCTGTGCTACTTCGGAAGTCCTCAGGCCTTTTGCGGAAATCTGCCTTGGGTGATGAACATCTGAACCTACATGGATTGTTAGTGGGACGGTATGCTGAATTCTGCCTGCAGAGGAATATCCAATCCCGGTGAGGGAGACGCTTGATATCGGCCTGATTCCTGTCATCAGCCCCAGCTTGGCAGAGTTGCGTTGAATCATATGCTGCATCATACTGCATCATGTTGCACCTCAAATATCTCGATGCCGCACCTGAGCTTGAGCAGCCTTAAGGTTTTGCAGACAGCAACCCTTTATCGTGGTGCAAGAAACAGGATCACTGTTCGCTCGCTTCGCATGGGGCAAGGGAGGGGGGGCAGGTGGCGAATAACCTCTCTTGCATTTGATCGAGCATCGCGCGAGTGTCACCTGAGCAGCGCATCAATGCCCGCCAGGATTCAAGTGGAGAAGCAGCCTGCCTGGCATGTTGCACTGCGGGCATCAACGGCTTTACCAGCAGTTTCGCCAGCTTGGACCAGATATCGGAGTAGCTCCAAATGCCAGGACACCCAGCTCGGGCAACATCAGCTGGATTTCGGTCGAAGAAAGCCAGAGCTTAGGCGACAATGTGATCTTTGTCTAATGTCCGGGTGCACGTCGGCTGCTTTGCTTCCACCTAGCGTTGTTGTTTCTCTCACTCAGACTTGCAGGTGGCATTCTGGATGCCGGGCAAGTTTGTGCGATGCTCGACAAGAATTCGTGGAACTACACAGATAGATGCGCTGCATACGTGCAAGGTCCGGAGCTTTCAGATGCAATCGCACGAGGGCGGGTCGCGGCCTTTCAGTCTGGCATGTTGTTGTCCATGCCAGTTGCTTTTGTCATTTTGTCATGAGGTCGTTGGCCTTTCTCCCCTGGGCCTCAGTGACTCATTCCTGCTTGATGAGCCCGCTGGCACGTGCGCCCGACCAGATCATATCGGATCGCATCAGAGAGTGGCCTCAGCCCATGAGTAATCCCCTATCTGCTCTTATCTGGTCTTATCTCGTCCGCGTCACCGCTGGGAGAAGTCCAGAGGTGAGACTGCTTGCAAGGTACTATGCTTGCATTCTCGCCGACGTAGTGGATGCAGTCCAGCAAGCTCCGCTGCAGTCTGCGCAGCGCCAAGCAATAAATGTATCGCATGACTTCCGGTGGCGCTGCCAAGAACGACAAAGTTATAGTCAACGCGCCGTAATTGAGGTTGGAAGCTTTGTCGTCAGTGAGGCCCAGCTCAGTCGAATGATCAACAGAAGAACGGGCCAGTGGTCTTTGGTCGCCTTGTTTCACTCATCGCACATGTCAGGTCATTGGAAGCATGGAGCAGAGTACGCTAGCTTCAACGCGAACCACGCTGCGACTGGATGCGCTTTGGTGGCAAAGAACCTTCTCTCAAGTTGCTGAGCGTCCGAGCTCCCTTCAGCGGTAAAAGGCTGGCAAATTAAAAAAACAAAACAAGAAGAACCTCAAAAGTTGCTCAGGTGGCTGTGCGCCTTGCTGGTGTCCTCACTTGCGTCGTGAAGGATCCCCAGGTGCTACAGCAGATGCTCCATGTGCCCCAGTGTGCTCCCATCTCATGCTCAGACATCGTCTCAGAGTACGGGGTAAAATTGGCCTTCCCTTGAGCTTTGATCACTTTGTGTGATGCTGTCGTCAGTTAAGTTTGTAGACTCGTTTCTGTTATCTGCAAGCCTCGAACAAACTAAGCTTGCTTAGCATAAACCTCCGATGCATCTCGAAGTTGATTTATGTTCATAATGTCAAGGGGAACGTGTGACAACGAAGTTGCCTCTCCTTCACGTCCTCTTACATGGCACATTGTAGAATGCTTCGATGTCCATGTGTGGCACGTCCCTTTCTTGATTTCGTCACCCGGCTTCCGGAGTACAAGTCTGCCATGTCTGCCTCGCAGTGGGCTGACTGTGAGGCAGACTTGTTCTCGAGTTCTCGAGGGTCTGAATTACAGGGGGGGGCAAGAAATAGGTACCGGGAGTCGGTTGGGCAGTCAGATGTGCATTCAAGGCCAAACTGCATTTTGCATTTTGCAAGATGCTTACATTACAGGCCCAGTTCGGGCCCTGTGCGAACTTAAAAAGGGGTTTAGGGCGGTTTTCATTACGTTTCATAAGCAGAAGACTGGAGTCCCCTCCCCCCCCCCCCAGCAGGTACCTATTTCAGATACTTTGCTTTGCTGGGAAACCCACAGTCCCGCCTGAGTGAAGGGTCAGGTCAGGTTGCGGAAAGACCGAAAAATAGGTACTGGAGAGAGGTTTTCATTACGTTTCATAAGCAGAAGACTGGAGTCCCCCCCCCCCCGGCAGGTACCCATTTCAGATGCTTTGCTTTGCTGGGAAACCCATAGTCCCGCCTGAGTGAAGGGTCAGGTCAGACCGAAAAAAATTACCTATTTCAGATTTTTGCTTTACTGGGGAAACCCATCCAGCCGCGCCATTATGAAGGGTCAGGTTGCGGAGAGACCCCGGACGCTGTGAGAGTATCCTCCCTAAGATCGTTTTGTAGTGCATGCATCTTCAGGACATGTGCTCATGTCAGAGTGGTCGCCCTCCCCCAACGTCAAAAAAACGGAAAAAGTACGGGTACCTGTTTTTTTTTTTTTTGGGGGGGGGACTCCCGTAAGATGGACACTTAAAGGCTATGCTGCACGTGCGTGCCTTGTAAACAAATACTTTACAAAAGAAACACCCGCAGAATAGACGCAACGCACCCGCAGAATAGACGCAATGCACCCTTAGCATCAGCACACTGTGTCCTGGACGAGAAAGGCGCGGAGGGTGCGGAGGGCGCGGAGCGCGCGGAGGGCGCGGAGCGCGCGGAGGGCGCGGAGGGCGCGGAGGGCGCGGAGGGCGCGGAAGGCGCCGGAGGGCGCGGAGGGCACGGAGCGCGCGGAGGGCACGGAGGGCGCGGATGCGGAGGGCGCGGAGGGCGCGGAAGGCGCGGAGGGCGCGGAGGGCGCGGAGCGCGCGGAGGGCGGGGAGCGCGCGGAGGGCGCGGAGGGCGCGACGGCAGGGCGCGGAGGCGCGCGGAGGGCGCGGAGGGCGCGGAGGTCGCGGAGGGCGCGGAGAGCGCGGAGCGCGCGGAGGGGCGCGCGGAGGGCGCGGAGGTCGCGGAGGGCGCGGAGGGCGCGGAGGCGCGGAGGGCGCGGAGGGCTTGCAAACGCGGAGGGCACGGAGGAACATCCACGTGTCCCCACTCCCCTGCCCATCAAGGGAATGTCACGCTCCCCGCCACGCCCCTCTCCCAGCAAAATGTTCCGAACCCTCTCCCTTGACCGTGTCGTCCCCGCGGCCTCACGTCAAAACTCCTCCAAGAAGCGGTCCGATAGAACGCCTCAAACGAGAACCCAATTTCAGAATTTGTTTCGGAAAGAATCCAAGAAAACGAAGAGCACGCGCAGAATAGACGTTAAGCGTCCAAGGCACGGGGGACTCCCCCCCCCCCCCCCTCGAAGGGGTGGTCGTTTTAGAGGGCTTCCCTTCACCTTGGCTGGTCTGCCTCACACCGGCTTGACGATGCTTTCAAAGAGCTCCAGCCCCCCTGCCTCGTCTGCCACATAGTCAGCCCACTCACTTTGGACCTCTTCACATTCGGGCAACTGGGGCAATGGCAGAAAGACATGGGACGTTTTGTACACATTATAAGGCTTGTGGAGGCTTACAAGGCTTATGGAGGCTTATAAGGCTTATAAGGCAGCTGCAGACCCTTTCGGCACAGGTAACTTCCACGAAGGCACAGGAGATCCTGGCAGCGGCTGCGGCAGCCGTGGAGGGTTTCACAGGTGCAGCGGCAGCCCAGTCCCCTCCTGAGTGTCTTTCCATGTCTCATCCAAAAGAAGCTTGCCAGGCATGTTTGACTAGTTTAACTGCCATTTCCTGCAGGCTGTACGCGCTTGCACAAAGATCCGCCCTGCTTGAATGGCTGCAAAGCCCGGACAGCCGGCCAAGTAAGTTCTGCGATGGCACTTGCAGGGCATTGGAGTCACATTGAGTCTCGACCACAGCAATGTGGTAGAGAATAGCCTGGGCAACCCAAATGCAGGAAGACACCTTGGCACTGGCCATCGTTACGGTGCCTGCAGCGGTGCCGCCCAATGTCACAGTCTCCCTGGTCCTGGCCGGGCTCTGCACTACTTTCAAGCAGAAGTTCTCTCGACAGCGCATCGAGCTTTTTGACAGTGGAGGCAACTTTGTTGCAGACGGATCACGTGCCTGCCTGGTGCTGGCATTCGGCAACCCAGGAGTTTGAGCCTGCGTTGATCTGCGTAGAGAATGTAGAGAGGTGACCAGAGAGGTGCACTGGAGATCGAAGCCAAACAGACCTTGGGCAGAGCAGCTGCTATCAATCATTCATCGTTTGGTGAACTAAACAGCTGTGGTTAACACCCTTGGCTGAACTTCCTTTGAGGAGACGAAGATGGTCACTCCTAGCGATCCGAATGGCCAGCAGTTTACTTTGCCCGGGCAGGTGCAAACGGTGCAGAGCGTCGTTGTTTCTTTAGATAAAGCCTCTTGCTGCAGATTTGTCGCACTCTGAGCTTGTGGCAAAGTTAGAGTTCCGACTGCAGACTGTCCAGCAGCCTGCAATCCAGTATATTCTGTCTAGCGATGTCTTGTGTATACTACGGCTAGTACTGTAGCGACTGTGTGTGTGTAAAGCCGGAGAGGCACCTTTGGCACACGTCTTGCCAAGCTTTGTCTGGCCCGGTGCCTCGTTCCTGGCCTGGAGCCTAGGGTGTTGGAGGCTTGAAGTTAAACTGCTGTGGCACCAGATGCACTTAAGGTATTTATGGAGAATGTTGCCGACAGCTCGCAATCTCGCGTCAAGATGGTGAACGACACTGTGGAGTGTGACTCGTCAGCCTACTCCGAGGCTCGCTTTCCCGACAGCCTCGCAGCAGATTTTCGTAGCTGTTCTCCAACCATTTAAAATCAAGCACGCAGGCAGTTCCCGTGGTGCAGAACATGTCCGGCATTGAGCAACCCATCCGGGCCTACTTGACTGCGAACCCGCTCTTGCCTGAGTTGGCAACATGAAACATTGAATGCGCCCTTCAGACGTGTCAAGCCACAATGGCCGGGTTCGACGTTTCCTAGAAGTCGAGCCTCAGGCTTGTTGATGTCTAGAAGTCTAGAATGAATCGTGGTAGCACCGTCAGGTTCAAGCGCATGTTCTGCTTCTTCGAGTTGCCGACATCCCTGCCAGTGGCCGTGAACGCCCCTGGCTTGAGAAGAACTGGCTATCTCAGGGTTTGTGCACCCCGCATCACACCGCTGGAGCATGCTGGAGTGACCCTTAGTGAACAATTCCCAGAATTTCCTACAACGTGAGTCTCAATTGAGTCGGTCTCGAAGCAGAGGCTGCGGCCGGAGGGTTCATGCAGTTCTCGCAGGCACCGGAATTGAGCAGCAAACAGGGAGTGATGGCTTGCCATGGCTTGCCAACTTGCCGAGCTGCCGAAGGAAGTTCTACCCAGTCTGTCCCTGATCGTAGATGACGCCTTCATTGAACACATGATGCTTGGCTGGCAACCTACAAGAAATCACGAACAAGTGTCATTAAAACCGCCGTAGGAGAATTCTCCGGCCCTTGCAAAGTCGGACCGTCTCATTTTCGCATGTTTAGCTCGGCTCGTTTATTCCTTTGTGACGTGGCGGACCACAACAGCTCGATGGAAAACAAACATACTGCAGCTGCTCCAACGGTTCATCTGAACACCAAGGAGCCGGGGCTTAGCTTCGAACTTGATCCTCTACGACGTGGCACCTGGAGAGCTGGCACAGGCGAGGTATGATGTATGAGGGCAGCTGGGTGGAGTACTGCGAGCACTGGCCACCTTTTGGCAGTCACTGAGTGCCTTCGCAGTAGCACAGGCTTTCCTGGTGGAGGAAGTGGTCGCACCCTGAGCATCCCTTGAACATCCACTGAGGATGAACTAGAACAGCGCGCATTGAGGCGTATCAGACCAATGGTGGCCACTGTCTGCCTCCCATTGGCCTCACGGCTACGGTTGCAGAGGCAGGGAGTCACAAGCACTTTTTGCGGGCCAGATCTTTCCCACCCCATGCTGGCCTCTTAGCTCCGCAGACCGCAGCGAGCTACATTCAACGAACTGCGGCAGTGGCGGCTTCAGCTGAGAAGGGGCGTCACAGATCGTCATAGTTCGGTTGATAAGCAAGATGCTTGAGCTAAGCTATCAACTCATCAGATGCTTCCTGAGGCCCCCTTGAAGGCAGTCTCTGTTCTGCCGAGCCCGGTGAATGGAGCTACTCACTTCGTGGGTGTCTCTGCATTTCTGAGCACGTGTCGACGGCCAGCAAGGTCCATTTCAGGCTTGCATAAAAAAAGTGAGTTTGCTGCAGGTCTCGGTCGCAGAGGACGAGACACAGTCGCCATGCGACCAAGAAACGACAAGCAATAGCATGATGTGGGCATGGGCAGTACAGTACAGCTTGGCATGTGAGCTCACCTGAGGCTAGGCATCGGGGCTAAGTATGTGCTTTGCTACGTGGGCTCCTCCTCTGACACAACTCGGGCTTGTGGCTGAGAGACCACGTTACCATGCACAAGGTCGTTGGCCCTTTGCCTAGGACGGCACACGGATCCTTGACAATAAGGTCTTCAACCAAATCGGGCGTAGTCTGAGCATCATGGACATCATCTTGTCTTTGGACAAGGAGGGGCTGTCACGTAGCGGCGAAGTCGATTCTGTTAGGCCTTTGCAGCTTCCATGGAGGCGAAAGACATGTGGGGTGTGGCATGGATGGAGAGTAGAGAAGAACTTCTTTGCAGGAAGCACGGCCACTGGGAGATGAGGCTGCTACTTCGAAGGAGATCAACGCCATGGTTCAGGCGCAAACCATGCAGGATTGTGCCAGTGATGCTGGCATAGTGGGATTCTGGAGGCCCTTTTCCCTTTTGCATTTGGGTTTTCCTGAAACATGCAGGCTTCGTTGACGGGTGCAGTCAGCTGCATCGCCACGACTCGTACCTTCGACCGTGCGCTGGTGGCGGTGACCCGAGGAAAACTGAGGAGAGCAAGGCGCAGGCATTGAAACTTGCGGCCAAGGCTGCAGAACTTGCGGGTGACTACGCGACCAGCATGCCGCCGGACCAGAGAGAGTGCGACGCACGCATCAGGGTCCAGTCATGTTTTGCAGCTCCGCAGGGTAGAAGGGCGTACCTCACATGCACACAAGGGCAACGTTTCGGTTTTCAGGACAGTTGTAAGAGATTTGACCAGGCATTGCATATTGCAGATGCAGATGTTTGCAGATGCAGGACTTTGTGCCGGTGTTCGAGGAAGCCCAGGTTCTGGGCAGAGCCCTGGACGTACCAGTGCCTCGGGCATGGACATGTGGGTCACTGTGGGTCTTGTGAGTTACTGTGCTTGGGCTGCTTCGAGGCCCAAACTGCCTTGGTTACCTTGGTTCGTTGGGCTTTTGCAGGTGCTCACAACAGTTGAGAACATCACAGCGGCAGTCTGAGAATCAACTGCCAAACGCTTTTGCAAGCTCCCACTCCCGCTGGCAGACCTGCGTGTTCGCAGTGGATGTATGTCGTGCTTCCCATCTCATGACGTTAGGTCCGAATCGAAGCCAGCCTGCAGAGTGCAGCGAGCATTCAACGGATGCCTTTGGGAGTTGCCCCGCAGGTGCCGTGCATTTTTTCGGTCACGCTCCTGTTCTGCAACAGCCTGCAATGCTGCAATCAATGGCAGGTCTACGTTTGGTGCAAGCACTCCAAGTCCCAGGTGGTATTCCCCGAGGCCACTCTCCACAACTACTCGTCACTATCCGTGCAGTGCTCCAGTTCCGTTAGCTCGGCGAAGACTTTGGAGGACGGTAACGGCGTTGCCATCAGCCTCGGGGTTCTTGCGGCACCCAACTTTGGGTATGTGTCCCTGGGCAGCCCTTTGACACAGGCGCGATCTGCTGGGGTCAGAATTTGAACTCACTCTTGTCTGGTCTCAGCATGTGTCCCAAGCACCTCCGAAGGTGGTGCTTGCGCGCAATGTGTCCTTCCCGACGCTTGCGGTGCTCTGGTCGGAGCTCGGCTTCCCAGCCTACTACTACGACGAGGTGCGCATTTTTACAAGCTTTTTCTAACGCAGTTCTACTAAAGCACTTGAAAGCTGGTGCTACTGACGCAGGTATACTCACGTCACCTCTCTCTTCTTACTTTGGGCAGGTCGCATTCACTATCACGCCGACGCTTCCAGATGGCCTCGACATCAGCGCGCAGAATGGGGACTTACTGGCTGTCTTTGAAGCTTGAGAGTGTGAGACTTGCAGCAATCCGCGAGAAGACGCAGTGCTGTGACGAAAGCAATGCCAGGGAATAAAGTCAGAGCCGGTACCTTTGCAGCTTCTCCCAGCAGCAGACTTTGTCATAAAGGCACAGTTCCCACAAATGCGATGCGAAAAGTTGAGAGACCATCCGATGTCCGCCGCAGGCCCAAAGCAAGTTCGACGTGCTGAAAAGCACGAGTACCACCTTGAGCATCGGAGTGGAGGACAGCTCGCATTCGATGATGTGTTAGTTTTCCATCAGAATGTAGCCCACCTCATTGAGAAAAGGCTCAGAGGGACTCGGAAAAGTCAAAAGGACATCCAGAGAGCATCCTTGAAAATGGCGGGACTGGGGCCGGGTACCGGGTACCGTGGTGTTTTACAATTGTTTTACACTATTTGCCCATATGCCTCTGGACAATGGAAAAATCAAAGAGAGAAGACAAGGAACAAAGACAGACATAAAGAAAAAATGACGAAGAAAGAAAGGAAGGGGGGAAAAGAAAGAAAGAATGAAAGACAGACCCTACCGACGAAACCCTGCAACCCTAAAGCCAAACCCTAAAGCCTCAAAAGCCGACATCTTGAACAGAAACCTACAACCCCAGACCTTAAAAGTCCTCCAAAACCGAAACCCTCAAACCCTAAACCCTCAAGCCCTAAATCGTGCTCGTGCACGCGCTGGCAGGTCTTTCCTGTTGATGCCTTCAGTCATTGGGGGATCATGTGAAGCAGCACAGTTCCGGCTCAGATGGTCAGACGGTGTTCAACGTCATGAGCATTACCAGGCACATGTCAACGACTGGCTGACAATGGAGTATAATGGAGTATATGAAACTAGTCACGCAGCATGGCTTAATTACAAGTGCAGCAAGTGTTTTTTGGAAGTTCGGTGCGAGCAGTTTTCGGTCCTGCGGTAGCCACCAGCGGGGCCCATGGCAGACATTTTGGTTTTTCCGCCAACCCACCTTGATGACTTCCTTCAGTACTTGCCTCTTGCCTGTGTCCACAGCGTAAAGGCGACCGCCCAAAGACTTGCCCAGGAAGGCGAACTCCATGTAAAGAGAAGATGCCAAAGGGTACTAGAGAAGCTGGTTCCAGACCACGTGGCCAGAGATCACTTCCGAGAACTTTTCGGATGCTGTGACGACCAGCATCTCCTTTGCATGCGACAGTGGCTGGTCAGTGTGGACAACTCGACCCAGTTCAGTCAGTGGCGAACTCAAACAGCTGTGGCCCGTCTGATGACCGGTGTCAGTCTGGATGGAGCCGATTTGTTTGCAGCTGTCAAAAGAGCCTTTCTCGCAAGCCAAGTGCCACGGCTTGCGGGCAATCCAGCTGTGATTCTGTGGATGCATGTCCTGGGTGCTCTTGAAGAACAAGACCCAATCCAATCGAAACTATTGGCATGCGATGCTTGGGAGAGTCTTGCTGGGCAGGTAAGCCAAGAGAACTTCATATGGGTAGCTCAGACGGCACACTTTGTCAACGCAATCGACGAGTTGGATCGTTGGATGGTCGTTGCCGGAGGCCCCTCACTCACCCAGCTGCTCAAGTGGTTCAAGATCTTGGAGCAACAGCTGCAAGATTCTCCGGTCAGCGGAAGATACGGCCCCGCAGGCGATTCCTCGCAGCTTCGATCCAGGCACTTGGCAAAGATGATGCAGAAGCTGAAGGATCTGGATCATCTGGATGCCAACTTTGACTGAGTCCACTTCGCAGACCTGGTGCGTGATCCGTTCCACATCCCGCACGAAATCTCATTGCATGCAAAGTTGCTTCGGTTAAGCTTGTGGAACTGTGGCTGCTGAAAACAGCCGCGGTAGGGAGAAAGGAATGCCAAAAGAGGCTAGGGGTCGAAGGGCACATGGGGTAGAGTTCCCGTTTCGAGCAAAGCTTAGGCTCGGCAGATAGCAACATGCCCAGTGCTATTTGACTCGCTGTTAGGAGCCGGCCCAGTGTGGCCTTTCCAGCATCAAAAGCACGGAGGCCTCGCCCAATCCCTTTCTCCGCTGGTCCTGAACTGTGGTCCCGAAATCTCTTCCCCCGCCTCCCCCTCCGCCCTCCTCCCCAGAAAAGTCTACACCCTTTGTTTGTAGTCATGGACGTCGCTACATACAATCTAGCAACGGTACCGTGCCAAGCGCAGCGTGGGCTAATGTGATGCCTGGGCAAGGCCATGATGACCTGCATCATTCATGACGCCAACAACATGAAGGTTGAGGCGCTCAGACTTTGCTTCATAGAGAGAGCAGGCTCGTGCCATTGATGACATATGCATGGCGGCACTAGATGCTGCAGAGCTTCCATGTACATAATTGATTTGCATGACACCTTCTTGCGTGCAGGCCATCTACCTCCAAATCATCTTGAAAACAGGGGAAGCGCTGGATCTATTGCCATGGGCTTGGCTGGTTTCGGGCAACTTGACTTCCAGGGCATATATCACCCCCAAAGCCTTAAACTTTAAAGAGCAAAACGTGAGCTGATGATACTCCAACATTTAGCAGACGAGCTCGTTTCAGCAGTTGTTTTTTTGGGGTTGTATAGCGGGACTCCATCATGTTGCCATGCTTTTGTATTGTTGTTTTTGGACATTTCCAGCTTGTTCCTCCAGGAATTTGCTTGGCCTGCCTGAACCGTTTCTTTGATGGATTTGCGTACCGTCGTCTATGGAGTCTTTATGCATGCAATTCAAGCATTCTACGTTTTACAGCGTACTCTAGCTTCCGCCTCGGGCAAGGCCAACGTCGTTCACATGCAATGGCGCAGCAACGGATCCTGGCTCCGCAGGCCAACGATGCCAAAATACCAAGAATGCCAGTCTCAACACGCCATGCGCGCCCCGGTGCAGGCATGACCGACTTCAATTGCCAGAAGGCCTGTCGACCCGAGAGGAAGGGAATCATTCCTGAATTCGAAAGGCTGAGAGGTAGGGTCTTCAGAGGTGTGCCTTGAAAGTTTGCACCAGCAGTCAGAAGCACTGGATACGACCTGCGCAGGTAGGTGCTGACCAGTGTTGCTGCTGGATGTGGGTCGGGCAAGCCAACACACCGGCCGTCTTTGACGCAAGCAGGCCTGCAACCCAGGCCGTTCATCGACAAGTTCCCCCCCCCCCCCCCCCAATTGTTCCCGTGAAAGACGCAGCCAGAGTCTGCCCAGCCATCTGATCATCTGGTGCCCCAAGGCTGAAGACGGGCAAGGTTCTCAATGCGGCCTGCGACTTGCAGAGCTACCAGCGGTGCCGAGACTAAGAGCTTGCTGTTGCGGATTGTGAGAACCTGATATGTGGCACAACCCCCCCCCCCCCCACCCCCACATATAGCACCTTGGAGGTACGACGTACTGACCATGGCCACTGGAGTCAACCTAATGTCGGCCGGGCACTGGGCACGCTCTCTGCTATCTCTGCTTGTGAATTTGGGGTTTACGACGAGTTCCTACGACCCCCTGGGTTGAATGTATAGTGAATGCAGGCCAACACCTTCACTCCCGTGGTGTGGGCGCGGTACTCATTTTCCACAGCCCGGGGAGATCGAACCTCCACCAGAAGAAGGGGAGCGTAATGGAGCGTAGCCATTGATCGAGCAAGTGGGGCACGATGCAGGGGGTCCAGGGAAGGCACGATGAGGCCTTCCAGTACACACCGACAAGGGGGAAGGCGACAGAATAGGAGTCTGTGAGCCGGGGGGCTGGAGGTTTCGCAGATCTTCGGAGTTTTGCAGTTCAATAGAAGGATTTGGAGATCTGAGCCGGGCATTCCATTTTATCCGGGCGCTCCTACTTCAAAACCAGGACGAAGTTAGGCACTGCATCCTTTTACCAGCCCGGATCTGCGAGGAAATGGATGGTTTGAGTTCCCGCATTCGGGGGAGCAACCCCTGGAATCACGGTTTTCCGCGGCCTGAAACGCGGTGCGCGCGGGCGGACAAGCAGCCCGGACCGAGCTTGAGGTCGAGCTGTCACGGGTAAGAACATGTCATACGCTAGGTCATAGCCAAAAAGCCGAGAACAGACCATGCAGCCCCGAGGAGGGCCAATTCGCTGGCTGCAAAAGACATCACTCATGAGATGGGAATGCATGATTTTTTGGTGGGACGCATGGTTGTGCACCTGTGCGTTTGGAGATGATTTTGCTGCAAAATGTCGATGGGAGGGACGGGGGGAATAACGTGCTAACCAAGCCACGACAAAACCCAGTCAGCCGACCCACGAGCAACACAACCCCAAAGCGGCATGGCACAGCATGGCACAGTACAAGCTTGAAGCAGCGCAAGGCCAAAGCAGCGCATGCCGGTGGAAACAAAAAAAGACAGTTCCGGGAGCTGATGATGAGAGGAGAAGGAGCCTGGGATCCCCAAAAAGGCCCCGGGAGTGGAAAGTGGAACAGGCATCTGATCACGCTGGGTGTACGTGCCGAAGGCCACGGGGAGGCACGGTCACCCAACACATGTGATCGGGGCAGGTTGAGGTGAAGAGACCAAGCTGACCCCCCGTGTCTCCACACGTTCACACCCAATCTGGGGCGTGAACACTACAGAGGGGTAAGGGGGGCTCCCCGCGAGAGAGGGAGAGGGAGTTTCCGGGGCGGGTGCGTACGCCCGGGGGCTTGCCCCCTTGCCCCCAAGAAAGAAAGAAAGAAAGGGAGAGAGAGAGAGAGAGAAGTAACCTCAACTCCGGGTGCCTGAGGATCGGATCTTTGACTTCACCGTGCCGGAAGGAAAAGTTGCCACACCTCTCGCTTTTGAAATCAAGGCCTCACATGCAATGATTATGCTGTTCTGTATTGCGAGTGAATGCTTTGCCCGCGTGACGTGCGATCATGTGTGATCTGTTGCCTTTGGTGGTGCAGCTCACAGGTCGACATCAATTACCAGGAGAGATGTGCTGGTGTTACCGCAGAGCTGGCGTGTAAGGCCTGCGTGCTTCGTGGATGCCAATGTTTCTGGCGGCAGTCCGCACTCTGAACAACGAACTACAGAAGCTCTGCAGAAGCTCTGCCTTTCCAGGAAGAGATGAAGGCGGAGCTTGCTGCGCTTCTCGGTGCGCCAGCAGACATGATCGTCATCACAGCAGTGTATGAAGAGCAAGTTCCCCAACGATGAGAGCGACTCGGCTGCGGGCAAAGTGTGCCAAAGTCGGGCAATCGGTTACCTAGTTGATCCCGGTTGCATCACATGATCCTCGAGCCGAGACAGCCGAGCTGCCCTGCATGGAGGATGATGGAGGACCGCTGACAGAACGACGCAATCGACGCCAGATCTTGCAAGAGCAAACACAACAACACGGTGGTGCTGAATAAGTGTCATAAGCAGCAATAATCAGCCAGGACGCCCATTCTTTGCTCCTCGTCGATCATCTTGCCAGTCTCGAAAGCGCTTTCGAGAGGCGCGCGGGAGAGAAAACGTCGTTCTCGTGTGTGTGTGTGTGTGTGTGTGTGTGTGTGTGTGTCTGTCTGTGTCTGTGTCTGTGTCTGTGTCTGTGTGTGTCTGTGTGTCTGTGTGTGTCTGTGTGTGTCTGTGTGTGTCTGTGTGTGTCTGTGTGTGTCTGTGTGTGTCTGTGTGTGTCTGTGTGTGGCTGTGTGTGTCTGTGTGTGTCTGTGTGTGTCTGTGTGTGTCTGTGTGTGTCTGTGTGTGTCTGTGTGTGTCTGTGTGTGTCTGTGTGTGTGTGTCTGTGTGTGTGTGTGTGTGTGCACGTCCGCGTTGTGGATGCCGGGTGTGCATGCATTTGCAGCATTTGCAACCAAGTCTTGGTGAGGACATGGAGCAGCTCGTGCGCCGCATCAACAGCTGTCAGCACCTTGACTGAATTGTTCGAACTTTCTCCAAAGGCCAGAGCACGGATAGAGACATTGAAACTGGGACAGGGCATCCGGTGCGGAAAGGCCTTTTTTTCCAAACAGATAATATGATACATATATGGTCTCGGGCTCCCGGCCCGGGCCATACCCCCCCCCTCATGGTATCCCCACGCCATGGAATTCACGGTATGCGCCCGCGGCCCCCCCAACCAAACCCCCAAACCTCTCCCCTAAAGCTTAAACCAACCTTAAACGTCACACCCTTAACCTAAACTGTAAACCTTCAGCCCCAAGCGCCAACCCCCCATTCACAGCACTAAACCTTAAACCCTAAACTTATGTAAAAACTACACCTTAAGGCTTAAACCCTAAATCCTAACCCCACGCAGGGGTAAGGCCAGTCTCTCAAACCTTCAACCCCAAATCCCCAACCCCCCAATCACACCACGGGCCTAAACCTTAGACCCTAAACCCCGAACCCTAAACCTTAAACACTAAACCCCAACCCCCCAACCACACCCACACCACAGGGGGGTGGGGGGTGGGGGGGGTGGGGGGGTAGGGCTCCAAGGGAGGATTGGGGGGGGGGGGATACCATGCGGGGCAGCCCGAGACCATATATCCTGACAAGCCGAGGATGTTCAAGAAGCATCACAGACTGACAGATGCCGAGCGCAGGCCGGGTACAAGAGCTCCACTTCAAAAAGTTTGATCATGTCAGTGCCGCAGTGCCGAAGGCCGACTTGATGCCAGACGTGGTCGTGAACGTGGTCGTGAAGCTGAGGGTTGCACAACAGGCCAGGCTGCACTTTACCTGCTGCCTTCCTCAAGCCACTTTTCGCACGCCAAGGACCATCCGGGCCTGATTTGTGACCCCGAAGCGGACAGCACCCAGTGCAAGTTCTCGAGCGGCTGTGGATCCCCAAAGCTGTCAGAAACCTGAGCATTCAAGACGTAGCAGCATGGCAGCTTAACCCGTGATTTCTGCAATCACTATTCCACAGTGCTTGGGTGCTGCGAGGGTGCATAAAACAGGCTTCCTTCTGCCTTACCCCGCCGCAGCAGAGACAAAGCCTAGAGTACCTTGGCAAGTGAGGACAGGTAGCAGCGTACCGTTTAGAGCATTAGCTCGTCTTCGCTGGGGGGGTAAGAAGAAGAGTCCTGCGCACCGCCTGCAGTGTGATGGAGAACCAAACCACGAAGAAGGCTCAAAAGAAGCGACTTTGCGGAGGAACCGCAGCACAGAAATGTCGTCATCCAAGATCTACAAGCCTGTACAGGTCGTGCACGGCAGTGCTCCCCCGTAGTCGCTAGACTGTAGTGACTAGGCAAGTGAGCGGAAGAGCTTCTAGGGTTTAAGAATAGCTGCACAGCGGCGACACCAGAAACCAGAAAAAACTACAGAGCTAAGCAGACCAGTTGAAGAAGAGCTGAAAAAAAACAGCTGCAAATTCCGTAAATGAAACACGCGCATATAATGGCTCTAAGACTGCCATGTGTGAGTTTTCCGGAGAAACCTTCGCTGTTGCTGCAGACCCAGTTTTGGTGAACTTCTGTTGCTCTCAAGATGGCATCCCGTAAACCTGAATCTGCTCGAGCCTCAACATCTTTCAGGAGATGCAAGATGTGAATACTTTCGAGCTCCCGGACATGGGCCTTTGTCAAATACACCAGGATCCCTTCTGTCGGCGATTTCAGTTTGCGTTGGCGATTGCCACCGTGGCCTTTGCCACTGAGAGCATCGTCCGGTGCAATTAAGTGCCAGTGGTCTTGAAATGCCGAATCTCCTATCCTTGGTTCAAGCTCAAGTAGTGCTTCACATTGCAACTCAAGCATGTCCAAGCCAAGCGAATAGATTCCAAGCAAACATCCTCTCTCGGTCCGCCAAGCTGTGAGCGTCCAAACCCCAATCAAAGAATGAAGAGACTTTTTGGTACAGGACTGGCTGGACCGGTACACCAAGTAACGCACAGCATACATTGCGCGGTGGTGACAGACTAAGAGTACTGCCACACCCGAACTGCCCAATCATATCTATGCTAGCAATCATATCGGCGACTTCTCACAGCCTCATGTCGACGGCGGGGCCTTGATGCATTGATTTTGTTGGCGGCTTCTGGTGGCCTCTGATGCCTGCATCCTATGCTGCAGCTTGGCTGCAAAGGAGCCCTTGAACCATTGAAGCGGATCAAAACGCATACTAGTACAAGTTGAACTACTCGGGACTTGGCAAGGCCCGGAAGAAGTTTCGCTCGTGCGGCTCCATTCAAACAGAGCCCATACGGCTGCTGGACTGGGCAGAGGAGGATGCCAAGTTGTCAGAGCTCCAAGTCACAGATCAACCCAGTCTACTTTTCCTTTGCGCTTTGACGGATTTGGCGGAGCGGAGAGGGGAGAGAGAAGGAGAGAGACAGACCCAGCCTGTCGCTGGGCCTTGCAACACATTGCAGGTCACTGGCCTCTCATGAATTGCAGATACACGCTATATATACATATATGTATATATATATGTATATATATATATATTTAGATGTATACCGTATATATATATATCATATATATATACCACACCATATATATATATATATACACCATATGTTATCTACATGCATCTTACATATTTTTTTGCGATCTCGTGAGGCAACGGCATCACTGGGGAGCGGGTGTCACTGCGTCTTGTCCTGGCCCTTCGGGTGGCTGCGGTAAAGCGCCTGGCAGAGGGCCTTTTCGGCCTCCCTGCAGAGGAGATGAAACTTTCCTACAAGGCCCTGGGAAGCATTGGGTTTAAACTCAGTGGCAGATGTCTGGCTCTCTTTCTCTAGTATATGACATAACATGCTAAAAGTGCTAGCACCTGCCGATCAGCCGACATTTCTCCGCATTCTTCCTCCTAGACAGCAGCGTCACACCTAGCAGGCTTCAGGTTTAGGTTTGGGTTAGGGTTTAGGGTTTGGGGTTTACGTAGGGTCTCAAGCTAAAATACATAAACGCGCACATCACTCACATGCACGATTTGCCGCGGCGTCTGCCGCATTGCCGAGATTCTCGCACATTTTTTCTCGAAGCTTGCCTCTCTTCCTTTTTTTCGATTCTGCGAATAGAATAGAGCAAAACAGAAATTCAGACACCATTAGGGCACCCTAGGGGCACCCTGAGGGCCGAGTCCTCGGAAATCGACAAAGCTTGTTGGATGGCGGAGTGGAAGCACGCCAGTGCATTCACATTACGATCGCTACAGGGGTCGGCCACACACGGCTACTGGATATTCTGATCGATGCGACTCGGTGCGGTATCGCTGAGCCCTTGACAATTCAGGTGAGACCGTGCGATCTTGTGATTCATGCAAAGAATCAGGTTGCCGAGCTCACAGGCCTGGCACTGGACAGCCAACGCCTGACACTGAGTGGGCACACCCTGGCAAACGAACGACGCCTGTGTGATTGCGGCATCCGGGAGAACTCCATCCTCCAGGTCACCTGCACGATTGGGGCCGCCAGTGCACCAAATCCATCTGTTGCGGTGTCTGGGTGCCGAGCCCCCCGAGCACAGATGGATGCCTGCGCAAAGAAGCATCGCTGCCAAGGCGAATGGCTTTTCTTGACTATTCTACAAACATGGCCACCGCAATGCAAGAAACGCCTTTGGCTGCAGAAGGCTCGCACCGTTGGTCAACTCAAGGAACGCCTGAAAGAATTCTTCCAAGTGAGCTCGGACCAGCAAATCTTGGTTCATTCCGGGAGAAGACTTCAGAACCACCACACCCTTGAGTATTACAACTTGGAAGGGGGCGAATGCATTCAGCTCATGGTGCAAGGGGGGCCACGTGTTGCTGCAGGTCCTGTAGCCCTGCGTGCGGAGAGCCCTACATACGTAACCCTGCCACTGCCACCCAAGCCTGTCACTAAAGAAGCACAGGACTGGGTACCACGTGCTTTGCCCGTGACTGGCTCAACTCCGAGAAGGCTTCTCAAAAACTCCGATGAAGAGTCTGCAGAAGCCACACAGGCAGAGGGTCCAGTCAGGCCCCTCCAATTGCAAGAGCCGCAGCAAGACACTGCTGGAGATGAGCCGGCCCATGGCGAAGGCGAGCAAGGAGCAGAGACGGAACTCCCGGCGCTGCTTGAGCAGGTGAGCATGGCCCTGTTGGCCCATGCCATGGCGAGGTGAGCTTTGAGCCGCCTTTGAGCTTTGAGCATCTTTGAGAGCTAACGTTGGCCAATGCCACAGCATTGTACTGCTGCTGCCAACAAACACAACAGAAATCCTGTGCACAAGATGCCACGAGGCAGGTCATGATCTGATCCTCTATCAGTTTTGTTGTTCTGCCGGGGCAAGCCCTGTGACACCGGTGTAAGTTTCATGTATATGCCGCATAGAGTGTCAAGGCTGATATTCTATAAAGCTACACTCGTCAAAAATAGAAGTCTGGAACACGTTACTTAACTTCCCGATCCGCAGGTGATTGAGCACGCCCTGACCTAGGGTCCATCGATGGATAGGTCGCATCATCCTAGAGCGAATTGACCTATCCGATCGCCCCGACACTCGAAGAGTGTGAGGTAAAGAAAAGCCCTCTTGCACTTCTGGCTAAGTCAGAAATGCATACTGTTGCCTCCCGCCTCTGCCGCACAAGGAAAAGACTCACTCCCACATGCGACAGCTATGCATTGTAGAAGGCAAGCTTGATAGTGGACTGCTCGACTTGATCAGTCGCGCGTGTTGTGCGCGACCCACTGTGAGAGTCGAGCCAGGGTGTGAGTTTCGGAAAAGTTGCCAAAGCGAAGGATCCCAGCATAAGTTCCAGACAGGGTTCCCTCAAAATGCTTCCACAATCTGTCCGGATATTCAGGGGGCGTGACGATGCAGTCATTCTGTCTTCAGAGCTTTTTTGCTGTTGCGAGTTACTGCAAGCCATAGGCTTGTGTCCGTCCGTGGTTTGATTTGGTTCAGTGAAGTCTTGCGAACGGCCACATCGGCCCTCAGCCTATCTTCGAGGAAACCATGCCACGGCCTGATTCTGCTCTCGGTTCCCTCTCACATGGTCAAGATACGTCAAGATGTTCAAGCACCCCAAGGACCATCATGATGTCTTCCGTTCTCGACTCTGCAAACATCTCGTGTGCCTTGGCAGGGTGAGTCAAGACATGTCAAGACCAAGCCAACTTCAGCACTGCAAGCTAAGGCGACAGCATTCAGGCAGAGTGGATGCCTGAGCGCTTCTTTCACTCGAGAGATGTCCAAAAGGGAGAACCGAAGTGGGTGCCATTGTGTTCAACTATTCCATGTTTTGAGGTGCTCCCGTCTACCGCCGCCGCCAGGGCCGCGCCCACCACCACCACCGGTCGCGCCGGTGGCGCCGGCGCACCTCGGAACTGACAAGGGCATGACGGGCACGGGCGCGGCACAGCACTGTAGACGAAGCTTTGTCAGCACCTGCATTGCAGAACTGAAAGCAAGGTGATCAGACTCCAGGCGCAATGCCAACTCCAGATGCTGTTAGTGTCTTTGTTCATGTCATTGTTTATGTCATCACATGGCAGGAAGAACCCTCGCCTCATATAATTTCCTTGGGCCGCCATGGCCACAATCTGCAGGCTATGCAAGCCAACGCCAAGAACGTTGCGGAACAACGGCGGGGTCCTTACTATATGGCTTCAGCCACTGCCTTTCGAGCTTCTTACCCACTGCAGTCCTCATTCATGGCAGGTCGACCCCGAATCGGGGGCATGGCAACCTCAAGATTAACCTCTCTGGCTCCAGGCCTCATTTGGAAGTTACTCAGAGCAGGGAACTAATTGACAGACATAAGAAGCCTGAAAGAAGCCTTCCACGAAGACGCCTACATCACAGGCGACTTATTCTGGATACAGCTCCGCCATGATCATACACGTTCTCAGTGCTCCGGGCACAGGCCAGACAACTGCTTGCCGCTCTGCTCACAAGAGCTGTGAGCAAAGCGGAGGGCAAAGCAAGCAAAGCAGGAGCGCATTTTGGCTTTCATCTAACACTTGCCATGCGCTGTGAAGTGCCAGCCAGGCGACAGCTCCGGCATGAAAGCGATGCGATGTGGGCAGGCTTCTCATCGAGTAACAGTAAAGCGTGCAAGAGCAAGATCAGGAACATTTTGCAGGATCTGCAGAGGCGTCGCTGCTGGCATTCAAGCATGGGGCAGGCAGCGAGACCTCCACAAGGACTGGAAGAACCTTTATGAGCCTTTGCCTTGTTTTCTCAGAGGCCTGTAGGATGAGCCATGCGAGGACCTGCCAGAAGTGCCCTTATCGCAAAGGTCGGGTGCATCAGCTGTCTTCTGGACCAATGTGACATTAAACCCCGTGATGCTTGTGGTTGTCTTGGCAGCAGCGATCCTAAGGTCAACGGATTGGCGGCCTTCTGAAAGGCATCTCGTGAGTACTTCTGTGTCGTGTATGCGCAACGGGTTCATGGCCGTACTTGTTGAGCACATCAGGCCTGCACAGGCTGTTGCAGCGTTACGTCCTCAGGAAGCGTTTGGGCAATGTCGTTGCTTAAACAACGTCTGCCGCCTGGAGGCTTGAACCACCAACTGCGGCGGACAGTACTGGAAACACGGTTCACCGAAGCTCAACGGCAAGACTTTGAGCGCTGGATGCACCCTGGCATATACAGAACAGTCGGCCACAATCGTGTCATGTGAGATCATGTGGAGGCACATCTGCTTCGGCCGAGGTTAGCTCGCTCTGTCGAGTCGTGTGCATCTCCTCTGACGAGGTCGGAACTTGCAAAACAGTATCTCAGTATCTGCCTCACAAATGCAAGATCTAATATAACATCTTGCGCCAAGTGTATCGGTAGCTGTCCCATGACAGGAAAAAGCGCAGTAAGCACAACAGTCGGAAGGCCAGGGCACTGTCCAGCAAGAACAGCAGAAAATCACTTTCAGAAACGCGCGAAGTTGAGGATTGCAGGAAGCAGCACTTGAAGCCGTCCACGAGCTCCAGGAAGGCAAGGCGTCAAGCCGCAACTCGAAAGGCTGCTGGAAGGCTTCATCAGTTTCGTGTTCCTCTGTGCAAGGTGTCACTGGCAGCCATCTGCAGAGCCAAAGACGGTCTCCAGCAGCTGGCTAAAGAAGGGCTCTGATTTCTGAACCTGCTCTCTGCTTGATTTCGAGTTCCTTTCTGCAAAGGCAGCAACGAGGCTTGATTGTCCACTCCCGCCAGGGCAAAGAGGAGCCTCCGTTCCCTGGACTTGCTCCAGCAAAGTCGGCTAATTCGATCAGAGAAAAGGTCTAACAGTCTCAAGGAAATTGCCCGCATGCAGTAGAGCACACCTATACGAAGCTGCCTTCGACGCCATACTCGGAATGCGGAATTCGAGTCGAGTCCATGATGAGGAGCGCTACTACTCCGTGGTGCTGACAATCGGGCGCATCCGGCTCCTGACGCGAGAACATCGGAGCCTTGAGGCCGGGTCAAGGCCAAGGCGAAGGTGACCGCGTAGGACACAACTGATGCAATTATGACAGAAGATGACAGAAGTCATGGCCCGAAGATCCTGCTTGAACCTGCCATCGTCCCGCTTCACGCTCAAATTGTATCTCCATTCTATGAGACCTTGCCGTAAATTGAAGAGACGAGGGGCTGTTGCCAGATGGTGTCTGTCAGATGTGTGGCTGCAAGGTAGTGAAAGCTTTCCATACTGCCTTGGTGGCGAGCTGAGTGCTGCCGACAGGATGCGTGCACATGCGTGCACTAGCGAGCACAAGAGCTGAAACGCGAAACTAATGTTCCTCTTGTCGTTTCTAAGAGGTTGCCATCAAGCGGCGCATGGAGGGTGTGGCGCAAACGGCGTTTGAAGACAGGCGCCGAAGACATGGCTGAAATTCAAGCACTCGAAAAGCTCATGCTATGGGGGGGGGGGGGGGGGGCACATGTGCAGTCTTCTTGGTCTTGTTCAGGTTTCGAGAAGCTCTGACATCATGTTTGGATGAGCACCAGTTGAACCCCCGTGCAAGCTGCCCGGCGGTTCCGAATTGTTCTTAGTTCATGGCATTGCCCTTGAAGTGAAAGGCCATGGGTTTGCGCTTTTGCGTGTGCCTGGCACCACTGTGGTTGCCGAGGCACACAAAAGCAAGACTAAGCAAGAGCATTCGCAAAACATCCCTTGATGTCCCTTGGTAGCTGCGATTTCCTGATTTCGAGCAGGCCGCTGGTGACTCAACCATTCCGAGCCGAAGGCTGCCGAGGGTCAAAATGTGTCAACGCCGTCGTTTGGGGTTTTCATTAGGTCTTGTGCTTCTGTTTTTTGCTCCGATTGCCAAGCGGGCTTTGACAATTTGGCAGCCTTTAAAGTCTGGCACCCCGCATGTCACGCAAGGCCATCGTTCGATGCTTAACCATGCAAGGGTTCCAAGCTTCCTACGGAATTTCTTCGAAGAAATCTCTCGAATACTTCCGAGAAAGAAAGAGAAGAGAGCCCCCCAGGAGAGGCCCTGGAAGCTGGGCTTCGCGCGTGGCGGCGCCTCGGTGAAGCCCGCGGCCTCGTGCCCAGGAGGGGCTCCGTACTCCAGGCCGGGGGGCACCTGCACAAAATGCTAATCCTGCTTTTTTCTGTGTTTGCATCCTTTTGCCACATGAAATGCAGGTGCTGAGCCCCGAGGATATTGCAGCTTCATGGTCTCGTGTCCGCCGAGTATACCTCGAGGTTGTGGAGGCACGGTGAAGAAGAAATGGCAGCATGAGAAGTAGTGGTGGAAAGGGCTGCTCAAGCTGTCGAAGGCAGACCAAAGTGCACGCAGAGCCGCGAAGCAGCCCAAGGCTGGGCTGGTGTTTTCCGGCGCTTTCCCTCTCTGAGCGTGTCTGTTGCCTGCTGGAGACGAGACCTGAACATACATTCCTACCAGTAGCGCTTGAACCCTGGCGAACACAAGGGGACCGACAAAAGGGCCCTGAGACCTAAAAGAGCTGACTGTCTTTGATTGGTAAATAGGGCTCAGAAGTCGGAGCCATTGAAGAAAGGCTCTAGCTATCATGAAACCTAGATCACATGCAGATGCGGTCCAGCAGACCTGCGCGTTCAGTTTGCGACGCTGAAGCTTACTGAGTCGGCTTACTGGTACAGCTATGACGACGGGGTACACATTTTGCTGAGGGCCGGCTTTCATGCAGAATCGAACAGAGCGAAGGCTAGTT